AGGGCATGCTTCTAGGTTCTCATACTCCTCACCGCGATATAGGATACAATCGTTCGGACATGCGTGAATCTTATGAACTTCCAGTCCTAACGGGCAGACTATCTTCTTAGCCTCGTACGTTGTCTCGGGCAATTTGTTTCCCCCCGGAAGAATGTTCTTGACGAGTTTCAATAAATCGCCAAATGCCTTGTCACTAACCCCATTTTTTGCCTTCCATTGCAACAACTCCAGAGTGGTATCCAACTTTTTGTGCCCCTGCTCGCAACCTGGGTACAACGAAGTTCTGTGGTCCTCCAACATCTTGTCCAATTTATGGGCCTCCTTTTCACTTTCGCAGTCCTCCCTGGCGTCCTGCAACATCTGACCAAGATCATCCGCAACGTCGTTACCATCAGCAGCTATTTCCTCCTCGCCCGTTTGATTTCCTTCAAATCCAACATACTGAGCAAAGTCCGGAATATTGTCGTCTTCCACTTCATCTTCTTCCATTTCAACACCTTGCTCTCCGTGGGATGTCCAACAATTATAGCTTGGCATGAACCCCGACTCAAACAAGTGGAAATGAATAGTCCTGGATGCAGAATACTCCTTCTGATTCTTACACTTATTGCATGGACAACAAATAAAACCCCTTTGCCTGTTAGCTTCGGCCACTCTCAAAAAATAGTGCACGCCGTCAATAAACTCTTTGGACCGCCGGTCAGCGTACATCCATTGCCGATCCATCTACATGAGTCAAAAAAACCGTACACAAATAATTATTCTTACAATAATGACAGTCATACAATAATTATAAGATATCTTTATTCATACAAAAATCATAAAATATTATACCAAATAATTCTTAAAAACTATTTGTAAAGTTTTAAACTAATTTTAATGTGTTTTACTTCTTTTAATTTTCATTTTAGTTTGTTTTCTATTATTTAAGATTAACTTTCACTAGAGTTTTTCTTCTCAACTATTTTATAAAACCTTGTTTAGCAAATGAACTAAATTTCTATATATTCTTTCTTCCCCACACACATTTTCTCTCTCATCAACTTACAACTAAATTTTGGAGAAAAAAAAGTGTGCAAAACATAGGTGCAAATGTAGTATGACAAAAAAAACATTGGAGGATGAAGTTGCAAACCTTTTAGGCACCTCCGATTTGTATGTAATCACCAAAATAAATTCAATAGAAATTTTGGCATGACCTCCCCTCTTTTTTAAAGAAATTTTGAAGCTTGCTCGGGCAGCTGGAGGAGGAAGAAGACATATATATAGGGGTGGGACTTTAGTCCCGGTTGGTAGCACCAACCGGGGCTAAAGATCACCTACCAACCGGGACTAAAGATCCCGGGGGGGCCTGACAGGCCCTGACAGCATTCGAACCGGGACTAAAGATGATCTTTAGTCCCGGTTGGTAACACAAACCGGGACTAAAGATCAAATATGCCCGTTACCCTTTTGAACCGGGACTAAAGATCATCTTTAGCCCCGGTTTTTATTGCATCCGGGACTATTGTGGAAATCGGCCGACCGACGAAAGATGGTTTCTCCACCAGTGTATATATATATTTGGCAATACAAATTTGCATTCAAAGAATATATCATGCATCGGTACTCAAAACGATATATTTTTCTTGAATGGAGGAGGGAGGAGGGAGCAATACAGCCTCTACTGGGCTTGAATCTTGTACATTACGGCGCTCATGACAAGGAAGGATGCATGCATGTGTGACCAGAGGAAGTATAAACTACGTATTCCCTCTAATAAAAAAAATTTACTGGATATACCTATATACTCCCTCCGTTTCAAAATATTTGACACCGTTGACTTTTTAGCACATGTTTGACCATTCGTCTCTTATTCAAAAACTTTTGTGAAATATGTAAAATTATATGCCTACATAAAAATATATTTAACAATGAATTAAATGATAGGAAAAGAATTAATAACTACTTAAATTTTTTTGAATAAGACGAACGGTTAAACATGTGCTAAAAAGTCAACGGCGTCAAACATTTCAAAACGGAGGTAGTAGTAGTATACTGTACCACCAGGACGAAGTCAGTACTCGCGCAGAGATTAATGTATCAATTAATTAGACCTTATTATCTCGTGCAGATTAAGCTGTGTGTACGCACGTATTATGTGTAGAAATAAACATAGACATGCAAATTAATATATATGAGTTTTATGAGAATCCAATCAGTAAATATCTTAAACGGTATCAAAATTTAAAATTTTCAGTTTTAAAATTTGACTTAAAACTTGTCAAAAACAATGTGTTTTGTAACAGATAGTGAAAGCACGCACGCTTCTCGATCATCCTATGAAAGCAAATTGAAATGTTAATGCACGCATTATTGGCATCGATCTCTTTGACTACTGCAAATTGAAGACCAAATAATGCGAACTCAAAATATATATCAATTCAATGCAACTACACAGATGAGAGCGATTGTAACAATAGTAGATCTAACATCATTATCATATCGTCCATCGATTTTAAAACCTAGCTATCTACGTACCCAGAAGGTAAATAAATGTACGTACGTTTGAGCATATAATTAGATAAATCCATGCCCCGGCACAAGGATGAAAATGATCATGTTGGAGTTATCTCACTAGCTTGCTTAATTTAATGTCGTTAATTGTTGCTTAATTGAATACATATTGCGCGCACATAAATCGGTTGATCAAAATGTGGTCAGATATGTTTCCAGATATGGGTTATATATTAATAAATACAATCCCATGCATTAGAGCAAGTTCAATAGTATAGCTAACTACTAGCTCCAATTCATCTATAGCCAATCTAATAGCTCATTCATACAATAGTTACATACTACACTATTAATATCTGGTCCCACCTGTCATTCACACACTGTGTGTGTCTTGGAGTCCGTGCTACAGCTGGCTACAAATATGTAGCCCGTAGCCCTTCTCTCTCCTCATTTATCTTCTTAATATATGTTTGCAGCTGGCTTATAGCATGCTATTGTACCTGCTCTTATAGTGGAATATCTAGTTAAAAATGGTTACTAAACACGTGGCAAACTAAACGTGCTAAGAATATTGGACAAATTAAGATTTGCTGGGTGCGATATCGATTAAGGAGAAAGCAAGGTGGTAGTCCATTTTGGCATAGTGAGCTGTTTCCGTAGGCTTCATAATCTAGCTATGGATGTTTCAGGGACACATTAATTCTATGGGGGTGTCAGGTGTGTGTCGTGGGTGGTCTGGCTTAATATGAAGGCTTCTTTACCGCAATTAATTATCATCTTAGCAAGTGAGTTTTTTTGGGATCTTAGTGAGTTTTAACTATACAGAAAGTAATAAACCTCTTACAACATGGGAGGCCTCTTAAAAATATTTACTTGGGATCAGGTACCTCAGTACGAGGGTTTTTTAGGTACCTTAAAAAATTGGAATAATTAACTATTTGGATCCAATAGATCTAATTCTATTAATTATACTAAACCTGGTAGTATGGGTAGTACAAATTTTATAGGGAAAATTTTGAACTGAAATATATAACAGCATGATAAATTTATGTATATGCATGCCATGTTAATACATGAATTGATAAGACTACCAGGGTAAAGTTTCGAATGAAATATTTTAAACACTTGGATTAAAATTGTACTATCCTACCACCGCTTGTAGCAGAAGGTACCTAAAAATGAGTACGGCCAAATTAAACTGATCCCTACATTTTGAAAAATTCACCTTTTGCATTTGCTCATGGAATTTTCTCTGCTTTTTAACCTAGGATAAAATTGGTTATTGGGCTATTGTAGTTATGTTTATTCTAATCGATCAGTATATGTTCAGTCGGACGGTTTAATTTAAATCTTTCATCTCTCAAATAGTACGGCGGTGTTTGAATCTCTTAAAGATGAAAATTAAACATTTCACGTAAAATGGTGGTAATAACATGTGATTAATTGAGTTTTAATTATTACAAACTTAAAAAATGAACTAATATGTTATTTTAGAACAACTTTCATATAAAAAGTATTCGCACGAAACACACCGTTTAGTAGTTTGAAAAACGTACCACAAATATCCAAAACTTTATCTTCTATTTACAGATGATTAGTAGGGAGACGTATACAGTATGTAGCTCCTAACACTTTGTTGGAGAACTGAGTTTGGAGTGGCTTAATTTATAAGCTGCACACAAAATGATGAAGATTAGCACATCATAGTAATTAAGTATTAGCTATTGTAAATTTTAAAATTGAATTTTATTTATTTATGAAAAAAATATATAAAGTTTTTGAAAATGACACATCGTCTAACTTTTGGGAATTCGTGCTTATCAAAACGAGAAAGTAGATCTCCAAATAAACCCAAAAAAACGCAGCCTAAGTCATCCTAACTCCTAATTAAGGAAAGGAAATATAGGTGAGGATCTCAAAGAGAAATCGAATAATATTAACTAGTCTTTATTACTTTTTTTAAACGAATCGATGAGCGCTAATTTCATTGAATAGAAAAAGAGTAAACTTTACAAAGCGAAAGGAAAGACAAAGGAGCTCAGGACCTTCGGTCCAAACTAACTAAAAGATCAGGGCCAATTATGAAGACTTTCGCTTCCACTAATTAAGGCCTTGCCTCTTTCTTGATTTTGGCAAGAAGAGAGGTGGCTGAAAGCTTCTTTTGTTGGAATGTTCTGTGATTCCTTTTATTCCATATATCTCCTAGGCGACCAACAACATCAAAGTACGGAGTGCCTTCCTGGGTGCCTCTTGTATATTTATCATAGCCTCCCACCAATCTATCACCGTTGAAATTTGCCGCCACTGGCTAGGATTTAGCCGCACACACGTCGCCCATTCTGTCACCTATTCGGCCCCAAGGTTTTAATTAAATTAGTAGAAAATTGAGCTCTATAAATGGCAGCCGCCCTTCCACGAGCTATTCATGCAGTGCACGATCGACTGATCTGTTAAGGAACAAGGTAAGCAAGAGAGAGGTCGATCGAGTACAGAAGAAGGGAGAGATGAGGAAGTCATTAGTAGTGGTGTTGGCTTTGATGGTGGCAGCGTCGGCTCATGACGTCCCAATTACGGACGAAGACCTAAAATCAGAGGAGAGCATGTGGAGTCTGTACGAGAGGTGGAGCCACGTTTATGGCGTCTCGTCGCGTGACCTTGCCGAGGATAAGAAGAGTAGGTTCGAGGTGTTCAAGGCGAACGCGAGGCACATCCACGAGTTCAACAAGAAGGAAGGCATGAGCTACAAGCTCGGCCTCAACAAGTTCTCCGACATGACGGTGGAGGAGTTCGCCGCTAAGTACACCGGTGTCCAGGTAGACGCTGGCGCCGCCGTCGTGACTTCCGCTCCTGACGAGCAGCCAGTACTGGTCGGCGACGCGCCACCGGTGTGGGATTGGAGAGACCACGGAGCTGTCACTCCAGTCAAGGATCAAGGAAGTTGCGGTACGTAAGAATAATAAACTAATAACTAATTAAATTAACGGAAACGTAGGTTAACTAATTAATTAATTCATGGATCGATTAAAAAAAAAGGGAGTTGCTGGGCGTTCTCGGCGGTGGGGGCGGTGGAGGGGGTGAACGCGATCGCGACAGGGAACCTGCTGAGGCTGTCGGAGCAGCAGTTGCTGGACTGCACCAACCCGAACGACGACTGCATCAATGGCGGGAGGGCAGAAAGAGCGATGCAGTACGTGGTGAACAACGGGATCGCCTTGGACGCGAGCTGTCCGGGGCCCTACTACCCGCCCTACGAAGCCGAGAAGTTGCCCTGCAGGACGGAGCCAGGCAGGCAGGCGGTCACATTGGACTGCATCAGGCAGTTGCCCCTCGACAACGAGGCCGCTCTCAAGGAGAGGGTCTACATACAGCCCGTCTCTGTGGCCGTCGACGCCAAGAATACTGGGTGGCAATCCTAAAGGGGGTGAGCAACAAATTATATATTTAACTAGCATGGTGGCCTGCGCGGCTAGCATCATTATATTTTCTCTTATATAATAGCATATATGTTTTCTCATTATATTATTCAAATATATTAAAATTACAACATAATTCTAAATTTTGCAACAACTTTACAAAACTACTAATGTGTAATATTCATATTGTATTTTATATACGTTTTAGTTATTAATTATTTTTAATATCAAATTTTAGTTAATTTTCTGTAAATTGTATTTCAATATAGACTCTATGCTCTTCTTTCAATATTATTTATTTTTGATTTTTTATTATTTCTAATTGTATTTCTACGTGGACTCTAAACTCATTTTTCAATATTCTTTAACTTTTAATTTCGAATTTCAGTTACTTCTAACTTGTATTCCTATATTGACTTTAAACTCTTCTTCCCATGTTTTTCTTAATTTTAAATTTTAGTTATTTGTAAATTGTATTTTTATACGGACTCTAAACTCTACTTTTAATTTTATTATGTTTATTTCAAATTTTAGTTAGTTTTAAATTCCTATATGGACTCTATACTCTACTTCTAATATTCCTAATTTTTTAATTCCGAATTTTTATTTTTTTTCTTAATTGTATTTCTATATGGTCTTTATACTCTACTTCTAATATTCCTTATTTTTAATTCCGAATTTCAATCATTTTCTAATTGTATTTCTATATGGACTCTATATTCTACTTCTAATATTTCTTATTTTAATTCCAAATTTCAGTTGTTTCCTAATTGTATTTCTATATGGACTCTATAATCTACTTCTAATATTCATTATTTTTAATTCTAAATTTCAGTTATTTCCTAATTATATTTCTATATTGACTCTATACTCTACTTTTAATATTCCTTATTTTTAATTCCGAATTTCAGTTATTTTCCTAATTGTATTTCTATATGGACTCTACTCTCCTCTTCTAATACTCCTTATTTTTTAATTCCAAATTTCAATTATTTCTAAATTGTATTTCTATATGGACTCTAGTCTCCTCTTCTAATATTCCTTATTTTTTAATTCCGAATTTCAGTTATTTCTAAACTGTATTTCTATATGGACTCTGTTTTTTCTTTTTCTCCGATTAATGTGAGAATTTCTAGGCCATGAGAGCGAACGTGGAGGCTCTTTTTTCTATTCCTTTAATTATATAATAGAAGATTTCAGCGCCCCCAACTCGATCGATCACTATATACTCCATAAATATTTATATATTTAAATTAAATTACGTAGCAGCTGAAATATAATTTATTTGATGAACACAGGGCGTGTTCGATGGATATTGCAGCTCAACAAAGGTAAATCACAATGTGTTGGTGGTAGGGTATGGTGAGGACTACTGGATTATCAAGAACTCATGGGGCATATACTGGGGCGAGAATGGCTACATCCGCCTAAAACGCAACGTGCCAGCCAAACAGGGGAAATGTGGCATCACCTTGCAGGCCTGGTACCCTGTAAAGTACCCTGTGGGTAACTGTATGATTCCCAGCCTGCCTACATCTTTCTCCGCCTACTAGCCGACCTACCAACAATATACATATATACATAACCGAGCTATAAGCTCCTCGCGCATACACATACATATTACTCCATAATTTCCTCTATATATATATATATATATATATATATATATATATATATATATATACTCAAATACATATATATCCCTTACATCGTCAGCTATATATAAGTACACACCTGTGCATAAGTAGATAAATAAGCGTGCATTTTAAGCACGTACATGTGCACAAATACATACATAAAGTCAGTTTGAATAGAAGAATATACCTATATGTGTCTGTATGCCTGTCTATGTTTTATGTGCATGTTATATGAAGAAATATAGCTGTTGTTGCTATGAGTTCAGTTACTCCCTTCTAATCCGTTTGTATTTTTTATCTATTGGTACGTCTCACATTTCAATTGGATAATGAAAATGGATTACATCTTCGGTTGTCTAGCATAAGTAGCTAGGGACGTACGTTTGACCCATCTATCCAGCCCATGGAACATAGGGTTTTGAAATTCAAAACATGGGTTTTTGTCGGTGGGGACCGAAAGAAACCAAATCACCAAAATCTCGGAATTTTTTGGGCGATTTTTTTTGAATTTTCAACATATTTTGACTGAATTTAAACAAAATTTGACCAACTCTATAAATATTTGAGAAAACTGAACATTTTGGGGACCGTGTCGCTGATGCCTTCTCGCTATATATATGACTGTGCCATCTTCCCGCTACTATGGAAGAAAAGGGGACCGATGGCTTGATTCGCCACCATGCAGTGCTACCATTATGCTCACGATCGTCGTTCGCGTCCTAATCGGCAACAGTGCAAAGCTTCTCGTTTTCCATCTTCTATAAATATAAAAAGTTAAAGGCATCTCGATCGATCTGCAGATTCATTCCAGCTGATCCATTCGTGAATACAAAATTTCCAGAACAACTGCTTTGCTCTGTATGATTGCTTTGCTCGCATTGTGTTTCTCTATTCAGAGATTTCAGAAGTCTGTGCAGGGTTCTAGTGGAGACGGGCAGACCCATGGATGCTCCGTGGGGTCAATGGGCCAAGCAAGATACGTGGGTCCACCTAACCCCTATTATTATTATTATTATTATTATTATTATTATTATTATTATTATTATTATTATTATTATTATTATTATTATTATTACCCTTAGTTAATTAACTGCAGTTCTACAAACCTTATTCATCAAATCCGACACACCAAAAGTATCGAATAAGATCATCTCATGTACCCCTCAACCTCGGCATGGATCCCTCTCCCTCCGTACGCACCCAAACGAGTGCTCCAGATTCTCTCCCTCAGCCTTCCCTCTATTGCACCCATGCTGCACCTCCCCTAAGCCCTAAAAAAAAGTAAAAATCAGTCGTCACCGTTGCCACTGCCGCTCTCGAGCACCACCGCGCTATCATGTCCCTTTGATCCCGTCACCCACAAACTGCTGCCCGATTCCGGTCTCGGCCGGCTTGTCTCGATCGCGCCGCCATCGCGTTTTGTCACCGCCAACATCTTAGGCTTCGCGGGCAATCCGATGGTGTATCGCCGCGCCCGTCGTCGATCGTCATCATCATCGTTGTGCCTCCTTGTTGATGTGAAATTCGTTGTTCATATACACGAAGGTCCGAGAGATTTGCTTGGCTCTAGTAATATAATACTATGTGTGTAATCCATGAGCAATCATGAACACGTGCTTCTTCGTGTCATTAATCCATGCGCAACGTACTTTGACTCTTAGAGGGAATATACTAGTCTAATTCACCGTATGTTACTCGATCAACACTACTTTACGTAATTTGAAAAAGAAAATGGAATTGAGCTACTCTTTTCAGGCAGTTTTACTTAAAGCTGTACGTGCGGTACGTTGTACTGCGAGTCTGCGACCACAGATCGAGAAGTGAGATACGTAGTATATGCATGGTTGCTTGTTATCCTATGCTTCCTTGTAATTATTAGTGATGATTACACCTCATGTCTCTATTAAGCTCATGCCTAATGACAGTGATGTGCTGTAAAACATGACGTTCTATATTACTATTATATTTCAACTACGCATATGCATGACATATATATAAATAAATGTCATATATATATGAATTGTAAGTACAAATAAGAGCGCGACCCAAACAATAGTTTAGAGCGTCGAACGTCCACCCAATTCGAAATCTGGCTAGCTTATCGATCAATCCTCCCAACCATACATGCGCATATATATAGAAACCTTATGGTACGTATCCTATAATACTATACAAGTGATTCCCACTTAGTGTAGTTATTAGGATTTTGCTGAGTTCTGGTGAAGCCACGTCACCCTTTTAATCTCAGCCGTTCGATCAGTTGCTACATACGGTCCGATGTATTCCATCCTTCCCTAAGCGTCGCCTCCCTCCTCCACCGAGCGCGGATTCTCCGCCGCCGCCGCCGGGCGCGCTACTCTCCCCGCGCGCGCTCCTCTCCTTTCCCCACCAGCCCCCGCGCGCAACTCCTCCCTTCCCCACATCGCGCGCGTGCCAGGCGCGGGCCCGGCGCCGACTGCTCTCGCTCCTTTCCCCAATCGCGCGCACGCGTCAGGCGCGGGCCCGCCACCGGCCGCTCTCGCATCCCCGCGCCGCTTCTCCTCCAACCCTCTCCCCCCGGCGCTTCTTCTCCAATCCACCCCCCTCTAGCGCTTCTCCTCCCCCCCCCCCCCCCAATCTTTGTTTCATCCGAGCTTTCACTTCTGCGAGGTTGTGTGTTCTTCTAGGGGATTCTCTCCCCGGCGATTCTCTGGCCGCTTCTCCTCCCTCCGTATATCTATTGAGTCGAGTGATGGATGCCACAGGCGATTTGTGTTCTTGCTTCCTATCTTCAGTCCCTGCATGTATCGATCAAAATTGAGGAGTTTCTATCAGGCTGTCTGCTCCTGTTGCTGCAGAAACGAGTGTAAGGTAAATTTCTCCATCCAATACGTATCTCTGTTTGATAAAATGCCCACATGTATCCTGTATTTCAGGTAGACAAGTAGCATCAGCCACCAGGCATCATGATTCACTTTTGAGTTTCCATTTTTATGGTGATCTTCTGCAAACGACTTTTGAATATATATAGCTGTCCAAAGATGCAGCCTATGGATACATGTTAAGACATTAAGGTAACAAGTGATATGAGCAATGTTTGTCTCCCTAAATCAGTATTCATGCATCGTTCTAGGGTGGGGGATATTTGCCAATAATTTCTTTGTAACATAAAACCTCAGGATTATAAGTTTTAGCCTGTATTTTCCTAACATTGCTACTAATATTGGATGCAAGATATAGTATGATTCAACACGTCAAATTTGAGTCAATTCATGGTATTTATTTGGTTTCCACTAACCCTGTTCATGGTATATAAATCAAATTTACAACTTTGCTGTAGCTATAATTTGTTGTGTTTATAAATTTATATTGCAGTTCATTCCTATTCCTATTGTCTACTATCATTGTAGCAGCAGCTATGGGCTATCACTGAGGTCAGTCCCCATAACATTCCCATCCAAAGCAGCGGCTTATCTGGTTTCTCCATATGAGTTCTCTATCAAGAAAATATCCCAATATATTTGGTACCACATATTCGTTCATGGTCACCGACTTTCCAGATATTATAATACAACCATCCTATGATATCTTCTTTGTAAGAGGTACTAAGCAATTTTCTCCTTTGCTGTGCCATTATCCTCTCACTTCAGGTAGCCGATATCATCTTTTATATTTTACTCATTCATTCATTTATTTGTTCTTTTTATCTCTTGCTAGATTGTTAGCTCAGGTTAATCTTTGTTCTCCCCCCTCCCCCTCCTATAAACAAATAACCAAAGGTTTGTTTGGAAGATTCAGTATCTTCGGTAAGCAGAGGTGGTCAAAGGTACATTCTACCTGGATGGCCACTCGAGGAAAATTGGCCTCCCCTTTGATGCTAAATAATATATCCTTACAAGTTTGTGATCCCCTACCTCTCTACCTTCCCATTTCATCTGTTTGTCACTAATGAAAATTATGATGGTGATTTCAGAACATTCAAGGGATTTGATCTATTTCACATTTCTTTCAGATCAATATAACTCCTTTTCATCGTAATGATATAATGGCATCAAGTGATTTGATCAAGCACAAGAAAGAGTGCTACTGCTACAGTGCGGAGTTACATATTTGATTTTTGGCATGTTCAGAACTTCTTTTGACCAATTTCTATGTTCTCAGAATTTTGTTACCATCATTCACTTAGTATGGTTACTGTTCTTGATGAATACCTTGTGAAAAAAAAACCATGGATTAAGCCTTTTACCTTACGGATTTCATGCATCAAATATTGCATAATTTTTTTATTTCATCGAAAAGATATAAGCTCTACTACGATAAATTCGTCAGTTCAGCCGATGAAGTTTGCAATATTGCAGTATGAGGTAAAATGGATGTTTCAGTGGATTCAGTCACTGAATTTCACTTCCTTTTGCTAAAAAGTAATTTGAATACAACATTTTTTAAACCATATAATACAATATTAATGTTTTCCTTGCCTCATAAATATTAGAATTATCATATATTTGTTTATCTATTTTCATATCATTTTGCAGTGCCACGTCCTATATAGGTTGGCTTTGCGCAACCTTTTACATCGTTGCTCGATTCGTCATCACATTGTTAGCTGGGGGAGCTAGACTATTCTTATGAAGCTTGATACTTGATCAGTAAATTACATTTTTTTGCAGGGATCAGTAAATTACTTAGACTGCTGCTAAAAACAGACAAGTATGAACGTTTAAAAAGGAGGCTAATAAGCAGTTCCATTCTTGATGAACTTTCTGTACGTTAAAAACGTATTTGACTATGGTTTCCTAAGTGTTTTTGAGTTTATATAGTACTCTTATCCATATTAATTGACTCCGTGGGCTGTAAAAGGTGCACATGTCACTATGTAATATACTCCAATCTTGCTCTTTTTTCATAAGAACATATCAATATGTATTTACTGTAGTCTCAACTACAACTCCAAACTTTCTTCATATATTTGAGTTGCTCTCACTATTAATTTATTTTTAGCATTCTTGGCACAAACATTTTTGGAAACAAAATATTTCGCAGCAACGCGCGGGGTATCATCTAGTATCTTAATCTCTTCTTCTCCCTCCATCTTTTATCCTTACATTATTAGTGGTATTACTTATTACTATCTTTAATATGATGGCATTATTCCATCTATTAAAGATGACATAATGTGCCGCATATTTGTGATATTTCATAAATTGTACTACTATATAAATTCTTTTCTCAGTATCTCCTCCATCCCAAAATACAAGATGTGTTAAGACGCGCTTCAACACCTAAAACAAATATTTCAGTAAAAAAAAACACCTAAAACAAATATCTGGAAATAGGCCTAAATTAGGAAATGACCCGGTTTCCTTTACGAGGCTGGTTTGACCACTGTAATAGGGCTGGTCAGACTAGCAGTGTGGGACCGGTCTGACCGGCGGCATGTGACCGATCAGACCAGTTGAATCCATCTTCGAGTTCAATTTAGTTGGATCTAAGGTTTTCTTGCTTGGGTTAACATTTTTCGACTTCTAATTGATTTCTACCTTAAGTAGGAAATGGTGGAGGTACTGTAGGAGGCAAGACCAACCCCTGTATAAGGACCAAGTCTAGTTCAATTGAGGCACCAATCTACTTCCAACGCAATTAGCCAATTGAATCGTTTTGAAAAAATATTGTAATTTTGTATTATTTTGAAAACTTGATAGCACATTACAATGGAGAGAGAGAGATAGACAGGGGCGAAGCTAGGATTTGAGATTAGGGGGTGTGGGGTGAAGATAAACCATGAAACCAAATAACTAGTCCTTTAAAAATAGTCACCGTCAATAACAAGCAATGCGTAAACTAGTCCTTTAAGAAAAACTTAAATTTTAGCTCTTTAATAATATCATTGGAAATTTAAAACTAGTCTTTATTGCTAAATTCTTTTAATGTAAACTATTAAATAATCTCACAAATAAGTATCATCTATTTTACTTTGAAAAAGATGAGAAATCACAAACTAATTTTGTAGATCATGTTTCTTGCTAATATTTTTAAACTTACTAACTAACTAAACTGATATAATACTTTTAAGCTACACAAAATAAACTAGATATACTTATCTTAGCTAATTTAATATAGAGTAAAACCATGGGGGGTGTAGTGGTGGCAGTGTTTAGATAGGGGGGTGTTGGCACCCTTTGGCACCCCACTTACCTTCGCCACTGGAGATAGAGACCGTGATATATTTATGTCTGATATGTTAATATTTCTAATTAAGATATTGATGTTTCATAAATTAAGTTTTATATATAAACATGACTCATCGCGCTCACGCGTGTATGTCGTCGTAAGCAAAGCTCGCTATAGCTCAGCCAACTGGTTGATAGGTTTATTAATTGTACATTTCACTGATCACGCGCCCTATAAATGGTGGCCTACCATGAGTCGTCGATATATATATGCATTACTCGTGCTCCATCACTGGAGCTCTATCGACGATTAATCCTCTAGCTAGCTAATTAAGAGATCGAATATATTACACATATACTAATATAGATAATTAATTAAATGGAGATGAAGCCATTAGTAGTAGCGCTGTTGGCTGTGGTGGTGGCAGCAATGGCGGTGGCGGCCGTGCAGGACGACGACGACGACGTCCCATTCACCGACAAGGATCTGGAGTCGGAGGAGAGCATGTGGAGCCTCTACCAGAGGTGGAGCCGCGTGCACGGCTTGACATCGCGGGACCTGGCCGAGAAGCAGGGCAGGTTCGAGGCGTTCAAGGCGAACGCCAGGCACGTCAACGAGTTCAACAAGAAGGAGGGCATGACCTACAAGCTCGCCCTCAACAGGTTCGCCGACATGACGCTCCAGGAGTTCGTCGCCAAGTATGCCGGCGCCAAGGTGGATGCCGCCGCCGCCGCCTTGGCTTCCGTTGCGGAGGTCGAGGAAGAGGAGCTTGTCGTCGGCGATGTGCCCGCCTCGTGGGATTGGAGAGAGCATGGAGCTGTGACTGCCGTCAAGGACCAAGACGGTTGCGGTAAGTAATTTGCCATCACCGATCTCCATTCAAAATAATTTCAAAATTCAAAGCGTGTATGTATTTCGTGAGTTAAACGTTATAAATTTTGACTATACCGATACTCACTCCAGTGATATATAGGCTTAATTAGTGAAATAAAAAAAATGGTGTCTGAATGAACTTCTCAAATATGATGCATGTTGGTTTCGTTGTCGATGATAATACACGTTGGAAGATAGTAAACGATCGCGGAGATCGTACCAAGTAAAACTTGCCAAATATGATAGTTACATGTTTTACAATTTTAAATGGAGGGAGTAATTCTGTGTGTAATAAAAGTTACTCTCTCTGGGCTGATAATACTTGTCGTTTTAGACAAGGGTGAGGTCAAACTTTAGAATCTTTGATTATGAATCATTTTTAAAATATTTATCTTTCAAATATGGTAACTACATGTATAGATTAGTCTTGAAAAGTACTTTAATAAAATTTATATATTTGTTAACACTTTATACATATTATAATAGAAAATAATGGTCAAAGTTGTTTTTTGGAGACCGTGCCCTTGTCCAAAACGACAAGTATTATCAACCCGGAGGGAGTAACTAATTGAGTGGTTTTGATTTGATTGATGTACCAATTCAACTAGTACTACTAATGCTCCATATGCATATACTCCTAACTAAATTAAGGGATTGTTCCAAAAAAAAAACTAAATTAAGGGAGCTGCTGGGCCTTCTCGGCGGTGGGCGCGGTGGAGAGCATCAACGCAATCGCGACGGGGAACCTCCTGACGCTGTCGGAGCAGCAGGTGCTCGACTGCTCCGGCGACGGCGACTGCAACGGCGGCTGGCCCAACCTGGTTCTGTCAGGTTACGCCGTGGAACAGGGGATCGCCCTGGACAATATTGGCGACCCAGCCTACTACCCGCCCTACGTGGCCAAGAAGATGGCCTGCAGGACGGTCGCCGGGAAGCCTGTCGTGAAGACGGACGGCACACTCCAGGTGGCTTCCAGCGAGACTGCCCTCAAACAGAGCGTGTACGGGCAGCCCGTCTCCGTGCTCATCGAAGCCGACACCAACTTCCAGCTGTACAAATCGGTGCGTACATTTACATATTTTGAAGATTAAATAAATACTTCCCATTCCCTAAATATTTAACGCGTTGACTTTTTAAAACATATTTAACCGTTTGTCTTATTCAAAAAATTTAAGTAATTATTAATTCTTTTCATATCATCTGATTCATTGTTAAATATACTTTTATTTATACATGCAGTTTTACATGTTTCACAGAAGTTTTTTTAATAAGACGAACAGTCAAATTATATTTAAAAAATTTAACAGCGTCAAATATTTAGGAATGGAGCGAGTATATAAATTGTTGATATGCTCATGTATAATTATATATGCAGGGTGTGTACAGTGGACCGTGCGGGACAAGAATAAACCATGCCGTGTTGGCGGTAGGGTATGGTGTGACACTGAACAACACTAAGTATTGGATCGTCAAGAACTCGTGGAACACAACCTGGGGCGAGAGTGGTTACATCCGGATGAAGCGTGATGTGGGTGGCAATAAGGGGCTGTGTGGCATTGCCATGTACGGCATTTACCCCACCAAAACCAAGACCAGCACTTTCTCTGCCGCCGCCAGAGCCGCCTCTGTTATTGCTGATGCTGCTTTATACTAAGCCTCTGCTATTAAGCTAGCCCATGCACTGTACATACAAATAGTCGGTTAATTACTCGTTATATGTATAGTTTAAATGATACTAAATGTGTGTAATTAAATAAATAAAGGAATATACTGCAGCATGTGTGTGCACGCATAGTTACGTAATAAGTAGATCGTACATAAATAAATAAAGTGTGTGTGTTTACATGGATTGTGCTAGCTTGAATAGAACATTATATATGCTAATGAATGTATTTGTACGATGCTGTCATATTCACCCTCTTGCCAGCCTACCACATTCTCATTTCTCAGTCCGCCGGGGCTTGCCACTTTAGTGATCTCAAACTCCGTCAATGCCCATGCCGATTGTCACCTCAAACATCATTATACGAAGCCAGATTTTGTATGTGGGCGTGAAAGAATGAACATACTACGTGCAAACATGTTGTTTTGGCCTTCGGAGATTATAGATTATCGATTGATTTACACAAGCATAGTTTTTTCTTTATAACGGAAATGACTTACATCTCCGACTTATGCCACAGGCACATAACTAAGGAGTTAAGAAAATAAAGATAAAAAAAACTTGAGGTTATGGACAAACCCCATCTCCCTCCTGATGATATCCTAACGAAATATCGAATAGAAAACGCATAGAATCTATAATGATATTTTAAAGAATTACGTCATCCAAAGTGGGACAATTGACCCCTGGCTGCCGCTTCTAAGAATGTAGCTCCACTGCGCATAGTATCCTACTCCTCCTGTGAGAGCATTAATAAAAATGAATCCAACTAGAAGACGTGAAGATAATCTGCGTGAAGTAAAACAATTTCTTGTTATTGAAAACTATATCATTCCAACAATGCTAAATTGTCCAAACTATACATTTGGACAAGATAAAACGCCAGAAACAACTATATTAACATCAAAAGCAAAGAGAAAGTTGCAGAGGCTATTTTCTCTAACTGTACTAGCTTGTACTGGGGTCCTTAAGAGTGTGTTTGGTTCATGGTCAAGAATAAATAGGATATGCTCGTCCATATTTGCAGGGATATGGTGGTCTTTTTTTTTAATTGGGTGGATATGGCCATCCAGTTTCTTATTTAGATGGGTGGATGAGAATGGATGGAATGAAACAATAACATATTAATTAATAATAAAATATATTAATTATCATTAATATAGCTATAATTTAGACTATTTAATTATAAAAGAGGCTAGTATCTAATCAACACTAATTTTAACAAGTTTATTACTAATTAACAACAAAATGCATTAATTATTGCTAATCAATTACTAATGATCTAGATTAGCAAAGGTGGATATTCTCATCCGGTCAATTTAGCCGGATGCACTCATCCATCATTTTCATAGAATATTCTCTATCCGGACCGCCATATTTACCTTCCTCCACCAACCAAACGGACACTAAAAACTGAATCGCTATCTCCCATTGAAGAATATCCCTGCAGCCAAACACATCATAAAGATAGGCATCCTTCAAGCAAGCTGAGCAACGTAAGCAGGATTTGCGATGCTCTTTTCAGGCGGTTTTACTTAAAGCCGTACGTGGGCAGTTGTTATACCATGACCACAGATCGAGAAGGGTGACGACGCATGATTAATTGATCGCTTGTTAATTATCCTATATTCCTATACGCTACCTTAATTATTAGGTGTGATGGTTGCACTTCGATCGTGTATCCATTATTAAGCTCGTGCCTAATGACAGTGATGTACTACAGTAAAACATGACGTTTTAGATTAGGTTTGAACTACGCATGAGCAGTAATGTATTGCAATTAGCACGCGAGAGTATCCTATGTTGAAATTAGATATCTACTACCTAGGTTTTTTAATATTAGAAGGAAACCTGCTAAGTTTTTAATTTCGAGTAGAACGTCAATTGAAATCTCGATACCTGTCTGCAAATTGAAGGAAGATTAATGAATAAATTGTCAACTCAATATAGATATGAATTGCAGGTACAAATAAATAAAAAGAGCGAGCGATCGAAACAACGGTTTAGAGCGTATCAACGCCCACCGGATCTGTAATATGTCCAGTTTATCGATCGATCGATCGATCGATATTATATGATCCTTGCCTTAAGTTAGCTTTGTTAAGTACTAAGTGAGTATTATATATGTCCAGGTATCAGTGTGTAAGACCAATTGATCGCTCGCTCGCGAACTCTATAAATGGTGGCCTCCAGGGCATGGGTCTATCAGTCAAATTAGCTGGAGAAATTAGCTGCTATTAGCAACATACTTGATGGATATGACTGCTATGAGGAAGCCATTAGTACTAGCAGTAGCGTTGTCGGCTATATTGCTGCTGGCGGCGGCGGCGGCGGACGTGGACGTGACGGTGAGGGACAGTGACCTGGAGTCGGAGGAGACGATGTGGGATCTGTACGAGCGGTGGCGCCGCGTGTACGCGTCGTCGTCGCAGGACCTGCCGTCGTCGGACATGATGAAGAGCAGGTTCGAGGCGTTCAAGGCGAATGCCAGACAAGTGAACGAGTTCAACAAGAAGGAGGGCATGAGCTACACGCTCGGCCTCAACAAGTTCTCCGACATGAGCTACGAGGAGTTCGCCGCCAAGTACACCGGCGGCATGCCCGGATCCATCGCCGACGACAGAAGCAGCGCCGGCGCCGTGAGTTGCAAGCTGCGGGAGAAGAACGTGCCCTTGACGTGGGACTGGAGAGACAGTAGAGCTGTCACTCCTGTCAAGGACCAAGGCCCTTGCGGTACATACGCTACGTGATTCATATTTATATTCAAAATCTAGTTTATTTAGCATACTCTCTCTGTCACATATAAAAACAATTTATAATAAGATTCTTTGATGTTTTCTAGTATAATATATCTGGACATGTTTCTATCCATATAAATATATTATACTAGAAAACATCATATCACACGATTGTCGGTCGACCAGCAACGAGAGAAATACTAATAATTAATATAATTATATATATAAATATATATAGGGAGCTGCTGGGCCTTCTCTGTGGTGGGGGCAGTGGAGAGCATCAACAAAATCAGGACAGGGATTCTGCTGACGTTGTCGGAGCAGCAGGTTCTGGACTGCTCCGGCGCCGGCGACTGCGTCTTCGGGTACCCCAAGGATGCATTCAACCACATCGTCAACACAGGCGTATCTTTGGACAGTCGCGGAAAACCTCCGTACTATCCTCCATACGAGGCCCAGAAGAAGCAGTGCAGATTCGACCTTGTACGTGATTACTTACTCTATACCAGATACTCCAGCATATATACTTACTCTATACCAGATACTCAAGCATATATGAAATTAATTACTCTCTCCGTTTCTAAATATTTGACACCGTTAATTTTTTTAACAGATGTTTAACCATTCGTCTTATTTAAAAACTTTTATGAAATACTCCCTCCGTTTCGTTTTATTTGACGCCGTTGACTTTTTATCACATGTTTGACCATTCGTCTTATTCAAAAACTTTTGTGAAATATGTAAAACTATACGTATGCATAAAAGTATATTTAACAATGAATCAAATGATAGGAAAAGGATTAATAATTATTTAAATTTTTTGAATAAGACGAGCGGTCAAACATATGCTAAAAAGTCAACGGTGTCAAATAAAACAAAACGTAGGGAGTATGTAAAACTATATGTATATATATATATAAGTATATTTAACAATGAATCAAACAATAGGAAAAGAATTAATAATTAGTTAAATTTTTAATAAGACGAACGGTTAAACATATTTTAAAAAAATCAACGGCGTTAAATATTTAGAAACGGAGGAAGTACCTAGCAGTCGACTGACAAAAATATGTATGGCTGTATGTATTTCGTACCTATACAGGAGAAGCCTCCATTTGTGAAGATCGACGGCATATGCTTCGCTCAGTCTGGCGATGAAACTGCTCTGAAGCTGGCAGTGTTAAGCCAACCCGTGTCCGTTATCATCCAAATCAGCGACAGATTCCATTCGTACCACGGGGTAACTTAATTACTAACTACTCTCTCCGTCCATAATAAGTTAATTACAATACATAACATATCATAATATTACGAATATGAAAAGAGTCGTAATACTAGAATATATCACATCTCTAGTAAATTAATTTATTTTACGCGCTACTAGCTTCTAGTAGCTTCTAGCTAGTAATTAATCTCTTTTGAAAGCATTACAACTTATTCCCTCCGGTTGTATAATTCTTGACGTTTTGGACAATGACACGGTTTTCAAAATATATCTTTGATTATATTTTTCTATTATAATACATACAATAAATAAATAAATAAAATTTTACTTTTGTTATACTCACTCTGTCCTATATTATAAGAGATTTTGGACAGGTTCCCTACCCGTACCTATTCAAATTCGTAATACTAGACTATGTTACATCCACCCAATATCTCTTATAATATGAGACGGATGGAGTGGTATTTTGTAAGACAAATCTATATATGTTGTTCTAGTTCCTTAAACCTAAATATTTTTTAAGTTATTGCTAATTAAAGTTTAAAAAAAGACCTAAATATTGTTCTAAACGTCCATAGTTATGGAACCGGAGGGAGTATATCGATTTAATTGATTGCTAACGAGTCAATTATTAATCAGGGTGTTTTCGATGGACCGTGCGGAACGGAGACTAAAGATAACCACGTGGTGTTAGTGGTAGGGTATGGCGTGACCACAGATAATATTAAATACTGGATCGTCAAGAACTCTTGGGGCGAAGGCTGGGGTGAAAGTGGCTATATTCGTATGAAGCGCGACATCACGGACAAGAACGGAATCTGCGGCATCACTACGTGGGCAATGTACCCCGTGAAGAAATATATAGTAGCTCATGATGATGCTGATGTTGCTGCGTACTAATTTATTATTATGTACGCTGCACTTAAACCTAGTCTGGATTATATTAAATAAAAGTATAAGATGGATTTAGTAGTGCGATATGTATATATGTGCGCGCGCGCGCTGTGGTGTGTTTAAGAAAATCAATATAAAAACTCAGATGGTGTGTAGTTATGAATTATATGTTTTATCTTCATGTATACGTACTTTTCTGCGTATGATTATATCACTATTACAAAACAATACATCCATAACACCCTTATAAGCACCGATTCACTTAGAACCGACACCTATAACCACTCATTGGTGCCGATTCATATTAAAAACGAGAATAAATAAGTATTGGTAGTGGTTGGTATTATGAACCGGCGCCTATACGTGAATAATTAGTACTCGTTTTTTTTATAAAACCAACACTAAAATATCTCAAGCTACACGATATATCGTGTTTTTTAGGTGCGGTCTTATTCCTTTTCTCTCCCTTATTATTTTCTCTTCTCTTTAATTTCTTCTCTCTTCTTCTGATCCATCCACCAATGCACAGCGGTCGGAGGGTGGCCTTCCCATGGTGACGTGCAACGATTATTGGTGGACGGCCTCCACCGTAGCAAGGCCATGACCTCCTCACCACATCCAATTAAGATCGACAAGAGTGACGCATGATTAATTGATTGCTTGTTATACCGTGTGCTACCTTAATTATTACCGATGGATATATATACTTCGTGTATATCGATTAAGGTCGTGGCTAATTGGTGACAGTGATGTACTACAGTAAAACATGACGTCTTGGATTAGATTTCAAAGTTTTCTACTACCCCCATTTCAACCTACTTGTCGTTTTAGCGAACCTCACATACATACATTACATGGTTACTCTTGTTAAATACTTTTCGATTATTTTCTAAGGTATATGAGTCAATGAGAATTGTGATTTGCATTAAGACAACTAGACAAGACTAATTGATAAATGATAGAAAAGGAAAATCATCTCTAAAAGTGTTTTGGATGTGGGTATTTTAATATAAAATTTAAATGCTAAAATGACAAGTAATATAAAACCGAGAGACTCAGAGAGTACTAAGTATGACTAGTACTCCCTCCGTCCCAAAATATAGCAACCTAGGAGGGGTTAATTACTTCTTTTTATTTTGAGAATATGCATAAGTTTTATATCTTTGTATTAAGATTAGGAAATTACATCTAACCAGTTACTACACGAAACAAGCCGAAACAAAGGTGGCGACAAGGAAGAAATTACTTGCGTATCAGCTAGAGTGAACGTCGACGTTATATATCCTACGAACAAATTAGAAATCTAGGCTTGTTTTTAGAAGGAAACATAAGTTTAATTTCGAGTAGTCAATTGAAATATCCCTATCTGCATGCAAATTGAATGAATAAATGTCAACGTACTTATATATAGCTATGACCTGTAAGTGCAAATAAAAGCGACAGAAAAAACATTTTAATTAAAGCGTATCAACGCCCACTGAACTTGTACGGCCGTGTTCGCATCTGGTGTTGAAAACTAATCCCACACGCACGTAAAACGAAACAACTCATTAGCATATGATTAATTAATTAGTATTATTAGCTATTTTTTAAAAAAAATAGATTAATATAATTTTTTATAGTAACTTTCGTGTAGAAAGCTTTTGTAAAAAATACGTTTGAAAAGCGTGCGCACGGAAAAAGCGAAAGGTGAGTTGGAAAACGCAGGTACCAGAGCCCAGTCTAGCCAGTTTATCAATCGATATCCTTGCCCAAGGAAACTTATTTTTTCTTTTAACAACTCCATCAACTTTTTGACAAATATTTGACCATTTGTTTTATCCAAAATTTTTATACAAATATAAAAAAATTAATTCATGTTTAAAGAACATTTGATGATAAATCATATATTAGAAAACTATAAATATTTAGAATAAAATGAATGGTTAAATGTATTTTAAACAGTTGGTGTCATATATTAAAAAACTAATAGAGTAGTACGTCACTACGTTGTTTCATTTTCATAGTGGAAAAAAAATAAAAGATTACAGCTGTGAAAGTCTTTAACTATGAAAAAGCAAGCAAACACACACCTAGCTAGCAGCTCATCACAGTACTCCCCCACATGCATATAATCATGTGCACCTGACCTATCGCGAGCTCTATAAATACTGGCCTTTAAGCATAGATCGTCCATATTTCGGTCGAACACTGCTCCATCATTGAAAGATCCTAGCAACATAGGAGTATATACTACTACATACAACAAACACTCAGATAGATATGAAGAAGACGACATTATCACTAGTCGTAGGGTTGTGGGCTGTGCTGCTGGTGGCGACGGCGGCGGCGCAGGACGTCGACCTGACGGTGACGGACAAGGACCTAGAGACGGAGGAGAGCATGTGGAATCTCTACAAGTGGTGGTGCAGCGTGTACTACGCGTCGTCGTCGTCGAGGGACCTCGCCGACGTCGAGAGCAGGTTCGAGGCGTTCAAAGCGAACGCCAGGCACGTCAACGAGTTCAACAAAAAAGAGGGCATGACCTACAGGCTCGGCCTCAACCAGTTCTCCGACATGACCTTCGAGGAGTTCGCCGGTAAGTTCACCGGCGGCAGGACCGGATCCATCGCCGGCGATCTCAGAGATGGCGCCGTGACTTACTGCAAGCCGCCGGCGGTGGGCTACGTGCCCCCTTCCTGGAACTGGACAAAGTATGGAGTTGTTACTCCTGTCAAGAACCAATTGACTTGCGGTACGTGCGTATATATACGTACTCCATCGTCGTTCCTATAAAAAACTAACCTCTAATACTGAATACGACATATCCTAATTCTATAAATCTGCACATATCTATGTTTAAATTAGACTATGTCGCATCTAGTTTTAGATTTATTTTCTTATGGAGGGAGTGTAATACGTGATTAATTAGCTAAGTTAACACATGTACATGGGAAATTAGTTAATACAATAAAAATGAGTATGTATGAAGGGAGCTGCTGGGCGTTCTCCGTGGCGGCGGCGGTGGAGAGCATCAACATGATCAGGACAGGGAACCTGCTGACGCTGTCAGAACAGCAGATTCTCGACTGCTCCGGCGCCGGCGACTGCAACGGCGGGTACCCATACGATGCATTCGACTACGTCATCAAGACAGGCATATCTTTGGACAATCGGGGAAATCCTCCGTATTATCCTCCTTACGAGAACCAGAAGCAGAAATGCAGATTCGACCCTGTAAGTGTCTCACTCCATGCATATAATACCAGCTGACAGCATGCATCTGATTAGTTATTAGGAGTCCATCCATATATATATTACAATGACAATTAATAACGGACTATTAGAGTTATTAATTAACAAGAAAAGTTTGCTGATATGAAAGATAGAAACTGAGAAAGGGAGGAAGAATGTTGCTACGCATGACAACAACTTAACATCGTTTCTTAATATTTATATAAAAAAATACTTTGTTGCATGAGGATGGAGAAAAACTGATTGAAAGATAATAAAAAGTATATTGATGGTTAGAGGATTTTTGTCGTCTAAAGGACTAATTAAGAGCCCATACCTACCTGTGAACATGCTCCATACTCACTCGGGCCTCATCTTTTCGCTTATGCTTATGCTTATCAGCTAAAATTTAAATTTTTAACCTTAAATTTAGAACTGATTTTGAGGTTTTCTAATTGAAGTTTATTTTTTAGCCTTTGCTTTTAGATCGATAAGAACACGTATATAAAATTTTTATTTACAGATTACTTTTCGTTTGCAAATATATTATTTCGCTTAAGCGAAACGATGGCTCCATCCGTTTCTTTTATAAGTCTTAGTATCTTCATCTCTCATCTATATTCGCTAACATCCATATGAATTTGGATACAAGTATATATGTGTCGATCAATTTAAAACCTAAAACATCTTATATAATGTAAAAAGGAGGAAGTATATTTGTAAGGATATAAGTCTAATGGAAACACCACGTTTATTTTTTGAGGCATAGAAATTTTCCAAAAAAAAATATAGATAGTACTGTATAAATACATTTATTAGCATATATGATAATAGATATCGATCAAATAGTAGTAGCTAAAATTGAATTTCTCCACTGTTTACTAACAATTATACCGCTGTACATATATTTCGTACACATACAGAGGAAGCCTCCATTTGTGAAGATCGACGGCGAGTGCTTGGTGCCGTCCGGCAACGAGACAGCTCTGAAGCTGGCAGTGTTAAGTCAGCCCGTGTCCGTCGTCATCACAATCAGCGATGAGTTCCGCTCCTACCGCGGGGTAATTAACTTGACTGTAGCTTAATTAGAGCAGGTACATTAGCAGGCTATAAGCCAGCTGCAAACATATTTTAGTGAGATAAATAAGGAGAGAGAAAAGCAGCGGGCTACAGATTTGTAGCCAGCTGTAGCACAGACTCCAAGACGCAGTATGTATATGACAGATGGGACCAGGTATTAATAGTGTAGTATGTAACTATTGTATGAATGAGCTATAAGATTGGCTATAGATGAATTGGAGATAGTAGTTGGCTATCCTATTAAACTTGCTCTTAGCGTGATTCGAGCTAGCAATTACTAATTAATCCCTTCACTTCAGTGTCGCAGGAAGCATTACTTCTCTACTTATATCGATTTAATGATGAATTAGTATTGATTAATTAATTAATCTGCATGGATGCAGGGTGTTTTCCGCGGACCCTGCGGAAGTAATCCGAATGTGGATAACCATGTGGTACTGGTGGTGGGGTATGGAGTGACGACGGACAACATAAAATACTGGATCATCAAGAACTCTTGGGGTAAAACATGGGGGGAGTACGGTTATATCCGCATGGAGCGGGATATCCTCAACAAGAATGGTATCTGTGGCATTACCACCTGGGCAATCTGCCCGTTGAAGAACAAGCCCAGACTCGCCTCTGCCGATGCTGCTGCTGCTGTTGCTGCCTACTGATACCTATAGTCAGCCACATGCATAAAACTCCAGATTTTGTCGTGTACACGTGCATGTACGCATAGCATATAATTAGTCAGTAAATTAGTACTAGGTATATATCTGCACGTGCGTTTAGGCCATCGGGGTTGAATAAATATAATGTACAAGACTTATCTAGCAGCGTGTGCTGTAATATGTGTTGATGTGCTTCGAAAAGCAATATAAAAGTCCAAATGGTGTGTATTTATGAATTATATATATACTTTTATCTCCGTGTATCTTTAATTCCTTGATAGTGATGTACTAGCAAACACTGCAGGTATAATCTATTATATTATTAAAGGAATAGAAAAGGTAGCCTCCATGTTCGCTCTCATGGTCTAGAAATTCTTACATTAATCGGAGAAAAAGAAAAAGCAAAGTCCATATAGAAATACAATTATAAAATAGCTGAAATTCGGAATTAAAAAATAAGGAATATTAGAAGAGGAGACTAGAGTCCATATAGAAATACAATTTAGAAATAGTTAAAATTCGGAATTAAAAAATAAGGAATATTAGAAGAGGAGACTAGAGTCCATATAGAAATACAATTAGGAAATAAATGAAATTCGGAATTAAAAAATAAGAAATATTAGAAGAGGAAAAAAAAACAGAGAGAGAGAGAGAGAGAGAGTAAAATATCTACCTTCCTGCAATGCTAGAAATATTTTAGGTTTATGGGATTTCCGAGATTCATCGCAAAGTTGATTTTGATTAAGCACTAGTATATTATGTTGGTCAATTTGCTATTATTGCAATGATAAAGTTTTTGGCAACTATATATGAGAAAATGTTCAATCCTAAAGTGGTATTTTCCAGCGAACCAAAGAGGAAGTTGAGCTCAGAGAGCTAGCCATCAAAAGCTAGCAAGCTTAGTGCATATTGTTGTGGTTGCCTTTAGATCTCTGAAATCGATTTTGCTATATCTCACTCGAAAGTTTTTTTCTTATCTCTCACTCGATTTTCTCACTCAAATTTACAGTGCATTTTCTTGTAAGTTACAGTGTAATTTATGAAACTTACACTGTAACTTTTGTAAGTTACACTGTAATTTTTGAATCTTCACATGTAAATTTTAAATTTTGTATTTGATTTGGTCTTTTTCTTGAGGATATGGTAATTTAATGTTTATTATGGTGTTTCTTAATTGCTTTTTGCTTTTTATTATATCTATCGGATTTTAATACAAAGATTAAAAATCTGTATGATACGATTATAAAAATCTTTCGAAAGATGTATAGGTACTCCCCTCTGAAATAGCTTCCCCACGCTAACACGACCTGGTCTTCAGATGGTGAACTGGAGGCCTTGAAAGGCTTTGCCAGGCTTGGTTGTTTCAACGGAACAAATTCCCTCAACAAAACAGCGAGATTTTTTGAGATCCCTCAACCACAAAGCCAGAAACGTTTGCCCCTAAACTTATTCAAACCGTTCACCGAAGGTCCCTTGGCAGTATATGTGGGTGGTTTCACTGACGTGGCATCCTAGTCAGCAAAAAAAAATTAAAAAAAAATCGTGGGGCCCACATGTAAGCAAGATTGGAGTTTAAATTGTAATAGAATAAGTTGGAGTCTTTTGCAAGTGAGTTTCTAAGGGATTAGGAGTACATATCCATATTGGATCTATGTTGCCACATCATAGTATAAATAGATGATGGGTTTAGGCTTTGAGTATCAATTTTTGGAGAGGATAATTTTGAGAGAAAATTAGGATTTTAGCGTAGATTTCGATTGAGTTCGAAAGTTGAGAGAAGAGTGTTGCGTTGCACTTTGTAAGAACAATTAGAACCAATAGAGTTGATCTATTTTCAATAGCGTGCTCGATTTGTGTTTTTTAATACATGACGCCATTGACTTTTTTGATATACGTTTAACCATTCGTCTTATTCAAAAAATATATGTAATTATAATTGTGACTTTATTTATCATCAAATGTTTTTAAGCATAACTTAAATATTTTTATATTTATTAAAAAAATTAAATAAGACGAATGTTTAAACATTTTTCAAAAAGTCAATGGTGTCATATATTAAAAAACAAAGGTAGTATATACTACTACTATTTAGTTTGTGGGTTGAAGACTTGAAGTATTTTCTAAGAAAAAAAGACAAGAAGACTTAGGACATTGAACAATATTCATGCTTGCAACGTTTGTCAAAGACTTTGTTAGGATAACTTTTGATAAAGAAGAAACCTTTTAAATGTACGTATGTATAAGTACATGGAAGCTAGATGGTGTTTCTGTCTCATGCATATCAGCATGTTGTTTTATCCGGCCCAAATAATATAGTGTGCGGGGGCAGGCAGGAATGTAAGCTAACCATGATTTCCTCTTATAATATGTACGCAAAGCATTACCTTCTGGACTAATTGATAGCTTATTAATGCTATTTAAATTATCCGGCCGGTGAGACCATATTATCAATTGCCTTAACTATTTGTGATTATTTCCCGCAAAAAAAAATTATTTGTGATTAACTCTTGTTCGTGCACGCCTCAGCTCATGTCCATGGTTAGTTAATAATATAAGCTGTCTGCGTACGAACGTCGTAACGGTACAACGATGTGCGCAAATATTATACTATCTCCATATTTTAATATATGATGTCATTGGTTTTTTATCCAACCTTTGATCATTCATTTTATTTAAAAAATTTATGTAATTATCATTTATTTTATTGTGATTGGATTCATCATCAAATGTTCTTTAAGCATGATAAGCATGATATAAATTTTTTTATATTTACACAAAAATTTTAAATAAAACGAATGGTCAAACATTGGTCAAAAAGTCAACGGTGTCATACATTAAAATGTGGAGGAAGTATATATTAATTATTACGTTCATTACTCCTACTACAACTTAATGATTTGCAAACGAATATATTGACGGGATCTGCATGCATGTCTACCAACGGAGGTGCGTGTGCATGAAAAGGAAAGGAGAGAGAAATTAAACTCAGCTTGGTCGTAGCATCCAAAGTTTTGAAATATTTTGTAATATAATTTATGTTCTCATACTGTAGGTTTATGTTTTTCAATCTAAAATGTACTCCCTCCGTTCAAAATGTTTGACACCGTTGACTTTTTAGTACGTGTTTGACCGTTCGTCTTATTCAAAAAATTTAAGTAATTATTTATTCTTTTCATATCATTTGATTCATTGTTAAATATACTTTCATGTACACATATATATTTTATATATTTTACAATTTTTTTAATAAGACGAACGGTCAAACATGTGCTAAAAAGTCAACGGTGTCAAATATTTTGAAACGGAGGGAGTATGTATTGATTAATTTGTAGGCGTACTCTTAACGTACGGGATGTACCTACGCATATGCCCTGCTTACGTACGTGCATATGGAAATAGAAAATACTCAAAAAAAAAAAAGAAAATACTCAGAGCGTCATGCAAACCAGCGACACTGAAGAGTACGTCTCGATTCTATCCACTACTCCATTTGCTTATGCTCTAATAGTTTTAATTTGGGCCAACTTATTGAAATCAATCTCTCTTAATTTGTCTGCAAATTGAATGAAAAATGTGGACACGAGAGATAGGAATAAGTATATATGAATGCCAAGTTACATACAAATAAGAGCGACTGAACGATAGTCTAGAGCGCACCGATCGTCGACATCAGTAATATCCGTGCGCGACATTAGTAATATTCGATCAGCATATATGTCCCGATCATATCCTTCATTACCAGCTACCATATATAAACTTGTTACGTACATACATGTGGATTATGCAATATTATGTACTCCCTCCGTCCCTAAATATTTGACGCCGTTGATTTTTTTAAACACCCTTCATCTTATTAAAAATTTAAATAATTATTAATTCTTTTCCTATAATTTGATTCATTGTTAAATATACTTTTATGTATACATATAGTTTTACATATTTTATAAAAGTTTTTGAATAAGACGAAGAGTCAAACATATTTAAAAAAATCAACGGTGTCAAATATTTAGAGACGGAGGGATTATAACTTTGTAAGTCCATAGTCTATCCAAAAAACATAGAAGTAAACCATGCATGACGATCAAGTTGCATTTATCACCGTACCAAGTGTTGCTTGCTAGCTTTGGTTTTGCAAAGGAAAAAAACAATCTGCTGTTGCTTGCTTGCATATATAGTATACTCCCCTATTGACTTTTTGGATCAATCTTTCTTCGGAACTTGGACCATCAATAGCTCTCTAAAAATATAGTTTAAAAATATACAAATCATATATGCTTTTTTTATTATAAGTGCTTTTAATTTACGATAACATAATTTTGTTAAATATTATCATTAATACATTATATTTAATTTAATATAAAACAGTAGTTAACGTTACATACCAAATATCGAATAAAATTGATAGAATCGTATATTTAAATACGGAGGTGTATAGTGCTACACATGTATTGATCTAGTATTAATTAGTCTGTGTGGTCAGCTAGCTACTACCTCCGTCCCAAAATAAGTGCAGTTTTGCACTATTCACGTTCAACGTTTGACCGTCCGTCTTATTTGAAAAATTTATGAAAAAATTAAAAATATTTAGTCACATATAAAGTACTATTCATGTTTTATCATCTAATAGCAATAAAAATACTAATCATAAAAAATTTTCAAATAAGACGGACGGTCAAACGTTGAACATGAATAGTGCAAAACTGCACTTATTTTGGGACGGAGGGAGTACAAAATACTACTCCAGCTTGGTTAAGAAAATAAAATATTCTTGAAAATAGACATATGCATGGTCTTCAAAATTATACATATTTAATTCAAATTTTATTAATGCATGTATATTTAACAATCTAGCAAATTTCAAATGGAGAAGAAAAATAACAACTCTGACAAAAAAAAGGTGCAGTCGAATTTGCTGTTAGAGATTTGTTATATTTTCCTCCATTTAATTTGTAGATCGAATTTGCTGTTAGAGATTTGTTATATTTTCCTCCATTCAAATCTACAACATCACGAAAGCTTAAAGTGTACTTTAATATTGTAGAAAGATCGCACCACCATTTTTCTCATACCATTACCGTACGATCCACTTATTCTTAAAAGTTCCGAAGAGTTGATTATATTCCATCGAAATAATTTGAACTCACACCTCATGGTAATTAAAGATGGAACAGTCTGTTTGGTAAAAGAAGATCAGTAGTAGCATCGTTTTTCTCTATAACTTATCCCTCCAGAAAAATAAAATAAAAAAGGAAAACAAAAAAAAAATGCAATGGAGGTTGATGGATGTTGTACAATATAAAACTGATACCCAAGTTAATTAATCTTTTGATAAATCTAAGCTCGGAACTGGCATATATGGAACCAAATTATTTCATAAAAGTATGTTTAGCCACAAACCATGATATTCATATCCACACCGAATTTGAATGTAAAAATAATCTGCAAGATGATATTACTGGAGTTGAAGGTGGCTATAAAAATCAAGATCTTTATGTGGTTCCTAACAGAAGAAAGTGATTTTAGCAAAGGATAAATTGTGGCATATGTTGTAATGTTCTGTTTGCATATTTTTAGGCCATTGCCTAGCCCATTGTAAAATTGATTTGTGTTGTGCACTGTGTAGGTTGATTTTGGTATTGCAGCAAAGATAAAGTTTCTTGTAATTGGGAACTGTTTAATCCTAGCTATATATGTAGGTTACTAGGTTATATCTTTATGTACATTCAACTGGTATTCTAAGGAAGCATGACAGTATGTTCAATAATGCTACCTCTTTGCTTGTATTGATATATATATAGTTTGCCAAGGTTTTGTATTATTCCATTATGAGTTGTGCAGTGTCTACACAAACTTATTTGTTAGGACATACATATGTGATCTTTGTGAGTTTTGACTTTAAGCGGTAAATATTTTAAGACACGATGCATGGTGAGTACGTAATGATAGAGATTGAGAATATATATGAATATAATCCATGTTCTCATGTAAGCTAGTACAACCAGTAACCACTGCATGCCTAGCTAGCTTGCTCAACCTTATGGTTTACTCTACATCGATCGATCGATGGACGATGGATGTATAGCTCTCGATCTATAAATAGTGGCCGCGTCCATCGAGAATTAATACGCACACAACAACTGCAGCAGCTAGACAATAATAATTAAGCCACTACTACTATACAGAGACATCGATGAGGAAGCAGTTAGTGGTGGTGTTGGCTTTGCTGGTGGCAGCAGCAGCAGCCATGGCGATGGCTGATGAGGAGGACGTGACATTGACGGACAAGGACCTGGAGACGGAGGAGAGCATGTGGAGCCTGTACGAGAGATGGCGCGCCGTGTACGCGCCGTCGCGGGACCTCTCCGACATGGAGAGCAGGTTCGAGGTGTTCAAGGCGAACGCCAGGTATATCCACGAGTTCAACCAGAAGTCGAAGGGCATGTCCTACGTGCTCGGCCTCAACAAGTTCTCCGACCTCACCTACGAGGAGTTCGCCGCCAAATACACCGGCGTCAAGGTGGACGCCTCCGCCTTCGCTACTGCTACGACTTCCTCTCCCGACGAGGAGCTCCCCGTCGGCGTGCCCCCGGCGACGTGGGATTGGAGACTGAATGGCGCCGTGACTGACGTCAAGGACCAAGGACAGTGTGGTACGTATGTATACCTAATAACTATTCAGTTGGCATGCATGTGTTATGATGCGAATAATAAGGGGATCAGATATATATCCTATTGAGAGACCAAAATACTTTTCCTATTTATATATATTAATATATATGGTTTAATGAATGAAATAATAAAGGGAGCTGCTGGGTGTTCTCGGCGGTGGGGGCGGTGGAGGGGATCAACGCGATCATGACGGGGAACCTGTTGACGCTGTCGGAGCAGCAGGTGCTCGACTGCTCCAACACCGGCGACTGCCTCAAGGGCGGGGATCCTAGGGCGGCACTGCAGTACATCGTCAAGAACGGGGTCACCTTGGACCAATGCGGCAAGCTTCCCTACTACCCAGGTTACGAAGCCAAGAAGCTGGCCTGCAGGACGGTGGCAGGGAAGCCGCCGATCGTGAAGGTGGACGCCGTGAAGCCGGTTGCCAACACCGAGGCCGCCCTGCTGCTCAAAGTCTTCCAACAGCCCATCTCCGTGGGAATCGACGCCAGTGCCGACTTGCAACACTACAAAAAGGTACTATACGTATATTTGTGCTTGAAACATTATATTATATTGGTGCAAATTAATTAATACTACTTAATTTATTGGTGAAAGTTATCCTGAACTTAATAACCTTACGTGCATCCTGGATGCATTGCGCAAATATATACGCAGGGTGTATTCACTGGTCGTTGCAAGACGGCGCCCTTGAACCATGGCGTGGTGGTGGTGGGTTATGGTGTGAATACTACCCCGGACAAGACAAAATACTGGATCGTTAAGAACTCGTGGGGCAAAGGCTGGGGCGAGGGTGGCTACATCCGTATGAAGCGTGACGTGGGAACCCCGGGGGGTCTATGTGGCATCACCACGTATGCCACATACGTTACAAAGAAGTGTCCTTGCCCCGCAAACCCTCCCACTATCATCGCCTCCTACTAACCGACCGAACCAATACAGATCATATAGCTCCACTCACATACACATGCATAATAAGTACACGTGTTGTCACCTTTCTTGAGTACTCAAATGTGTGTCGTAACTATGGTTACCTATGGTACACCCATGTGCTTAAGTAAATAAATAATGGTATATATTAAGCACACGCGCATGTGTACAAAGACATGCATAAACTATAATAAAAAGGAGTTTGTGAATCGGTCAAGTTTGAATAAATCAATACATCAGTGTATGCATGCCTGTGTGCGTTGGTGTGCTTGATATGAAGAAATAAAAGTTCTCGTTATTATGAGTTCAGTTACTCCTACAGTAGTATTTTTCATAGTTTGTTATCGTCTCACATTCTCATGACCTGCAGGCCCTACGTATGTGGGGAATAGACCCTTCTCTCACATAATGACCTGTGTGTTTTGTTTCCAATACAAATGGAAGCAATCTTATGCACATCTATACTACATGCATGTACGGCTTGTGAACGTAGTTACAACTTACAAGTGCAAGCAACAACAAGGAAAATGATTTCTTCCCCTGAGGAAAATGATTTGTTCCCTTAAGGAAATGTCCATGCCATCCAAATATAGTAATAAAATAGAAAAAAAATTAAGAAGAGATATATAACTAGCTAGATCAATATGACATTTTTTGCATGCACTATTTATAGTCATATTTCAACTTATATAGATTTGAATTTAAATCTGTCTATGTGTGGAGTGATATATCTTTTATATTGATCTATCCTATAATTTTTTTAATAGTTTTATTGACCGTTAATTAATTTGATGGCATAAAAATAAGGGTACATATATCTCCTTAAGAAATTTAGAAAAAACATCTCCCCAACAATATAATCCTTTTCACGGCTCTTGTATCCACAACACCACTTCAAGAGTGTTACACAGAGCGCACACCCTCTATATATGCTATGGATGGTGAACTGGGCAGAAATTGATAGTGAGGGGGAGGATGAAGAAGAGGAATTGAATCAGAAATGATATGTGCAGACGGATCGTGGGCGGCACCAACTTTTTTTTTTCCCCAATTGGATTACATCATATATCTTGTAGCTAGGTCTAGCTAGCTAAAAAACATCTGTGGTTTGTATCTAGAAGGTAAAATAGATAGTAGGAAAAATTTATGGATAGATGAACAAGTATGATTTTCAAGTTTAGGTATGATTTTTATACTCACGAGGAAATGTAAAATGGATTTTCTTTTTCAGTAAGGTGAACCTTGCAGATCTAAGTTCGTTTTCAGTTTGTTTAACTCCATTTCTGTATGAAAAAAAGTTTTAGTGACCTACCAATAATGAACATATATATTTATATGCAGGGTGTGTATAATGGACCGTGCGGGACATCGGTAAACCATGCAGTAACAACTGTTGGGTATGGCGTGACACAGGACAACATCAACTATTGGATTGCTAGGAACTCGTGGGGTCCTAGATGGGGAGAGAGTGGCTACATCCGCATGAAGCGTGACATAGCAGCTAAGGAAGGGCTATGTGGCATATCCATGTACGGCGTGTATCCCATTAAGAGAACAGCTGCAATCTCTAGCGTTGTCGATGTCGTTACCTCCTACTAATAACATCGAGTGAGGTCGTACTGTCATGAACACGACTTTTCTAGATGTTGAAAATTATATTTACATACGCATATATAGTGAGAACACTTTCATAACTAAATAAATAAAATGATATAATATGCACATCCGCACAAATAAATATATGTGCAAGTATGAAAAAAAGAGAGTGGACACTTATATATGCATGGGTCTAGTTTAAAAATGATGTGTTCGTTGTACGCATTTATATATTTGTATGTTTCTGTGTGCTTGAGAAGGTAATAAAGCTCAACTTTTAATTTATATGTGTTGTTTTCTACATTTTAACATTTGAAGGAAATTATTTTTTGTCCCTCGAGGGAATTCATGTCCCCTCATTCTGCAGTTCATTCAAATAGTTAATATAAAATATATAAAATAAGTGACAAGATAGATCATTATGGCATATGTTACTACACAACATGAAAGTTCAAGCTTATACAAATTACAACAAAAATATATAACATAGGCATTGTATAAAACAATACATTTGGATGGCATTAAAAAAAGAGGACAGGGAATCCTTAACGGATGAACAAACAGCTCCATTATTTTGAGTTCAACAAGACCCATACACGATTTCCTTTTAGATTATGTATATATACATTATATATTAGCCCCTGTTTAGATTCCAACTTTTTTCTTCAAACTTTTAACTTTTCCGTCATATCAAACTTTTCTACACACACAAATTTTCAACTTTTCCGTCACATCGTTCCAATTTCTTCAAACTTTCAATTTTTAGCAATTTTATAGTCTTTGAGGAAGTACTATGAGGTATCACTTTTTCTATTGTAGATTTGGTACCTCTTGGTACCTAGGTACTATGACATACCATGAGGTATAAAAAATAGTGTAAAATTTGGTACCTCATGATACCTTCTCAAGAACAGTAAAATTGCTCTTCAATTTTAGCGTGGAACTAAACACATCCTTAATTTGGAGTAGTAATTATAAGGGAGAATAAACTTTTTTGACCATAAGTACAAATATTGGTTGATGCCGATGGACATGGGTTGGCTTGAGATTTGGGCCGAATGAGATCGAGGTTAAGATATGTTGGGCTGGGCTGACGGAGGAGAAGATATGAGTAAGGAGGCCGAGCAGTCAAGTGGGCTGTTCCTCCGGTTCAGCTCGCTCGACCAGTCATGGATCGATCTGGCCGGATTGAGAGACAAAATTAGTAATACCGTAGGTTCTATAAGTTTTTCAATCTAAAATGTGTTGATTAATATGTAGAATAAGAAAAAGATAAATATCACTGTATAATAAATTAAGTGAGTCTACTTTACTAGTTTGAGTAAAAGTAAACTTATGAAGAGGTGTAAAACGTCTTAACAGGACGTACGTATGCATGCCCTGCTTACGTACATGCATATGGGAAAAAAATAGTCAGAGCGTTGCCTAAAAAAAACACTGAAGGTACGTCTTGATCCTATCCACTACTCCAGTTGCTTGCTCTAGCTAGTTTTAATTTGGACTAACCAATTGAAATCAATCTCTTTGTCTGCGAATTGAATGAAAAATGTGTCCCCGCAAAAAAAAAAGGAATGAAAAGTGTCGATTCAAAATAGGAAGTATATATATATGAATATCTGCCTAGTTACATACAAATAAGAGCGACTGAACGATAGTATAGAGCGCACTGGTCGATCGATCGATCGTCCACCGAATTTTAAACCTATCCGCGCGATATTCACTTGTTACTATATAATCACATGCATGTAAGACAGGGTGGGAGTATTAATTAATCAGATTGCACAAATAAATAATAGCCTAGCTTATAATAACTTATCCATGTGATTAACTCGTTGGAGCATCGTCACTTGATGTCTACTGTTTGTAGACAAGGAAAATGCATGTAAAGTACTCCCAGTCTCCACGTAAACTAGGAATACACTGTCATTACACCTTAGCTAAACAATGAGACGACCAAGAGAAAAAAAATATAACATTGTCATTTGTCAATGCTAAAGTTTTTTTTAAAAAAAATATCTATGATTATAGTTATATGCGTGGAAATGCGACCGTACGGTGCAATGATAGGGATGCATGCCAAATTGCGAATACAATATATACTATTCCCTCCGTTTTAGGCTATAAGACGTTTTGACTTTGGTCAAAGTGAAAAAATTTCAAGTTTGATTAAGTTTATAGACAAATATAGTAATATTTATAATACTAAATTAGTTTTATCAAATCAATAATTGAATATATTTTCATAATAAATTTGTATTGAGTTGAAAATGTTATTACTTTTTTCTACAAATTTAGTCAAACTTAAAGCAGTTTGATTTTGGCCAAAGTTAAAACGTCTTATAACCTGAAACGGAGGGAATACGAGTTAATGACTTACATAGTATATATTGACGGGATCTACATGCCAGTTGATGTGCATAAGTGCGTCAGTGCATGTAGCTAGTGTGCCTAAGAAAAAGATAAGTCCAATTTAACCCCTCAACTATTCACTTTGTTTAAAATGCATCATCGGAGTTTAAAACCGGTATTCAACACCTCAAAGTATCAATACTAGGCATATTACCCCCCTTAGCAATTTCGCTCCGGTTTTGGTACAATAAGACTCCACATAGGATGGCACATGTACAAATAGGAACTCAATCCTATCATAGGCACACATGTCAGCTCTCTCTTCCTCTACTGACCTCTCTCTCTCTTGCTCCATTTCTCTCTCTCTCTCTCTCTCTCTCAAGTGAAGGCAGAGGAGTAGCGTTGAGGCCAAGCTCGCCAAGTTATCGGGCCAGCGCACTTAATGACGATGAGGTGGGTAGGAAGTGTAGGGCGGCACCGGAGGTCAGAAACAAGACAATCATCGGTCAAGACCAGTGAAGATACAAGCGGCATCAGCGGATCTCGCAAAGACACACTGAACCAGATGGGGAGGAGCCTGCTCATCGGCGAGCCTCAAGGAGGAGCTTGCATCAGCGACGGTACTCCTGAAGAGAATTTCTCCCTGTCACTCCTTTCTTTCTCAAGGTTGAGGCTATGGGGAGCTCGATGCAACTAGGCCAACTCTGGTTTGGAGGGAGTTATAGAGAACTAATATAGATGGAGGGAGGAGGAGATTGTCCACGAGTATTTGCTTTGCCCATTCGCTGTGGGATTGGCGGAGCCCCGCAAGGAGGATAGTCCGAGCATGGCACTAAGGTTAAGGAGCTCACAGTCGCCTATGTTGCCTCTCGAGCTCGGGCTGCGGATCTAGAACGAGGCCAAGGCAAAGGTGGAGGTGGGTGGAGCTCAGGCTGCGGATCATCAAGTTACACGCATCGTGGGCTCCCTTAGTGCCCAGACTACCTTGAGCTCCATTGCATAAAGTCACCACACCACCGCTTGGAATTCCCGATTGGGGCCTAGATGAGCTCCGGAGAGAGGCGTGGGGCAGCAGCGGTTCCACTCAGAGCTATGGGCAGCGGTGCTCGAGGAGCACCACGTCGAAGACAAAGCTTAAAGAAGTGGTGCACTCAGGGATGCAGAGCACAAGCTCGATTGGAAGGTTGCAGCGGTGCTTGGGGACATTGAATTTGGCACAGGCGAGACTCGGGGATGAGGAACTTGAGCTTGACGTCGAAAAGAGATGAGATGAGAGAAAGAGGAGGTAGGCCCATAGTTGTATATAATACTATATTTGATGACTAGATTGCCATGTCAGTTGCCACGTTGGTGAAAACCAACTAATTTTTGACTTAAGGGGGTGTTGTTTGAACGGTTTCAAAAGATGAGGGGTGTTTAGTAGGCAATCAAGTTTAAGAGTGTTTTGTAGGCAATCAAAGAGGTAGGGGAGGTAATATGGACTTATCCCAAATAAAACAAAGAAGATGAGAAATTCAGTCGGTAGCTAGCATCCAACCTGCGATAAGCGAAGCGTAGACGTTTCTGATTCACTATGAAATTTAATGTCGTCGGTCAAACCAATTAATTTCGATCTCGCACTTCTCTTCAATTTGAATGAGTAAAAGTAAACTTAAATTAAATATAAACTAGCATGGTGGCCCGCACAGATTGCGCGGCTAGCATCATTATATTTTCTCTTATATAATAGCATATAGTATGTTTTCCCATTATATTATTCAAATATATTAAAATGACAACATAATTTTAAATTTTGTAGTAACTTTACAAAACTACTAATGTGTAATATTCATATTGTATTTTATATACGTGTTAGTTATTAATTATTTTTAATATCAAATTTTAGTTATTTGTAAATTATACATATTGACTCTTTTTTAATATTTTTTTAATTCCAAATTTTCTGTAAATTGTATTTCTATATAGACTCTATGCTCTTCTTCCAATATTATTTATTTTATTTTTGAATTTTTATTATTTCTAATTGTGTTTCTATGTGGACTCTAAACTAATTTTTAATTTTGAATTTCAGTTACTTCTAAATTGTATTCCTATATTGACTTTAAACTCTTCTTCCCACGTTTTTCTTAATTTCGAATTTTAGTTATTTGTAAATTGTATTTTTATATGGACTCTAAAATCTACTTTTAATTTTATTATGTTTATTCCAAATTTTAGTTAGTTTTAAATTCCTATATGGACTCTATACTCTACTTCTAATATTCCTTATTTTTAATTCCGAATTTCAGTTATTTCCTAATTGTACTTCTATATGGACTCTATACTATACTTCTAATATTCCTTATTTTAATTTCGAATTTCAGTTATTTCCTAATTGTATTCCTATATGGACTCTATACTATACTTCTTATATTCCTTATTTTTAATTCCGAATTTCAGTTATTTCCTAATTGTATTTCTACATGGACTCTATACTCTACTTCTAATATTCCTTATTTTTTAATTCTGAATTTCAGTTATTTACTAATTGTATTTCTATATGAACTTTAGTTCCCTCTTCTAATATTTCTTATTTTTTAATTCCGAATTTCAGTTATTTCCTAATTGTATTTCTATATGGACTCTGTTTTTTCTTTTTCTCCGATTAATGTGGGAATTTCTAGGCCATAAAAGGGAACGTGGAGGCTCATTTTTCTATTCCTTTAATAATATAATAGATTGTAGGCCCCATTATCTTAAGAAAATAGAGATGAATTGCTTGTACGAATAAGATGAGACCAATTGAAATGGGATATATCAATTCGCGGTCGTCGTCGTCTACAGAATCTGAGATATATCGACATCTATATATATATATATATATATATATATCCTCCCCAACTAACCTTGCTGCGTGTACAATAGTACGAACTTGCATATATATGATTATGCAGTTATAACATATATGCAGCACAAGGAGCTAAAAACTAAACCAAGAAATCAACTTGGATTATCACTAGCTTAAATTGTTGCTTCATAGTTAACTTATCGATCAATAATCTGTGGTCACCTATCTATATATAATTAAAGAATATTTCCCTAGCATCGTACAATTGGACATTAATTGACATGGTCTCTGCAACTAAAATTTGTAATGGACTAAGAATACATGCTCTTTTTCGTTTGAAATGTAGCATCAATTACTAGAATTAATTAGCTTAGTACGTAAATGCAAAAATGTCAAACAACGATAGAAACGTACTCATTTAAAATTTGTTCGGACCTTTTCTTAAGGGATTTGTTATAAAAGAACTTGAGAGTCAAATTGAATTATTGCGCGCGAGTCAACTGTATTTGGAAAATGGTAAGTGGGTCGAGTACCTTACAAGTTAACAGAACTCCTAATCTAAAATTTATAGAAAGACAAGTGATGTATATTTAAAAGAACATGCAATCAATATTCTCGGTCGTGATGGAGGAGGAGGAGGAACAATTCCAACACATTTTATATCATAGGAGTATCACCTTAATCAAGCTCAACTTGTAGGTAATTAATGGCGATCCTGTTAGCTAGCGATCGAGCTATAAAAATGGCAGCCTCCGATGCGTGCCCCATCATTGAAAGAAACAACAATCACTGGTGCGAAATAGCTAATAATTAAGAGACGATACAGGCGCTAACACACATGGAGATGAAAAATCCATTGGCAGTAGGGCTGTTGGCTCTGCTGGTGGCAGCCATGGCGGTGACGGCGGCGGCGCACGACGACGACGACGTGCCATTCACCGACGAGGACCTGGAGTCGGAGCAGAGCATGTGGAATCTGTACGATAGGTGGCGCGCCGTGTACGCCTCGTCGTCGTCGCACCTCGGCGGCGACATCGAGAGCAGGTTCGAGGCGTTCAAGGCGAACGCCAGGTATGTCAGCGAGTTCAACAAGAAGGAAGGTATGACCTACGAGCTCGGGCTCAACAAGTTCGCCGACATGACGCTCGAGGAGTTCGTCGCAAAGTACGCCGGCGCCAAGGTTGACGCCGCCGCCGCCTTGGCTTCCGTTCCGGAGGCCGAGGAGGAGGTGGTCGGCGATGTCCCTGCCGCTTGGGACTGGAGACAGCACGGAGTTGTCACTCCTGTCAAGGATCAAGGCTCGTGCGGTAATAACTAATTAAGGCCCCGTTTAATTTGAATGAATTATTATGACGAACTAGCATGGTGGCCCGCACAGATTGCACGGCTAGCATCATTATATTTTCTCTTATATAATAGCATATAGTATGTTTTCTCATTATATTATTTAAATATATTAAAATGACAACATAATTTTAAATTTTATAGTAACTTTACAAAACTACTAATGTGTAATATTCATATTGTATTTTATATACGTGTTAGTTATTAATTATTTTTAATATCAAATTTTAGTTATTTGTAAATTATCCATATTGACTCTTTTTTAATATTTTTTTAATTCCGAATTTTCTGTAAATTGTATTTCTATATAGACTCTATGCTCTTCTTCCAATATTATTTATTTTATTTTTGAATTTTTATTATTTCTAATTGTGTTTCTATGTGGACTCTAAACTAATTTTTAATTTTAAATTTCAGTTACTTCTAAATTGTATTCCTATATTGACTTTAAACTCTTCTTCCCACGTTTTTCTTAATTTCGAATTTTAGTTATTTGTAAATTGTATTTTTATATGGACTCTAAACTCTACTTTTAATTTTATTATGTTTATTCCAAATTTTAGTTAGTTTTAAATTCCTATATGGACTCTATACTCTACTTCTAATATTCCTTATTTTTAATTCCGAATTTCAGTTATTTCCTAATTATACTTCTATATGGACTCTATACTATACTTCTAATATTCCTTATTTTAATTTCGAATTTCAGTTATTTCCTAATTGTATTCCTATATAGACTCTATACTATACTTCTAATATTCCTTATTTTTAATTCCGAATTTCAGTTATTTCCTAATTGTATTTCTACATGGACTCTATACTCTACTTCTAATATTCCTTATTTTTTAATTCCGAATTTCAGTTATTTACTAATTGTATTTCTATATGAACTTTAGTCCCCTCTTCTAATATTTCTTATTTTTTAATTCCGAATTTCAGTTATTTCCTAATTATATTTCTATATGGACTTTGTTTTTTCTTTTTCTCCGATTAATGTGGGAATTTCTAGGCTATAAAAGGGAACATGGAGGCTCCTTTTTCTATTCCTTTAATAATATAATAGATTATTTACTTGATCAGAAAGTAAATTAAATATTTTAAAAAAATAAAACATGTATCTAGCTAGTATACGTAATGCAATAAAAGAAAGTATCTTGAGAAACGTATTTCTTAAAGTTTGGAGTAAATATGATTAACAATAAGTAGTACTTAATTAATTACCACTTTGTCCTCGAAAGGTTTGTGTAACTAAAACTAAACGTTTGACTGATGAGTTAAATAAAGGGAGCTGCTGGGCTTTCTCGTCGGTGGGTGCGGTGGAGAGCGCCTACGCGATCGCGACGAAGAAGCTGCTCCGGCTGTCGGAGCAGCAGGTGCTGGACTGCTCCGGCGGCGGCGACTGCGGCGGCGGGTACACATCGACGGTCCTGTCGGAGTTCGCCGTGAAGAAGGGGATCGCGCTGGACGCGAGCGGCAACCCTCCCTACTACCCGCCCTACCAAGCCAAGAAGCTGGCCTGCCGGACGGTGGCCGGAAAGCCCGTGGTGAAGATGGACGGCGCGGCGTCGGTTCCGTCGTCCAACGAGGTGGCACTGAAGCAGAGCGTGTACAAGCAGCCCGTCTCTGTGCTCATTGAGGCCAACAGCAACTTCCAGCTGTACAAACAGGTCAGCCATGGATGCACCTAAATCAGCAGAAAATTTTTTTGGTTGTATTAAAGATGCACACACACCACGTCTTATGCACATATATATGTGTCCACGAATACATCCTCTTTAAGATGACATAAGCCATATTTGGTAAGAGCTCCAATTCCAAAATTTAGCTCAAAGAGTTGGGTCTGGAGTGGAATTGTGGAGCAGCCAACACCCAGCTCTATATCTCTAATTTATTTTGTGAAAGCGCTCCACCAGCTCCGCTTTAATTTTAAGTGGAGCTAAAACTGTTTGGTTGAGCTCCAGCATTGAGAGATGTGGAGCTAGAGCTGAAACTGTACCAAACAAGCCCATAGTACTTCAAGAAACCGACACATATGGAAGATTTCAATTATTTAATTTTAAATATGTAGAATAAATCCTAATGATGTAGTAATTAATAAGTTGTTGGCGTACTTTAATTATGCAGGGTGTGTATAGTGGCCCGTGCGGGACATCGATAAACCATGCCGTGTTGGCGGTGGGATATGGCGCGACACCGGACAACACCAAGTACTGGATCGTTAAGAACTCGTGGGGAACAGGGTGGGGTGAGATGGGTTACATCCGGATGAAGCGTGACATTGCAGCGAAGTCTGGGCTATGTGGCATCGCCCTGTACGGCATGTACCCCATCAAGAAAACCGCTGCAATCTCTATGGTCGTTGATGCTGTCGACTCCTACTAAGCTACTTGCTTAATAAATTATCAAGAAAACCTGTGTCCTACGTGTTGATTACTGGTTACATATATATATATACTAGCAAAAGTGCCCGTGCGTTGCACCGGGTGATTACAGAGTGTGTATATTGACCAAAAGTGTTGTTTGGTTTAGCAAAAGTGCCCGTGCGTTGCACCGGGAAGTTTACAGATCAGAAAAATATGTAATTAATTAAAATACAAATTCGCTGAAATATTTGGTATTTTTAAGTAGGTATGTGTATAATTAAATAAATTTACAAGTAAAATTCTCCATTCTCCATGGTTAAATAAAATGACATGGTTAAATTTAATTTTATTAAATTCTCCATAATTAGTTACGCTCTTTGGAATTTTATTGGAATTTTCAGAGCTTAATTGCTAATTTTATTAATACAAACATCATTTAACAATTATTTAATTGGAAAAAGAAAGAAAATACTTTCTTATAGGTTTGCTTCGAAATAAACATATTCAATAGAACTATAATTGTAATGCTTCTGAAAAAATGAGCACTAAAAATGTACTTATTCTCTTTTTTTCGGCTCGAGGGACCAACAATAGACTTATTTCCGACCTATGCCGGTCGGCCCACGGCCTTTTGCGCATGCGCGGGCGCACTTTTCCTCCCCCAGGCCGCAACCTGGGCTTGGGCCGGAAAAGAGGCCTCACTCTCGATCCCTCTTGGGCCGATTTCGGCCCGGACGACACCGGCCGTCCGATCTCTAGGGTTTTGATCGGACGGCCGAGCGTCAATAGTGGGGAAACAAAACCCACTCCCTCTCAGCCGCGGAACCCTAGCCCATTTCCCTCCCTCCCATCTCACTTCGCCGCCCTCTCCTCCGCGCCCCCGAGCGGCGGCGGCGACGACGGCGCCCCTCCCCCACCACCGATGGCGGCGGCGGCGGCACCCCCACCACCCACGGCGGCGTCGGCGGCATCCTCCCCCACCACCGGCGGTGGATCTAGCGGGAGGGGAGGCGCCCCGCGAGCAGCGGCGACGACGACGGCGCCCCTCCTCCCGCGAGCGGCGGCGGTAGCACCCTCCCCCACCACCGGCGGCGGATCTAGCGGGTGGGGAGGCGCCCCGCGAGCGGCGGCGACGGCGCCCCTCCTCCCGCGAGCGGCGGCGGCGGTGGAGTCCTCCCCCACCACCGACGGTGGCGGCGGCGCTCTCCCCCACCACCGGAGAGTGCCCTCTGCCGCCGCCGCCGGCGGATCTAGCGGGAGGGGAGGCGGCGGCGGCGGTGCTCTCCCCTCCACCGGATCCACAGCGACGGCGACGGCGGCGGTTCGGCAACGACGGCGACGGCGACGGCGGCAGCGGCGGCGACCCCCTTCGATCTAATTTTTTGTTTTTATTTGGATATATGTGTGCTGGCGGCGACCCCCTTCGATCTAATTTTTTGTTTTTTTGCAAAGCGCTATAAGGCTGCATGTGATTCTTTGTTATGTGCTATGATTTTTTATACTATGTATGTATATATGCACTTTTTCTCCTGGTGATGCTAACCGAATAGGACTTGGTATAATTCAAACCAAGTCCTATTCGCCCAAACAGAAACAAAGTCCTAATCAGCTCAAACGAAAACAGATGGGAGTTTGTTTCCTATTTTTGTGGAATCGGACATATTCTTTTACCGCGTTGATGAATCGGATTCGTTCCGGTTTTTTTTCACCCGGTTTTTTTGACGGACGATGGAAGCACCTCTTATTTTTTAAGTAGTAGTAGAAGTAGATATATGCACAGTGAGCTGTGAGCATATTTTCGTAACTAAATAAATAAGGTAATTTATTCATAACTAAATAAATAAGGTAATAGTATGCACACGTACGTCGTCATGTGCATGTCGACGCACGTGTAAAAATAAAAAGGAACGGCCGGGCATATATGTATGGGTCGAGTTTAACTAAAACAGTGTGTTCGTCGCATGTATTGTTGTATGTTTTGTGCTTGAAAATTAATAAAAGTTCTAGTTTATTTGTAAATTGTTCTATATTTTCTCTTTGGCAGAAAAGCGAAGTCTCAAAACAGAAACATATTAGGAAATGTCAAATGTGGGACAGAGATTCTCTCATGAAGCGATGATTACTTTCTTTGGTGGGAACAGAAAATATATCATCATGTACATAATTAGCCTCCATTTTCTGAAAATAAAATGTGAACAGCCTCCATGAAAACATTTTATTTTGGGCATCAGTTTTTATAACTATATAAAATTCCAGAATTGCATGATGTTTTTGTTTGGGAGAGTTCATGTCCCGGTTAGGCCCATCTTTGGAATGGGCCAGAATATGGGGTTTGCCCATAGTTGTGGTGGATGTGGATGGTGGACTACTGGGCTGAACCAGCTGTACTGGTCTGGCCTGGGCCTGATGATTAGCACAAGGAAAAAGTACACCGAAGGTCCCTCAACTTGTCATCTAGTTACAAAATTTTTTAAGTAAGGCAGACGGTCAAACGTTGCACACAAAACCAAAAATACAATAGTAAAGTCTAAAACGAGCTTACGCCGGTATATACATGCACCATTAGAGCAAGTATAATAAGTCGACTAAATGCTGAGGTGGAGGATAGAAGAGAGGAGAAGCGGGCTGTAAACTTACAGCCGGGTTGGACACAAGAACCAAGAAAAACTCTGTAAAGGAGACAAGTGGGTCATATATTAATTGTAAAGAGCTAACTATTATATGGGTGGACTGAGAGAAGACTACAATGAACCTTATAGTCAACAAATCGACTGTATTATTAGTTTTGCTCTTAGCCGGAGAATCGGACCAATGGTATAGACTCCATGCATGGCCAGCCGTTGCCCACAGAGGAGCAGTGAAGGAAGTTAGGAAGCTAATTACTCCATTTGTCCCAAAATAAATGCACTCTTTCAGTTTAAAATAAACGCCGTTGAAACGTAAGCCAGAGAAAAAGCTTCCATTATCAATGCATGATAAGTAAAAAAAAAAAGAAAATGATATATTTTAAAATAAATAAATTTTAAAATTTAGAAATCATCTTATTTCGGAAAGATTTGGTGCGCAGTGTATAGGTAGATTTTGCACGGATTCGGATCGTCTGACGTAGTCGAAGTTACGTCAGAGGGAAGTAGCAGCGAGATGGACCACACGATCTGCATCGGACGGCAATCAGTGAGTGTGAAAAAATGATCAAGCAGCGACGGGAGCGCGGCAGCCGTGGGCGAACGCGGCAATCGACAGCGAGGCTGTTCCTGGGCCGGATTTTGTTGCCGTGGGCCAGGTGAGCCCGTTCGTTTTATCTAAGTTCACTGATTGCCGTCCGTTGCCGTCCGATGCTGATCGTGTGGTTCATCTCGCTGCTACTTCCCTCTGACTTAACTTCGACTACGTCAGACGATCCGAATCCATTTTGCACCAGGTCCTATAGAGATGTTTTTTTATCCTCGACGACAGGAACAGACATTAACCAGTCCAGGGATCTCAGTGCGCGTCGTAGTGGATAGGATATGGTCCTGCAGCAGGATACATCCAAATATTTTTCTTGTCTTGAGGGGATATGTTCCTTGATATACATTTACACCTCAAATAATAATACAAATAGTAATATTAAACTAAAATATTTAATAATATAGAGTACACTGATAAGGTGATGAATAGTGCGCGCAGGTGTTGTTAATAGTATATATTTTTTTTGTTAATGTGTGAATTGAATTCAAACTTTAAATAACTTCATTTTTAGCCCATATTGCACATACCAATATAAAAATTTAAATTAAATATTAGTATGCATTTCACTTTAATCAAATCCTAATGCATTGGTTGCTTAAAAATAAAGCCTTCATAGAACAAATGGATGGAGAAAAATTAATGAAGTTATTTTGAGACGGATGGAGTACATACTACATATTGTGGCAATGTCACAAATAAATTTCAGATATCTTGGTAATAACTACATGCATGTATTTTGAGAAAACGAGGGAACTAGCTTCACTTACAAATTCCACTTTTCCGGTTCCGTGTGCATAGGGGAAATATAGTAGTGATCCGGCCACTTCCTGTTGCACCCGGGAAATAATCATTTGGTGTATTGCAGTAGTACTGATGCTGATACCCACCTGAAATTATTGGTGCATTGCACTATTGATACTGATACCCACCTCGTACCTAGCTCTCTCCCTCGTGATACACATGCCCATGCATATTGCTTCTATTAATTTGCTGCATCATGGAAAACTTAATTCATTCTTTAAGGGGATATGCTCTCATTTTTGCATGTCACTTAAAAAATCATAAAAAAAATTATATGTCACTTCACAAACATGCAAGTTTAAATTCAACTTATATATACAAGTAGAAACAAAAATAATAAATTTGACTATAAATAGAATATGTAATTTATAGTCAAATTTGTTATTTTGTTTCGAATTATATAAGTCGAATTTTAACTCGTATGTTTGCGAAAAAGATATATCATATATTGATCTATCTTGACAAAAATTTTCAAATATTTTGATCGATAACTTTTGAACGCCGTGCACAAATTAAACGAGAGAATGTTCCCTCGAGGGACAAAAATCCACTCCCCGTCATCATCATATATACATAGTATATCCTCCTTGAACATCATCATTATGCATATAATAAATTTTAAAGAATCAGGCATTAGCTTGATGTGAAATAAATAGATGGCTGAAGGACTAGAGATTAAGTAAAATAGGAGGGAGTAAAAGTCTAACATTACCTAGCTAGCTCAACCTTTTGCATGAATGAAGTGAGCGTATCTTTAACTAGTTGGGTTAATTAAATATGTCTAACTAGATTCAAATTAGCTATTTTTTCTTATAGTGATATATAGAAGATGTATCTGTCGATGATGAGACATTTATGGTGACGTTATAAATCTCAAGATATGCCGGCCTAATATTTTAGAGATGCTTATGATGTCTAGTACGGTATACATGTCAACAAGAAGGTGACTGTGGTGACTTTATCGATCTTAATATACATCGGCCTAGTTTTTTTTAGAAGTGCTCGTAGAAATAAAGTGTTTGTGCGCGCATCTATGAGAATTGAGTGTGAGCACCTGCTGCATAAAAACCTATCAGCGATCGAGCTCTATAAATTGCGGCCTCAATCCCATGCATCGATCTACACATTCTTCCCCATCACTGAAAGAGATCCTCAGGCTAGCTAATTAAGATACACGGACGTACACATACATACGGAGATGAAGAAGGCATTAGTAGTAGGGGTCTTGGCTGTGCTGATGGCCACAGCCATGGCGGCGTCGGCGCCTCAGCCGCATGTCCCGTTCACGGACGAGGACCTGGAGTCGGAGGAGAGCATGTGGAGCCTCTACCAGAGGTGGCGCGGCGCCGTGCACACCTCGTCGCTGGACATGGATGTCGCCGAGACGGAGAGCAGGTTCGAGGCGTTCAAGGCGAACGCCAGGTACGTCAGCGAGTTCAACAAGAAGGAGGGCATGACCTACAAGCTCGGCCTCAACAAGTTCGCCGACATGACGCTCGAGGAGTTCGTCGCCAAGTACACCGGTACCAAGGTGGACGCCGCTGCCATGGCTAGGGCTCCCCAGGCTGAGGAGGAGCTGGAGCTGGCCGGCGACGTGGCGGCTTCGTGGGACTGGAGACAGCACGGAGCTGTCACTCCTGCCAGGGAGCAGGGTACGTGCGGTAAGTAGTATACAGTTAAAATACGTTAACTAGTTCTAGTTTAATTTGATTTTTTTTTCGATGCGAGATATAGAGTTGAATTTAAACTTAGATGTCTGTGAAGTGATATAACATGTTAATACATCTTCTCAATTTTTTTTAAAAAATATAATTATTTAAGTGATATGTAAATAACGAGGGAACATCTACTCTACTCGAGAAATCAAAATAGTTTCCCTTAAAATTTGGTAAATTAAAGTAGTTTGGTTTGATTGGAATTTATATATATACATAGAATCAAAATTGATATAGTAGCTAATAATCATTAAGAGAGCTGCTGGGCGTTCTCGGCGGTTGGCGCGGTGGAGGGCGCGAACGCGATCGCGACGGGGAAGCTGGTGACGCTGTCGGAGCAGCAGGTGCTGGACTGCTCCGGCGCCGGCGACTGCATCGGCGGCGGGTCGTATTTCCCGGTCCTGCATGGCTACGCCGTGAAGCAGGGGATCAGCCCGGCTGGCAGCTACCCGCCATACGAGGCCAAGGATCGGGCCTGCAGGAGGAATACTCCTGCAGTGCCCGTGGTGAAGATGGACGGCGCAGTCGATGTGACCGCCAGCGAGGCCGCTCTCAAGCGCAGCGTCTACAGGGCTCCGGTCGCGGTCTCCATCGAAGCCACCCAAAGCCTCCAGCTCTACAAGGAGGTAATTAATCGAATTTAAATTACTTCAAATTAAGATTAATCGTTGTAGCAAAATGAGTTAGGGGAGGTGGTCTGGTTGATTTGATCCATTCCTCCCGGCTTTTCTCCAGAATTGATTTAGCATCTGACTTTTTTTCCTTTTTTTTCAATCATATCTCTTATAATTGGTTTTTCTCCTATATATAGTACATAAAAATGTGTGATAAACATGCATTTTGTCTGTCATGTGCGATAAATGCGAGTTTAATTTCTAGTGGTGTGTAATTAAGGACCATGTTGCGCAATACAAAAGCAAAAATACTATGCATATGGTTTATATGTACGATCATTATATGATTGCTAACAGATGAACGTCTTGTGTTGCTTTGTTAGAAAAAACGGCTGGAAAATGCCATAGGCATTTGGTGGGAAACGTTAGGTCGTAGTCGTACAAGCATCTTACACAAATAATCGTACGTATGGCCGCTCTCGTAAGAGAGAGATGCATAAGGCGGCATTTTATCAGCGATGTACCACTACTATTATTTGTTTTATGAGATTATATTATAGATTTGACATTTATGGTGGATACAAGAGCCATATGTTAAGCTAAGAGGGGGGCACGTAAGGTGACATTTTGTCGAAGATCTTAGTTTATATTTAAAAGTGTAAATTTTTTTTTTGTGTCCTTCACACATTTTTTATATATCTCACTAACATGTGGTCCTCCCACCTGCAGAAACAACATCTAAAACCATCAAGAAGTCAATTTACACCGGTTTTTAAAGATGGGGATATGTTACATATACACAGATTTTTTTTTTTGTAGTGGAAGGCGATTTAATTAAGGGTAAGAGATGAGGGAGGTAAAATAGACATATTCTTTGATGGGGGAGCCCAATATAATATCGGAGATGGGCCATCATGTATACGTTCTCTAATTAATTTGCCAGACAAAACAAAACATTAGTCAGATTATATAAATCAGTGCGATCTGTCTTTGTACGGCGGTAGCTGTAGTTGGACACGAATTCTGTCCACATAGATACGTACATATATGCATGCATGCATAATCGATCGAGATATATATAGCAAAGGTTGCGAGAGTGTCGACGAATTAATTAACATATAGGGGTGGGTCGTGCCATGGCCGGGGACGCCACCACCTGCGTGTCCAGGTGGCCCGACCTCCCGGCCGACCTGATCCGCGAGATCTCCGGCCGCTTCCGCGAAGCCGCCGACTACGTCCACTTCCACGCCGTCTGCAAGCCCTGGCGCGACGCCGTGGTGTCGCCGCCGCCCTTGTTCTTCCCGTGGCTAGTGAGGTGCTTGGACGAGTCCACGCCGCCGTGGCGAGAACCCTGCTGGGCCGACGAGGACAAGCTGCTGTTCCGCTCCGTCTCCGGCCACAAGCAGGCCACCTTCCGCGTCTCCCGCGCCAGCTGCCTCGGCGAGAAGTTCGCCGTGCGCGACACCGACGGCCCAGGCGGGCGCGTCCTCGCCGTCGGCAGCGGCGGGGCCAGCCTCGTGAACCCGCTCACCGGAGCCGCCACCCACCTGCCCCGGTGCTTCCCGGAAAATATGGCCGGCTATCTTGGCAGCGTGGACGGTGTGGTCACCGGCGACGGCACGGTGCTCCTCTACTACCTGAGCATGAGCAGTTGTACATTCTACCGCGCGGCCATCCTGCGGGCGGGCGACGACGCATGGACCTCTGTGCACACGTGCATAGACTCCGAGACGATGTCGTTCTGGCAGCAGTGGAGCGCCACGTACCACGACGGCAAGGTGATCAACGCGGGCAGGCAATTCTACAGGGTGGGCATGCTCAGCATAGCCCCAGGCGATGTGTTCACCGGGAGACTCGAGAAGAGGTCGCTGCCGCAGCTGTACGACGAACCTGCCTCGTACAGCTACTTCTTCGAGCTCGGCGGCGAGCTGATGTGGGCGTACGTCCATGTCGCGGCGGCGGCGTTGTTGGATCACGGCCACTACCCTCTCAAGGGAGGCGACCTGGTGGGAAGCGGCGCGGTGAGCTTGTGGGTGTACTCGAGGGAGAAGAAGAGCGGGCGGTGGGTGAAGAGGGAGGGGCGGAGGTTGCTGGGCAGCAGCGTTCTGTTCCTGGGGTGGACGAGCAGCTTCGCCGTGGAGGCGGGGCAGCTGGCCGGCGAGGTGGACGGCGGGTGCGCCTACTTGATGATAGACAGCGTGGGGCGCGGGCTAGGACGACGAGGGTTCCTGCTCCTGGACAGGTGTACGGTGTACAGGTATAGGTTGGAGGACGACACCATCACAATGCTGGATGAACTGCCTCCTGGATGGCTTGCCAGCTGCTGCACTTGGTTCCTACCACGCCCCACCATCCAACCAAAATTATCTAAACCCTATGCCTAATAACAATTAGTGTAATTTTCTTTTTTTCCCCTTCCAATTTTTCAAATTTTAAAGTGATACTTTAATGAGTTTAGTATTACTATTTAGTTTCAGGAGTAGTACGTCGCTACCCCTAGCTGCCGATCTCACTCCTAATTTCACCCCGGCCTGATCATCCACGTATCATGGCGCCGCTGCATGAATATAATGCATGCTGTTTCTAGTCGACTTAATTGTACTGTTCTCTCTATAGTACATTACAACAGTACTACAAAATGATTTTTGCACACAATTCAGCCAGCTTAATTTCACAGGAGGATAAAAGTACAGATAAACTACACCACGGTATATATCCCGTTGCTATCACCCTTTTTTTTTGCCACCGTATTACTTTTCTATTTTATTAAATTTATTATACACAAGTTTGTACACCTTAAGTTTACACATCTAAAGTTTATACATCTAAAGTTTAGAGACCCAAGGTTTATAAGTCAAAAGTTTATATACCCAATTTAAATTTGAATTTGAATTCAAATATATATATATATATATATATATATATATATATATATATATATATATATATATATATATATATATATATATATATATATATATACACACACATAATTTTTTCTAACTTTGTTTTTTTTATTTTTTTAAATTTATGGTGTAGTAGGAAGAGAAGAATGGGAGGAGGAAGGGGGAGAGAAGCCGTATTAGGGGAGGGGGACAGGTGATCGCTCACAGCGACCACCCGCCCATTAGCACCACCCTTGACTTTGTGCCACTTCCAATTTTATCTGAAAATGAGATATATCTAATGAAACTATTTTTTTATTACAAATATTGTTTACTTGTAGGGTCTTGTACAATTTTCTCTAATTCATGGCATAGTGGCTGTTCCAGAAATTTGCCTCGCGCAAGGATTGATAAGATTTGAAGACCAGCTACTCTTCGGTCATATTGCTATTAGTTTACAAAATGTGTTTATTATAAAATTACATGTTTAGCGTACCCACATTAATTTGATTGGCCTCGATTTGCGTAACCGATGGATCTACCCATTACCCATTACCCGCATTGCTTTGCGATTTCACTACTTTGGGAAAACATGCTAGAAACTGTTTGAGAAAACTCGATATACTTGGTATCGGTGGGTTTGAAAAGAAAAATGTTTTGCAAAAGTCGTGATACAGGGTCGTGCATGTGTGTGGTGTGGCTTCGCATCCTCATATAAGGACCCATTCCTTGGAAAACCCCATCCAAATATTGTGCAGTGTGTCCACATGAGTGCTGTAGGATACCACTAGAAGACTACGAGTAAATTTCAGACAGGTGGCTTGAACTTTGGGTTTGTTGCTTTCAAAACACACACACAGACGTCCAAGGGTCTTTTGGCTAGCTCCACAAAATGGTGAGCTAGCTGGCCTGGGTTCGAATTTTCACCCCTTCTATTTATTTCATATTAGGTCCTTCCCTAATATTCGCGTTTTTTTCTTCTTTCAACAAAGAGACAGTGGTTGATTGAAGGTGGAAGCAATTAGTGTTCTCGATTAGTGGAACCGAACATTTCGAGCGGGGGTGGTCCGGGCTTGGTGAGCTGCGTTCGACAGTGAGATTGCTAGTTATGGCACTCAGGTCGTCCAACGGCTGGAAAGACGGCACGGAGATTTGTTGGCTTAGGCTTGCGGCTAGATCGACGGGTGGTTGATTGGAGGTCGGAGCGGATTTGACGTGTTATAGTTTTTGTATCAAATATATGTACATAGTTGGTTACAATATAGGGCTTGGTGTTATATTTTATATATATTATTAGAACAGTAGCTTCATCCTAAGCTCTCTCTTAAAAGTTATACCGCATGGCGATTTAGTATAGGCGGGAAGGTACGAATAGGTAGCAGGCTAGTCGGTCCGTAAATACCATGAATATATATGCTGGATAATGGTTGCCCAGAATTGTTTCTGCGCTTTTGTCTCCAAACTCTCAACCAAAGTATTGATAGTCGTATTTTTATATATGTATTTAAGTAAATAAATATTAGTCAGGACTTTCTGGCAAGATGACCGCGTGGCCTAATGGATAAGGCGCTCGCCTCCGGAGCGGGAGATTGTGGGTTCGAGTCCCATCGTGGTCGTGTTTTTTTTGTTGTATATATGTTCTGGAATTTTCTTGCCTTTTTTTTTAAATAATAGTAATTATGTTAGCTGCTTCAATATTTGAATTCATCATTGCATTGTTTTCATTTACTTAACGAACTTTCCATTATCTAAATGTAAGGTTCATGTAGTCCTTTATTGGGCAAATCCTTTTTGTTTCTGAAATATTCTGTAAATAAATGAAAGGTATGGACTGCATGTATAGTCCTTTGTGCAACTTTTTTTTTTTTGAATTATTGCTGAGGTAGTGGAGTAGCTCTCTGTGGCTACCGTCCAAATTAAATCCCGTACGTACGTATAGCATGGCAGGAGCCCAAGCCGGGCAGTCAAAAGAAAATGAAATGGGAAAAAGTTAAAGAGGTGACAAAAAAAGTAGCTAGGGGAACCTTGCAAAATGCTCTTCGAGCTAATTAATATTTAATTGTTTATTAACCGTGCAAAAGAAAAACCGCATAGTATGGCGTAGTGCAGATTTGATTTGACAGCGTAAAACTTGGTTAATTTTTAGATTAGATTAGATTAGGACGGGATTGATCGAGTTTGTGTCCAAAATGCGGATGCAGGGCCCAGCACGTTCGCGTAGACGACGAGAAAACGAATCAAGATATGCATGCATGCATGTGTAGTACACAGTACAGCAAAGCTGCTGCTGCTGCCTGAATTCCTCCTAACTTTTCTTTCCTATACCGACCAAATTAATAAGAACGGGGAAGGAATTTACTGGAGTAATTATTTTTTGTTTTGTTTTTGAAAGAAGGTATACAATGCATGCATTTGACTTAATTGTACACTAGATTGATAGAGCATAGAGGGAATTTAATATGCTTAATTAATTATATCTCTCTTCGTTAATTCATGCATGATCGGTCACACAGTACTAGTACGTATGTAGATCATAAAATTAGTTTATTTTTAAGAATGGCATTAAGTTTTTCTTAATCTTAGTTAATTACTACCTAGTAGTGTAATGTAATTGCTACGGACGTAAAAGGAATTAAAACGACTTGGATATGATGGAGTTAATTTTGTGATGATACGTACGCGCGCTAGCTCTTCCTCCTGACAAAAGGTAGTCGTCTGACACTGGCACTGGCAGCTGCTAGCGCTGATCCCAAAGTTGCAACGGCAAGCAGCGCATGCTGCTTCTTCTTCTTCTTCAAGGGAGGCTTGCTTCTCTTCTTGTATAAAAGCAGCAGCGAGCGAGGCAGAGAGAGAGAGAGAGGGAGGGAGGAGAGGAGAGGAGAGGAGACATCAAGAAGAAGAAAAAAAAAAAAAGAGGAGAGATGATGTCTTCCTCCTCCTCCTCCTCCTCCATGAGCAGCTCTCCGTGGGATGCCACGATTGTGGTTCTCCCGGAGACGGCCAAGGGCACGCACGGAGACGGCAGTTTCCGAGCGCTCCTTCCCATCGACGCCGCGCGTGCTGTGGTGGACGCTGCCCTCCCTGGCGGCCGTGGAGGCACGTTGCCGGGAGTGCGGCGCCGGCGCTGGCGTGTGCTCTTTCTGCGCCGGCGTCAAGATCTGGACGCTGCCCTGGAAAGGGCACATCTCAACCACTGAGGAAGCATCAGTAATGGAGGTAATTAAGTTGGGTTAACGATTCATTTTCTTTTCTTTTCTTCTGCTCTCCCTTGATCGATTTGCGCTCTCTCTCTCTCTCTCTCTCTCGCTTGTTGTTGCAGATCTCCAAGGACATGGCTGACTGCATGGGCATCAAGCCCAAAACCTCGGTTCGCATCACATTACTCGACGACCTCCCTCACATCACCAAGGCTATCATCACGCCGATGGACGATGATGCTGATCTCTCTGCTTCACTTACCCCGCACCACATCGCCACCCAGGTAAACCCCGGCGCGGCGCATGCAGGCAGTTAAGTTGCTTCAATTCGTCGTCGTCTAAACATGCATGCATATCATCTCAAGTATCTATCTTTCGGTCTGCAAACAAATTGATTGATTTGTTTTCCTTTTGCATAATAACGCTCTGCTAGCTCTTGAATTAAAGCTGCTAACTCCTTTTAATTTCACCCCCTTTTGTTGTTGTTGTACAAACTGCACACTGTTTCGTATACTATATTCTCTACGGAAGAAGGGATTAGCAACGCACGCATATGCATCTTGATCTTCTTCTTCTTCTTATTATTATTATTATTCATCTTGCATATGCACGCATGCACGTACGACGGGAAAAATAAAAAAGAAGAAGAGTTGCGAGAGTACATGGGCCTTTTTTATGGGCCTCCATTTCATTTCAGTGATAGAACAGGACCGGCCTATATAGAAGGAAGGAATCATCTACTAGTAAGTTTCCGCCGCCGCCGACTCCTCTCCCCCTACCCAGCAGCAGCCATCAGGCCTACCACTACCACCTCATCCTTTGATTCCTCTCCATCTCCAGTACTGCATGCTGCTGCATCCTGCATCCTCCTCCAATCTTCCTCCGTCCCCTTCACCGAGGCATCAGCTAGCATTGACGGATGAGCGGCGCCGTTGGGGAGCCACCGAACACGAAGACGCCGTCGACGAGCACCCCGGCGCCATGGTTAGAGGAGAGGGGGCAGACAAGGAAGAGGAGGAGGCTCCGCCCACAGAGAAGAAGAGCAGACTCCTACCTTCTATCTCCACCGCTGCGCCTCCATCCTCATCACGCATCTTCTTGCCATCCCGTCGCTCCCAATCTCCACCGAGGTAGGTCAAGGTGGTGATAGAAGAAGGACGCCACCGAGTTCATGGCCAATCTGGAAGAGAGTTGCGCCCTTGCAGCAGTACGATGGTGGTTGGTTCTCCGCTGGTATCTACTTAGTACAATCAATGCAGATCTGGATGAACTTTTCTCTGTGATTAAACTATTATTATTATCTTCAAGTCTCAATAGATGGTGATTGCTACTGCTAAGCTATACTTCCTTTAAGTTTCTATATCTTCAAGTCTGGAAGTAAATTATGTTCTTTATTACTACATCACAGGATTGGATTTTGGGGAAACAAATCTGTACTTTACCTATTATTATTTGAGAGTAGTAATTTTCTTACTTCGTGATACCATTATTTTCACTATATATATTTGGTTGAATGTTGGAAAAATAAACTCTACAGCATAAGAGTGGGATGTGCACACCATGATTGTTAAGGATGTAGCTGATTGCATCCATTCAGAGAACATATTCTGTTTGTGGATTGACTGGATTCAGTCAAGAGGGTAAAAAAATAGGCTTTGCATAGTAAGTTTTCTGGACCAGTAAAAGATGGTAACCACAGATTTTAGTTTATAATGTGTAACCAATCTTAAATTTAGAATTTGGTAAAAAAATTACTCAGTTATGGAAGATGTAACACATGATGTTTGCTTCCATGGAAGTTGGAGCTACGTCATTATCTGGACAAAAAAAAACACCGCAACAACAAAGTGAATTAACATCGGACAAATTTATTAAGATTCAACGTATATCATTATCTTATAAACTGAAACAAATTTTGTTAGGTTTCTTACAGCAGTTCTTGGAATACCTGTATAAGATCTGAGGAGTCACCTGAATGTTGTTAGATGATAGTGTGCGTACCTAGTGCTGTGTGTGCATGTCTTTTGTGTACTTGAAAACTATAAAAAGAAAGTGAGTAAATGAAGTGGTATAGCATTTCAAAGAAAAATGATTTCAACAGTTCTTTCTAATAAGAATTCCCACAGAGTTACTTATATGTACTAAAAGTAGTACTATCTGTTGCTTCCAGTTTTAATATCAATAAGTTCTGACTTCTTAGCATAGAAGGGCCCAAACTTCAACAAAGATTTGATTTCTTTTTCATGCTTTCCTCCTTTGCTTGTTTGAGCTCAGCTATACATATCCTACTTCAGCAAAGATGTTTGACATGTAGAGATATCTAAAACATCAAGTCTACCAATAGCTGGTACAAATTAATATGCACGTGACTAATGAACAGTGCAAGAAAAATATTTCTTTGTTATTTTTTTTTAACTTTATGATCTATATCTAAAAGAACTTTTTAATCTATATGAATATTCAAGCGTTTTGTTATTGTAGGGTTGGAATTGAGTAAGAATAAGTGAAAACCACCGTTTTGTTATTGTCCTGCTCAAGAGTAATGGCACCATGGAGAAAGGAAAGCCGATTATGAATTCCTTTGCTCATTTGTTGTTAAAATGGTTAAGGCACAAATGCACCAGAATGCCTTTTATATGATATGCTGGCAGCTGAAAAGCAATCAGAAGCTCGGCATACCACTTTATATATGAAACCAGAATATCACCCAAGTGATTTAGATATTGTATCGAATATGTCGAATGTTCCAAAAATCGATCTTCTTTTGTTTTTCCATGATCAGCAGATGAGAGGATAAACTGTTGAGATGATCCAAGCATCAAATTATTACTGTGAGTACATAATAGAAATAACTCAAGAACCTGAAGATCTCTAGCAACTATTTAATGATGCATGTTGTATTTGGTTGCCAATTATTGTATGTATTGTATTGTATTGTGTATGGTTAACACGAAGTTTTGGAATTAAAGTATATTAAGAGAGAGTATATATATCCTTTCAAATGTATGATTGGTGAATAAATTTTGTATAAAATCAAACTAATTACTTAAAAAACATGTCAAATGTATGTGTGTGTGTGCTATAAAGCGGGCGTGCCAACGAAAAATAAAAGGATAATGGGATTATGGAGCGGTGAAAAAGACAAGAGGTTGACAACTCATGTAGTGGCAAAGACAGAGACACATGACACTAACCAAAAATAAGAGGATGATAAGGGGTCATGTAGCTGTGAAATAGGCAACAAAGTAATAACACATGTAACGGTGAAGAACACGGTCAGGGTGGAGGAATGGATGGTTGTGCATCAGTTATTGATCGATCCTAGTTCTGTTGGCTATAGAAAACTGAAAATCTTGGTAAACTATGGCTCTTCTGTTTAGATGTTGATAGTTTCAATGAAAACACCAAGCAGCAACCATGATAGCATCTGCAGTTTTCTGTAGTCCACTACCACTCTCATATATTTTGCATTTTGTTGTAGATCGGTGTGATGTATCCAGGGATGTCATTCCCTTTGTTAGTGAACAAAGAAAAGATAGGGATCTTCAAGGTTCTAGGAACTCTGCCTATGACTACAGGTTGGACTTATTCCAGCATATATATTTTAAATCTGTTGAGTGCATACTGAAATTATTATAACCAACGGTGTTTTCTTTTCATAAACTCCCAGGACAAATTACCTCAGGGACCAAGATCATGATTTGGAAAGGTAGTGATGAGAAAACTGTTGGAGAGACCCTGTACCCACCAATCTTACATCCAGTCATTGCAACTCCTCTGCAAATGAAAATGGTGGATGACCCCGCTCTTTCTAATGTGGTTGGCAGAGCCAGTAAGGTATGGATTGAGTTAGTTCTTCTAGTGGTATGTATGAATTGAGATAGTTCTAGTTTGTCTAAGGATGAGATAGTTCTAGTTTGTCTAAGGCCTTTACTTGACTATATATCTTGATCTTTTTTTGTTTCTCATGTTGTATCTTTGTTAATTTGCAGATGATTGGTAATTTCATGAGTTACTATACTCACCTCCCACATGAGGCCACAAAGGGCAAAATGACATTTCTCTTACATGGTCCATGTGATAAAAAAGCTGTGGTTGAAGGGATAGGAAGGACCCTTGGTCTTCCTGTTGCGAGCGTGGATGCTTCGTCACTCATCAAGGACTTCCCTTCTGACTCTGTCTCACAGGTAAGATATGGCTTAAGGTATACTTTCACAGTTAATTTTTGTCATTTTATTTGTTTGTATTTGATACTATTATAATTAACTATTGAATGAATTGTAGATCAACACCTGCATACAGAGACCTGAATCACGTGATGGTCCACTTCTGATCTTCCTTGACCGGTTTGATGAGTTGGTCCCTCACAACAGATGTGGTTCAACAGTTATGACTGACATAACAACCACCCAGGTACTTACTACCAGAATCAGCCTTTCAATTACCTTTAGGGAATCATGTTTAACTAGCCACGTAGTCACGCGTTGCGCGACTTTATATGCCCGTATGGACGACTTGTATACTTATGCCTTTTTTTTTTTTTTTTTTTGCGGAATCATAGGACCTGTTAATAACAATCCAATGTTTCTCGCTCAAGGCTCAAATACTATGTTCAAGCGTAAATGTTTAATATTTTACAGTGCATATACTACCTTTTCTCTTCCAATTACAAAACTGAATATTCATTACTCTACAGAGTATTAAACAACAACCTGTCAGTGATTCTTGCCAGTTCATTAAGGGGGAAAAATGTTTTTGATCATGATGACATCAAGGTGTTTCAGATGCATTCATACTCTTGTATTATTATGAAATGGAATTTGTGCGAAGTTTCTGTTATAACTACAGTTGTAAACATATTTAATGTGACCTGTTGAAATAGTTAAAATGTTTTACTTCTAAAAATCAAAGAGAGTAATTATAATTCTTGAAGAACCTCCATCTAACAATGACAGTACAAATAAAATTGTGTTACTAAGGAAAGCAAAATAGCCAATAACCTCTAGAAAATGATCACAAAACTTCAGCTGGCACACTGTCTTGAGTTATGCATATGCAGTGATACAGAACAGGTACAATGCAAATACAATTAATCGAAGCTAACCACCAGAAGTGGAAGCCTTGAGCTTGTTCATATTGATGAATCTGTCATCAGACTTGTAGCAGGTGCGATGACAGTACACGTAGATACAGTCAAGTATGATTGCACACGTTGTATATTTGTGCTATCTAATTTATATACGATATTTCTGGAGTATGATTGCACACGTTGTATATTTGTGGTATCTAATTTATATAAGATATTTCTGGACTCTGATAAATGTGTTCTGAACCAAAATAAAATAGGACCACCAATAAGATAAACAATTCAAGTGTCAATAGTTTAAATGAATGTATAAACATAGTGCGAACCAAACATAAATCTGGTTATTGAGAATCAGCAGTTTTCTCATTTAAATGAATACAAATTTACTTAAATCTGGTAAATTTTTGTTTAAAGCTCCACCTCGCTATTACCTGAAGAACAGCTTGTATTAAAGAGTACCATTTTTTTCAATGTCAATACTGAAAGCATTAAAAAACTTTGGTAGTTCTTCATCTTAACCATCTAAAAATGAATGGACAGAGCATATATATAATAGTAGTACATTTAAACCATTTTCCATAGAAATTATAAATTCTTATTTACTCATTTTACCTTTGTTAAGGCCATGATGATAAGTCTATATTCAGATTAAGTGCCTTTATAGGGGTTAAAAGAAATTCCCAATAAGGTATTCCAACTTTTCATTTGATTCTATCTTTGCATATGCTCTTTTCAGTATAACGCTTAGAGTGAAAATCGGATGGCTCACAATTTTTTGATGACGTGGATATGGTAACTTCGCGTGAAAGATTAGTTCTTTCACTACTTTAGATTCTTAGCTCATACACACATTTTGTTTTGCATCCAGCTTAAATTGCTGCTTGATGATCCTTGGGTGATTTTCGGGCATCGTATTACTATTCTGGTAGTATCTGTGAGGTTAGTGTCAAATTACTTTTTAAAACATTATTTTAGATGCATGGATTTATAAATTATTTTGTTCTAATAATATTACATGACTTTCAAGGTGGATAAACCTGATATGCCCGACTATTCTCTCAAGAATCAGGACACGATTTTATTGTGGAAATGATGAGAAAGAGGGGGATTGGGATGGTGTTGGAATGTCTCTTCTAAAGTTATTGGAAACAAACAAGTCGATTGATCCAAATTCACGCTGGGTTGTGACAAATGCCATTCTGTATGGGAACACCTCGCTCAGTAAGAGTGATGTCACCAAACTCTTTGCAGCAACACAGTCATTCGATTCCATAGTCATTGATGCAATGCAAGTGCTGAAGGATTTTAAAAATACTGGGTCAAAGGCGGTAAGTGTTGTTTTTAAATTTATTGATTCAATTTTATTGAATATGCGGTATTTCTTAATTTAGTTTTATTAACCATGCATCTATATTTGTGAAATTGCACATTTGTGTGACTATGACCATCCTTTAATGAATGTTGTGTAAAAAGAATCTTCATATCGAATTCTGCAAGATGGTTTTACACATCTTCCCCGTTATTAGTGAACTTTGTAATGTAGAAGCAGAGTAAAAATAGCAAGAACAACTCGCTTGACACCTCTGTCTGCACTGGTCAAGATCGATCCAGCAAGTATTTCTTCTTCTTGCTGGATTCGAAAATAGAGGTTGTAACTAACCCATGCAAAGTGTAAATGTTAGCCAAAAAAAGTAAATGGCAGCAAGCATGCATGTACTAATTCTGAGATTTACAGGAAGAGGGTTACTATGAGAACAACCTGCTTTCTGAAAGCAAATAATTAGCTTGCTAGAAAATTAAGTGTTCGTAAATCATCTACCTTACTTCATATTTTTGAGATAGTTACACAAATTCAACGTGCTATTTATCTGAGTGTATAGGTATAGAAGTGGAAGTGTGTATAATCAAGAGGATTTGTTTAATATTATTTAAGCTGACTTAAAGATTATTTTTACAATACAAAGCAAATATTAAATAGATTATGTGAAAGCTATGAAGTTGTGGTGTAACGTATGGAGAATAGAAACAAAATAGTTTGGTCTGATACAATAGAAGTAGTTGAAACAGCGCCCCCTCAGGTCGACAGGCACAGGACGAGGTTGGCGCTGCTGCCGACGGCGAAAAAACTTGGCTTTCACTTCAATCCAACCATCTTCACCAGGTTGCCTCCGCAAGCACACGTTGGAAGAGCCGGCGTTCGACTTGGGGAAAGCCACCGGCGACCGCGAAAACACCGGTGAGTGCACCGCCGAAACCACCGCAGAGGTCCCCGGGGAAGGCGCCGCCGAGATAACTGGGGATGGCGTTTTGGAGACGTGAGACACCGACGTCGATAGAAGAGCCTCCTTGTACGACGAGGGGCTGGGGTCATCGGACAAAGGACTCAACCCACACCAACGCTGGTGCTTTGAACGACCAACCGAACGGAACCTGGACGAGGGAGAAACTGGCGCTATGGGAGAGCAGGGCACCGGCCTGAAGGACGCCGGCGAGGAGGTGGCCGCCGGCGTGGGGCTGGTGGGAGGGGAAGCGCCACGGGGAGAGGAAGGGACGGGAGAGGAGAGGACAGCCATTACTTTAGATTTACCCAAATGCATGTAAGTTATTTGAAGGAGAGCAAGTAAAAGAGGTGGAAGCATTGCTCCAGCAGCTGGTACTTCCTCCATCTCTCTCACTCCTTTCACCTAGCTCTGATACTAATTGTTGGTAGGATCACTTCTGAACAACACTCAATAGTCTAGCGGAAACTGAAACTGAAAATGAGCTGAAAATCTTGCTTAACTCAAGAGGGGTACATGTCCTTTTATAGGATCTTAAGTCGGTGCTACATTATGCTACAGTAACTGACATACTATTTATCTTGCTGTTTACAGCTAAAGTAAAATCTAAATTTACTACTACTACCATCTGTAAGCAGCTGTATATTCTTACTAGCTATCCTACCTGTAGCTTATTGACTGCAGCAGCAAGGATTATGCTAACAAGCCCATCACGCTCCTTGATAAAATAAGTCTATTGGCCTCCCTCATCTCTTTTGGCTGAGTCTTTTATGGCTGGAATAAGTCTATTTTGTATCCCTCTGCTCTTTGGGTCGTGCCTCAAATGGCTGAAGTAAGTCTATGTTGGATCCCTCAACTATTTTTGACAGTGCCGTGCCGAGCTGGCCCGTGCCAAGGGAGCAGCCTAGGCATGGCCCGGCTGTCGGGCTATGCTGGCAGGGGCCCAACCCAGTCAGGCCGTGCCTGTGCCGGGCCGTCGGGCCTCGGGTCATATGGCCAACTATAGGAGGAGGTGGTGGTTCGTGGGCGGCGAACGGCGAGATTTTCTTTCTTTTTTTAGCCCCTTGATTTGGAGAGTGAGAACGTGGCATGAGTATCAACTAATGAAAATATCGGGCGGTTTAAGATTGCTTGATGACATGGACGTGTAATTTTGCAAGAGATGTTTCACCTTTCACTTATTTAGATTTGTTTTTAGGTGTCTGACCTGTTCCTGAGAGCTACAGCGAGAAGACCCTGCATTATACTGATTCAACAATTAGATGCTATCAACAACGAAACATTAATCTCCCTGGTAAGAAAGCTTCACCTATCAAATTATTTGTGTTGTTTAGAGACATCATAATATGATTTTGTTTCTTTCAGATCTTACACGAGATGAACAACATGGATAGAGATCTACATGTGTTTGCTTCCACGAGGTATGTATAAATCTAAAACCGATCATCAACTTCTTTGTGTTTTTATATAGAATTTATCAGCTTGATGTCTTTCTTTTTAAAAAGGTGGTGGCAACTCATACACCATATGTTTTTGGAGTCACGCCTGTTCACGAGGAGAGTTTTTTGTGGCGTGGATTCAAAAAAAGATGAATGCGATTTTGTGGGCCAAGCTTTATTTGAGGTATTTTCATACTATGAATATAAGTTACTTTGCATTTCACTTCTAATCTGATTGTTGCTGAATTATTTACCTGCATGTGACCTTATGGATAACATGGATCTCTAGCTCCAGCTAGAGTAGTCATTTTAAGTTTCAGCCTTTTATTATTCTGCTTTACATCTTTGTAACATTCATAAATTGTTGGGATGGGAGGGTCAGTAGCTGTTTGCAATAATGCATTAAGCAAAAGTTGAGATTAAACTTACTTCTTTTCAAAAGGGTTTGGTGTTTGTGTATAGTTTGTTGTTTTTGTAATAAGCATGCTATGTGTCTGCCCTGGTCGAACTGAACTGAACCTGGGATTTCTGCATCACAGATACAACAGAGGATGGGAACAGCATCAGATAAGAGCACCTCCTCTTAAGGCAAAGGAGGGAGAGGAGATAAGATAACTCACCATTAGCGAGCTTACTGTATTGGTTATGATGCACTGGTGAAATTCGACGCCATTAGCTTTTACTGTATGTTTATGATGGGCTGGTAAAATTCAATTCCGTAATCAGTCATGGTGAGAGTTGTCTGGTAACTGTGAGGAACCTTAATTTTGAGCACTTGTCTGAATTTTTTTTTCTTTCGAGGTAACAGTTCCTAAAACTTGTCAAACTGCTGGCCTGTTGGCCATGCAAATACTCTATTTTGACAAATTAGCTATCTGCAACTTGCACATCGCTAGCTGTTTGCTTTTACATGGCAGAAAGAAAAATATACAAAGTGAAGTCAACAAGATAAAAATAATGCTAGGACATGTACACATACTTGCAAAATGTTAAAGACCTTACACAGTTGATACGAGCTAAACATCTCATCCTTGCTGTAACAACCCTTTATGATTCAAGTGCAAATTGAATCTTTACCGAGTCAGTTATAGTTACCTACCACAAAAATATCACCAGACACTAGTAATTGATATTTGCCCCTAATTGATAAGTGCTAGTTAAAAACTGGGTGCGTTGCCGGAGATGTCAAAAACTGCATGTAGCAGCAAATGGAAAAATATAAATTAACCAACAGCTTGATCTCCCGCCATAAGAAGGTTTTTATTCTTTTATAAAAAAAATTAGAATAGAGAACCTCATCCAATGGGTACAACAAATCAGATAATGACCAAATTAGAAAACAACAAAGAATATCTTAAGCAAATTGCATTATGAGCACATGTAATTTAAAAGCTAGCTGATCATGAAAAGAAAATATAGATAAAGCAAATTATAAGGATGGGTGTGCATGTATATATTCGTAGAGATGGGTATGAACATGTGAACATTACTGTGTCTCAGATCTGACAAATTAAACCGGAATAAAGAGAAATAGGGGAGAATATGAAAAAATAACATCTAAAATATGAAATAAGTATCATTAAATATAATTTCATAATGTTTTGTTTGTGTTGAAAATTGTACTATATTTTTCTATAAATTTGATCAAACTTAAATATATTTGATTAGGAAAAAACTCAAACGGCTTATATTGTGAAACGGAGGGAGTACTACTTTTCGATGAGATATTTTCTAGTGCAAGACATATTCATATCTATGTTCATTGGACTAACAAGTGTTTCATCGAAGCTAGGTAGTAGTAATATATTGAGATGAAGGAAGTAGAGTTGAAAAAAAATTGAACGGACCAGGCGTCATACAGATACAGTATAATCTACAGGGAAATTAGTGTGGAGGACAGAGCTACGTGGCAGAGCAGCGTGAGAGAGCCTTTACTTTACCAAGAATCTACAGAGGACTTTTAAACTAGACCCATTTTATGGCACGCACTAACAGCACTATAACTATAGAGAAACTCAATCCATTTCTTTGCACGCAGAAGCTTTACAATTCCACATGACAGATCACACAGATCTACGTGGCAGAGCAGCGTGAGAGAGCCGTACTTCCCCGAGAATATTAGTTAGTTTTATAGGATAACACAAAATAGCAATGGTACTACTACATGAGAAAAGGTAGCTATTGTTCCTATACTACATCACATGATACTTGGTGCTTAACCATGCCTTGTAGTCATTCTGCTCCAGTACTGCTGAAGTAGTATTGGTTGGTACTACGTACTAAAATCAACTGCATGTAGGCTTTGCATCTCCTTCAGAGTTCATGGAAACAGTCAAGTTGCTATCTTTACCTCTTCAGCCTCTTCAGAGTTGTTGAGCTTCTCTCTTCTGAGCTTGTCAAGTGCTTGCAACAGAGATGAGCTGAGAATTGCTTGCAGTTTGGACTGGTCAATTGTATTCAAATCCGCAACATCTAATTCAAGTGAAATCTTTTCAGTATGCGTGGCGCTGTCAAGGGATGGATCTTGTTTTTTCATCTCTTCCGTCGTATTTGGGCTGTTTGGCTTGCTCATGTTTTCTTCAGATGGTTTCTCTTTATGCATCTTGATCGCAACAGAAGGATGTGGCAATGCGGTGGTGGTATCATCCTCCTTTGCTACATCACCATCTATGGCAGCAGGTTTATTTAGGTCAATACTGAACTTGTTTTCATCATGTTCATCATTGCTATGTTTTTCTCCCTCTAAGACTTTAGCTTCAAGCTCTTTTCCAGAACTACCAGCATTGTTAACTTCTCCAAAGGAAGGGCGAACAAGCTTTCTTCTCTTCACTTGCCCCCTAATTTCCTTTCCTAGATTTGCATCCAAGTTCCTTGTTTCGCTGCGTCTCTTAAAGTTCATGAATGCAAGCCCTTCAATTTCTTCTTCAATTAAGCCGCTTTGCTGGTTCAACTCAGCAAGAGGATAGGGTGTATCCATTACTTGCTCACTGACCAACTGTTCACAAACATCATTGGTGATTATTTTATCCTGGTTACCCCAATGTTCTGCTCTCTGAGAAAGTGAGAGAACCAACTTGTTGAGCGAAGGACCAGGAATTTCTTGATGCAGTGGTGGTGGGATCCGTGATAAGCGAGAAAACACACTGCTTTGTGCATGCTGACCAACAGCTATTGTGTTGCTTTCAGATCTTATATCAGGATTTTTGTTTAGATGGTCTGGCATGTAGGCTCTATTGCTATTTCCAAGACCAGAAAACACCATATCAGTGTGATTAAAACTTTGTTTCTGTCGAGCATTCTCAGAGTCTTCTTCAGTGAAACATTCTTTCCGCTGATCAAATGCTGATTCAGCAATTGCAGGGTATACTGGAACATCTTGTTGGTTTAATATTGGAGGTGCTAAGACTTTTGCTTTGCTGAAGTGCTGATGCTCCGATTCATAAATATCTTCAAACTGGCATTGTTTGCAGTGGACATCATAATAATCTCTCCTGTTAGTAGCACTGCCTTGTTCATTTGGCAGAGGAAATTGAGGATATGGAGGGGCATAGTTTACATCTCCTGCAATTGCATCCTGAGGTCTATGTCCAGGAGGCGGCAAGCAACCGTATGCATAGCCCATAGATGGAGGATATGAGTGATTTGCAGAAAGCCCAAGTTCCTGAGTTGTGTCCCGAGCTACATGTCCAGAAGGCAAGTATCCAGGAAAAAGCATGTTATTGTTGTAAGGTAGTTCTGCTTGGTCGTGATGGCTGTTGTGGACAGGTGCAATTTGAACTCCAAAAGGATTAGTTCCCAGGGGCATTGACATATTGGGATGTGGTGCTTGGTGCATGCTTGTGGATGCACAGTAGCTTGCTTCAACTGTTGAAAATCTGGGGGTACTCGCAGGCATAAAAAGACCTGGCTGATCAGCAGGAAAATGAGGAATATTTGGACTCAAGCTCTTTCTTTCTTGTGTCCCTTTCCTAAAGGGATCATTTTCCAAATTAGCACTCTTTGAATGGTTGTGAATAGGATGTTCAACCCTCTTCTCATCAAATAACTGATATAAGCAGACAACCTGCAAGTATCAATCAAGATTGCATAAGTATAGCCTATCATCAGGCTCATGGAAGTTCACCCATCAAGTTTTGTTAATTACAGCATACCTGTTGGTAGGAAAGGTCAAAGTAGAACTTCCATGGCATATAGTAGTTCTCTTTTATGGCAGGTGAAAACTCATCTTCGGTGAGTGGTCTGCACTTCCAAATAATTTTGAAGCAGACCTAGGGGAAAATGACAGCTCAAAACTGAATGAATAATTTTGAGCATAGTACTTATAACCAGTAAGTGGCTTCAAATACCAAAAAGACAAATGGAAGTATCCAAAGATCAACTCGTACATAAAGTTCCCCATTCTATTGTTTATCATGTCATTCTGTAAGCACCAATCCATCATAATGTGATAGTATATGCTTTAATGATTATCTAGTAGTAAATGCAGTTTATCAACAGAAAATGTCCACACTTACAATTGTATACACAGAAAAAAAGAAGTGAAGTAACCATCTAAATTATGAGGACTTTTAAACTTTAACCATTTTATGGCACACACTAACAGCACTATAACCATAGAGAAACTCAATCCATTTCTTTGCATGCCGTAGCTTACAATTCCACATGACAGATCACCTAGAACACTAAAAGGCCAAGAACAAATGGTTGCATTTGGGGTATCAATTATCATAAAATTTAGTGATAAAGCAGCGACAAACTAGGCATTATATGTTCTGGAAAGATTAAATTGACAAGGTCCATGTTGTTAAAAGATATCCAAATAATCACTTGTCAGGCTTTCTAAGCCAAAGGGTAGCCGATCATCAACAGACCGTAGCATGATTAATTGATCAAGACGCATATATTAGCTACAGTTTACCTGTGCAGGATATGAGCATCCAATCGACGAAAAGGCAGATCTGATAATATTGAATCCACCATCAGAGGTAGCCTCAAAGACCCCATAGAGTTTGCGTTCAGTATGATCAAACAGAAACAAAGGCATTCCTTGTCTGATATTCCGCACAAAAGGTTGGTACTCTATGGGAAGTCCAAAGATGTTGGAACGGAAGCACAGCTCCCTTGTGGCGGTGTTGGACATGAAGATGGCACCTGCCATTGAAGCATCCTCTCTAAAGGAGCGTTTGACTAGCTCCTGCCTCATTCAGACCTTGAACATATGCACAGGAGAAATAATTAGAAATAAATAAATTGTGATTGGTTAGTAGTTACATGGATAGAATCATGTATGTCAGTTCATGGCAAACAATTCATACATTAGAGTACAGAGTTATTGAGTTGGTTATCACATACAATGCTTGAAAGCAAGTTCTGAAAGTGAAGGTAGAGTTCAGTTAAGTTAATACTTAATAACCCACGATGAAAGAATAGGAGAAAGCAAGAAAAAATAACTGGATAAAGAGCGAGAAAGGTGGAACAAGGGAGTCAAACAGGATGACCAAACAGTGACTTGTAAGAAAAAAAAACTCGCATGGAATGCATGGATGAACCAATTAAATTGCCCCCAATAACGTCGAAAGATAGAACTTATTTTTTACTAGACTAGAGTTCTCTGATGCAGTACATACAAGAGAAAAAATACACACAGGAGAAAAAATACACACAAGAGAAAAACCCCTGATGTATAGGAGATTAAGGGAGATGTTGCAATCAGGTCGGTTAGCCTCATGAGTAGCACATAAGTTGGAAAGGAACAACCGGAGAAGATCAGTTACAGTAAACCAATCTAAAAAGCAAACCATCAGAGTATCGAACCGTACAAATCATCTAGGAACAGATTGAATACCGTACTCCATTAGCAAAAAAAAAAAGAAAAAAGAAAGAAAAAGAAACAGATTTAGGAGTACCAGCGACTGCGACGCGATGAACAGCAGGAGAAAGCGAAGTAGCGAAGTAGCAACAGTAGGGGATAAAAAGATACCGCAACGAGAAATACCAAAAGGGAGCGGAGGAAGAAGACGGCCGGCCGGGAGAGTTGATGGCGATGGAGGAGGCGGCGGCGGCGGCGGCGGCGGCGCGTCGACGAGCAACAGGAGGAAAAGAAAAGAAAAGAAATCTTTTTTTGTTTTTTGGCTTGCCGATTGATCTCCTCCTCCCTGGGAAAGCGAAGTGGTGGTGATGATGGATACTTCTTCTAGGAGGATCTTGGAGAGTGGGGACGCGACGCGACTCGAGCGAAGCGCACGCGCGCGGGTTTGATGTTGATGACGCGCCCCTCTTCCGGCCGCTTCGGATTCGATTCGATTTTATTTTCCGAGTTCGTATTGGTGAAGGATATCTCTCATCTCTCACGCATATCCTTTTGTTCCATTGAATTAAATCTGCAAAAAGAATAATTCGTTTGAAATATACTACTTAGTACTTTCGTAGTTGGAACCAATATTTTTTCTTTTAACCATTAGTAGGCTTCTCACATTTCAATTTCTCCAAACTGCCCCCAAACTCTCTCTGTATGAGATTTTCTTTTCTTTTTTTTTTCACTCAACGTGAATGTGAACGTGTGTAAATGGGGCAATTTCTTTTTCTTTTTTTTTTCGAACGAAGTGCATGAGAATTGTTAAGGCTATTATTTCGTTCACTACAAATTAGGCATATGTTTGTGCCATTTTGGAGAAAATACGAACATATGATGCAAGGCTTGAAAAGAAAAGAGATACTAAGTACCAACTTTGTGATTAAAAAGAAAAAGATCATGCATGTGATGTGAGCATGAAGATGATGAAGGCGAAGAAAACGCACCATACCGGCCTTGTGAAGCGCCCACGACCATACTAGTCCACAACTAATTACTCCTACTCTCTCTACTTTCTATCCACTCAACAACAACTCCTACTATTCATCTACTACTGTACTTTTTATTATCTTTCTTCTTCAGTTTTGGTATTGAGGTGCGTTCCGTTCTGCCACGTTACTTTGTCGCCGGATTGACGCTTCAGAGCAAGTTTAATTTAATAGTATAGCTCCTCCAAATCATGTATAGTAAATATAATAGTCAATTCATACGATACGTTATTACTATACTACTAATATAAGGTCCCACCTATCGTACACATATTGTGTCTTAGAGTCCGTGCTGCAGTTAGCTACAGATCTATATCTCCGCTGCCACCTATCGTACACATATTGTGTCTTAGAGTCCGTGCTGCAGTTAGCTACAGATCTATATCTCCGCTGCTGTTCTCTCTTATCTTTTATCTCATTAAAATATAGTTGTAGCTGGCTAATACTCCCTCCGTATTTTATTGTATGACGCCGTTGGCTTTTAAATCAACGTTTGACCATTCGTTTTATTCAAATATTTTGTGCAAATATAAAAATATTGGGCGACGCTCCGATGCTTTCTACTTGTAGTATATACTACAAGTATAATTAATCTGAACCGTTTATTTTTAAGGGTAGATTAGTAAAGTTGGAGTAAGTTAGTTTGGGGTAGATTTGGCACTTATTTCTTCAGGTGGGTCCCATGGTCAAGCCTGCTCCTCCTCTTCGCAATTAGGCCATGGCGTTCTGAGCCGGACGGACGTGTTGACGAGGGGCGCACACATGTACGTGACTACACGTCAGGTAAAAAAAATAAAAAAAATGTGTCGAATTAAAAAAAATAAAAAGAACGTGTCTGTGGCGTAGGATAAGGTAGGCTACAACGACAAGAAAACTAGTTTAAAGTTTTTAAACTCAATGAAACTCAGTTTCAATTTGAGACGAAATTTATACTATAACAGAACTACTATATATTTTAGGACACATAGTATTTTATATCCGGAATTCATCTGGGAATGTCCGAACCAAGTTGGAAAAAAACACGTGGTTTTTTTTGTTTACACATAGAATAAAGGAGAAATATTATTTTAGAACAAAATTGGTTATGTCCGGAATCCGTCCAGTCTGTTTGGATCGGGTCGATTAAAAAGCACGTGGTTTTCCGTCCAGTCTGTCTTGTGGACAAAGAACAAATGAGAAATGCTATTTTAGGACAAATTTGGTTACAACATGCGAAATCCATCCGGTCTATCCGGACTGGGTCAATTAAAAAACACGTGGTTTTTCGCTCGTGCGCATATAGAATAAAGGAGAAATATTATTTTAGGATAAAATTGGTTACGCTCGGAATCTGTCTGGTCTGTCCAGACCGGATCGATTAAAAATTAAGTGTTTTTTAGTCTTGCGCACCTAAAACAAAGGAGAAATACTATTTTAGGAATTGGTCACAATGCTCGGAATCCGTCCGCTTCTGTCCGGACCCTCGAGTTGATTAAAAAACATGTGGTTTTTGCTTGTGCGTATATAGAATAAAGGAGAAATATTATTTTAGGACAAAATTAGTTACGCTCGGAATCGGTCCGATCTGTCCGAACCGGGTTGATTAATAAAAACGCGTGGTTTTTACGTATTGTAAACATAGAACAAAGGAGAAATACTATTTTAGCACAATAATGGTTACAACTCTTGGAATTCGTCCAGTCTGTCCGGATCCACGGGTTGACCAAAAACACGTGGTTTTTTTGCTTGTGCGCAGAAATATTATTTTATGACAAAACTGGTTACGCCAGAATCCGTCCAGCCTATCCGGACCGGGTGGATTAAAAAAATACTCCCTCCGTTTCAGGTTACAAGACGTTTTGACTTTGGTCAAAGTTAAATTGTTTTAAGTTTAACTAAGTTTATAGATAAATATAATAATAATAATAATATTTTTTTAGATAATGGAATAAACATCCCAGCCTTTGCTAAAGAGAGCTACAGATATTTGTAATACTAATTTATTTATATTTTTATAATAATTTTGTCTTGGGTTAAAAATATTGCTACTTTTTCTATAAATATAAAGTTGGTCAAACTTAAAACAGTTTGACTTTAACCACAACTTATAACCTGAAACGGAAGGAGTACATGGTTTTTGTTTTTTGGACCAACCATATTATTCCTGTCAGAATCTATCCGTATGTCAACCGGGACTTTCCGTTTTTCATCTATGTTGTTTTCTCTATTTTCTCTTTTTTTTCCGTACGTACGAGATCCATTTTCTTTTTTCGTACGTACGAGATCCATTTTCTCCGTTTCCACTGCAGTTTCTTTCCCCTATTACCCCGTTTCCATCCATTATCGATCCGTCCGTTTCCATCTATTATCCCGTCAATTTATCCTGTTTTAACGTGATTTGTTTTCTCCGTTTGCACTTGCTGTTTCTTTTCCGTACTATCCCGTTTACAATTGGTGCGGTTTATATTTTTAATCGTATCGAGTTCTTTACCGCTATGGAATTAATGTTATTAATGGCAGTGAATTCCCAACCTGAACATATACCATGCGGCGGAGCAGGCGAGGTCGTCTGAGGCGGCGATGACGGCGGAGGAAGGAGCTGTGAGGTTCTCTTCGCCTCAGCTTAGGTTAGGGATGGCGTTGGCTCTAGAACGAGAGAGGAGAAAGTGCAGTAAGGTTAGAGAATAAAAAGGACGAAAATACCCATCCGTAAATATTTTTTCCTAGACAAATATACCCCTCTACGATTCTACTACCGTTAAATGTAGTTGGAGTAGAAATAGATTTGAACCCTCCGATCAAATAAGATCAACGGTTCAGATTATTTTCTACTACGAGTAGAAAGCACCGGAGTGACTGCAAAAAATATTTTATGTCATGCTTAAAGAACATTTGACGATAAATCAAGTCACAATAAAATAAATAATAATTATATAAATTTTTTGAAGAAGACAAATGGTCAGACGTTAGATAAAAAGTCTTACATTAAAATATGGGGGTAGTAGTATGTTAGAGCAAGTTTAATAGTATAGTCAACTACTAGCTCCAATTCATCTATAGCCAATCTAATAGCTTATTCATACAATAGTTGCATACTACACTATTAATACATGATCCCACCTGTCATACACACACTACGTCTTGGAGTTCGTGCTACAGCTAGCTATAAATCTGTAGCCCGCTGTTTTTCTCTCTTTTTATTTATCTTTTTAAAATATATTTATAGCTGGTTTATAGGCTGCTATTGTACCTGCTCTCAAAACAAGCCGCGTGGTCTCAAAATCACACTTTACCTTTAACGTAAAATCGCTTGACTTTGACTTACAACAAGTGACTGTGTGTGACCTCGGAGAGTCGGAGTACTGGGTGATTAAACTTTCGATCATATTATCAGATGTTTGGACGCTAATTTAAAATATTAAATATAAACTAATTATTAATTACATAAAAAAGAGCTAATTTATGAGAGAAATTTTTAAGCTTAAATAATCTATAATTAGCACATATTTACTGTAGTATTACATAGGTTAATTATGGATTAATTAGACTCAATAGATTCGTCTCACGAATTATTCCAAAGTTATAAAATGGGTTTTGTCATTAGTCTACGATTAATACTTCTAATTAGTGGCGCAACACCTGATGTGAGAGCGACTAAAATTAGTCCACGTGATCCAAACACCACCTAAATACTTTTTGCACGTGAAAGTCTCAGCAAGCTGCTAATAAAAAGTTTTGTACACAAGTGACAATTTCGTAAACTTTCATTCACAAATCAAAACCATGTCCTAGTATGTATCAACATGTTCGACAATGTTCACAACTCTGAAGAAAAGAATTTGGTCAAAAAAAATAAAAATAAAAAACTCTGAAGAAAAGAAAGTGACTCGATACATAGCCTCATCTTTTCACTTATGCTAATACTTATCTACTATAATTTATTTTTTAAACGTTAAATTTGAAATTTATTTAGAATATTTTTATCGAAGTTTATTTTTCACTTTTTATTTTTATATCGCTGAGAATACATATATAAAGTTTCATTCATAAATTTATTTTTTTTAAAAAAAATATGCCGTTAGTTGGCGCCAAACCCAATAGCACCTCACCGGCGGCCGGCTGCTCTGCTGGTGTGCGGCAGCAATGCCGCAACTTCGTGTTAAGTGAAGATACATCTGAATGAGGTTTTTTTTTTTAAAAAAAAAAGAAGATACATCTGAATGAGGTTAAAAAAAAAAAAAGATACATTTGAATGCAACATTCAACTGAAATGTCTGAAGCAGCTTTTTAATCTACACCTTTCAGACCAATCGAGAACAAAAAGATATACTCCCTCCCTCTCCGTTTTTAACGCCGTTAACTCTTTTTAAGATGTTTGATCATTCATCTTATAAAAAATAATATAGATATTATTTATTTTATTGTGATATAATTTTTCATTAAATAAACTTTATTTATAACTTGCTCATAGAAATAGGATGTGCATTTATAGGGAATGTGCGTGTGTTATTAGTATCTGTGTTTGTATTGCATTGTGTTTTTTTAAAAAAATATTTACACTGATATTTTAAATAAAATGAATGATCAAAATTTATTTACATCATCTATTACAAAGGATAACACAATATATACATTTCGTGGTTTTGTCGTAAATTCGTAATGCCAAAATTCATACAAGAAGCATCATTCCAGGTCCAACGTAATGTCTGTTACTCATATAAAATGCTTCTATACACCCAGGTGTACGTACTCCTGGTTTCATCCACCGTCCGTTCGCAACCAGCAGAGATCGAGCCTGCTAGCGGATCACATACCGCGACCCGTTTTTGATTTTTGCGAGGAAAAAAATCATCGCAATATTTGTATCCCGCACATATCGGGAGCATACTGAATGCTCACATAAATATCTCGTTCTCACGTAGTGCTAAACCGAACAGAAAATCAACAGACCGATCCGATATAAGGGCAATTTGGAGGCGACGGCGAGGCGATACATCGACAAGGGTGGCCGGCTTGGGCCACGGCGGCGAGTAGCAGACAACGACGGCGATGCGCGCGATCCACCGGCAAGGCCGCAAGGATGGCTCAGGTCACGGCGGCGAGTAGCGGACAACGACACAGCAGAAATCCATCATCGTCAAGCCCATGCAGCTTGTCCGCCTGCCGGAGTGCCGGCGGCGTGATTCCATCGACATGATCGGCTTTTGCACCACCATTATTTGGATATTCCCAGGTGATTGATTCTGGTATGTCCATCCCGTTTTCTCTCGTTTTGTATTTCTTGCAGATTGATCAAGGATTCTCTCTTTCTTTTTCTTGCAGATCGATCGAGGTATAAGCCAGCATGAAGGTCGCCAGCTGCGTCGTGATCCATCGGCGACTCGATCGTCATCAATGGCGGCGATTCGATCGTGATCGATGGCCACGGCCATGTTGCGTCGACAATGCAGGCGCGCAGCCCATCGGCTAAGCCGGAGGCGACGACCAATCTATTGCCTCACTGAAATCATACGGGAACGGAAAAAAGCGGCGTTGGAGACATCAGACAGCACAGCACCAAGCCACCAACCGAAGATCATGGCATCCAACGAATGTATACATCAGATTATAGTAATCACAGTATATATGTGCACATCAGCTCATGTATCGATCTGGTTGCCTGCATATACATCTCTCTTCTTAATTATACTCCATTGAATCTCTTCCTGATTATATACTACTACAAGATCAACTAATTTCATATTATTTGTCAGTATTATATACTACTGTGAAAAGCGCATATATATGCAACAGTTAGGAATTAATAAACCCAACGAGTATAGTCGAGTATGGCTAGTTTTGGAAATACATGCCGCTTTTCTGAATCTTTGAAAAAAGCATGTATTTTATACTACTGATACTTTTGCATCATCAAATCATGAGAATGCAGCCAGTAGCCCAGTAGTCTGTACTGCTACAGTGTAAAATCAAAATAGATAACAAAGTATATACCGCTAGTAACTTAAAAAATATGTTAAAAAAGGCATATACCGATACTAACTATAAAAAAACAGTATATACCGATACTAACTTAAAAAAAAAAGATACCGACACTAGCTTAAAAAGTAGCATATACTACTACTAACTGAAAATGTAGTATATACATGATCAGTATATACTACTATACTACTAACCAAAAAAAAACAGTACATACTACTACTAACAAAAAAAGGTATATACTCCTTCAATGAGTATACTTAAAAAATGAGATATATACTTCTCTGATGATTATTGTAGTATATATAGTACTTATTAACTAAAAAATAGCAGATAATACTTATATTAACTAAAAAAGGTATATACTTCCAAACAAAAAAATAGTATATATAAAAAAAAGTATATACTGACCAAATTAAAAAATAGTATGTGCAGTATATATCAAAAACTTAGTATGTCTACTGACCAAACAAAAAAAACAGTATATACTCATTCAGTACGGACGTAATATATGCTGGAAAGAAAATTAAAAATTTGAAAGCAAATGCATACCAACGTTCTCGTTTGAGTGAGCACCAAATCCGGTGTCAGCTGTGCACATGCATACGGTGATTTCAAATTAATAATTTCACTTTAATTTGGATGCTAATGGATCATCCATTAACAAGGGGGAGTACATACACCTGAGTGTATAGAAGAGTCGTCATATATATATATATATATATATATATATATATATATATATATATATATATATATATATATATCCTTGGAACTATCATTCCAGTTAATTACGATTGACGTCGCCGTGGTGCTCTGCTCAAAGAACGCCTCCGCTCGCTTTGACGAGCGTGCTATCGCGGCGGCGTCCAAGCTTCACCTTCAGCCTTCTCTCGCCGTCGCCGGCGCCGGCACGGCGGTGGACGACGTCGGCGATGCGCTCGTCGTGGAGGCCGACGCTGAGTAGCAGGGGAGCCTGGAGGTAGCCGCGCGGGACGGCGACCATGTCTTGCATCCGGAACACGCGCTCCACGGCGTTGCGCTCGACGTCGTAGACGAACACCTTGTGCCCCCCCGTGGCGAGCATGATCTTGCTGCTGCCGGCGCCTCCCGCGCTGCACAGCGGCACGATCACGCGCTCACCGGCGAGCTCCTCGCTCACCTGCTCCGGCAGGATCTGCAGGTTGATGGAGCACCGCACCGACCACGACGGCGACGGCGACGACGACCGGCCGCTCCACGTGAAGAGCCCGTAGACGCGGCCGAAGAGGCGGTTGTCGTAGACGGCGCACAGCGAGCCGTCGAGGTCGGCGAGGTGGCAGATGCGGGAGGACAGCCGCGGCGGCACGTACACCCACCCGAACTGCTCGCCGCCTATGGAGAAGGACAGGACGCGGTGGATCGGCTCCTCGCCGGGGCCGGCCGGCCGGAGCAGCCAGTAGAGGTAGCCGTCGACGAACACCGGCGGCAGCGCCGGGAGGAGGTTGGCCGCGCACGGCGGCACTCGCCCGACGCCGCGGCGCCACCCGCCGGCGCCCTGGGTGTACACCTCGCAGCTGTACTCCCCACCGTCGCGTCTCTTGAAGAGCCTCACCACCTTGTGCTCCCCGGTCGCCGTGTCGTAGCCGAGCCCGGTGGTGGAGAGCTCGATCCATGGCGCCGGCCACGCCGGGGGATAAGACGTGGGGTTCATGGTGGGCAACGTCAGCGTCGAGTCTAAGTTCGCCGCCGCGGCCGGCTGGCATGGCGGCAGCGCGACGTGGTCGCCGGTGGAGAGGTTGAAGAGATAGTACTCCGACCTGTACGTGTCGAAGATGAGCGTGAGGCCTCTGCACGGCGTCGGCGACAGCACGGCGTGGGCGGCGGTGATGCCGGCGACGGTGAGGAGCTCGCGGGCGGCGGCCGGCGGCGGCGGCGCCTCGCAGTCTCCGTCGCGGAGCGAGCAGGCGTAGAAGGAGGTGGCGCGCCCTCCTGCGAAGGCGGCGCCCGGCGCGAAGAAGAGCAGCTCGGGGTGGCGGTGGCGCGCCGCCGCGGCTCTGGCGCGGTGCGCGAGGATGAAGTGGTCGGAGGTGAGCGCGGCGTTCCACTGCCGGCAGACGGCACGGAAGCGGACGGCGGCGGCGATGGGGAGGCGCGTGAGGATCTCGTCGACGAGCAGCTCGCCGCGCGGCGGCCGCCGCTCGCCGTTCGACTCCGACGACCGCCGTAATCTTTTGTGCAGTGGCGGAGAAGACTCCATCGTTGGCGTGCACACCGGCTGGTTTGATTGATTACGTTGTGTTTGATTGATGAAAGTAGTTTCGCGATATATATAGAGAGAGGAGAGATCGAGGGCTAACCGATTCGGAACAGTACTGGAACAAATTTAATTCGACTCCACTTGTCAATCGGCTCAGAGCCTAGTACACTGGATTAAGTATGGAGTACACCAGGAATAGGGATCAGGGAACGGATTTTAAACTCTTAATGGGAGATCCCTTCATTTCTGTCTAAAAAGTTATAGAAAATAAAAAAGATGAATTAATATGTGATAAATGCATGTTGAAATTCAATCCTTATAAGTTGCAAAAATAAAAATAAAATACAAAATGCTAGACATTTAACGTATATTTATAGTCAAATTTTTAATTAGATTTTAACTTGTGTATTTGTGAGGAAACCCGCAGAAGATTAGTGTGTTGGTTAGAGATTTTTTTTTAATGACTCGCACGAGACGGTGCGAAGTTCTATTCATAGAGCAGGAAAAAATTACAAGGTTACAACCCTAGAGGGTCGTAACCAGGAAAAAGAAAAAAAATACCACCACCCACACGGCGACATCGCCATCACACAAACCCAGGAGAAGGCTAACACCGGACCGGCCGCCGCTAAGCGTGACCGACCACCACTAGGCTAACAAAGGGACACAGATGAGGTCGCCACAAGGGGTGAGACAGCACGACAACACCCTCAGGAGGGGGGATAACCATCGTTGACGGTCCGACCAAGGCCGGACTGGGTTTTCACCTGTCGCTCACCACTTGCGAATCCACGCCTGACGCACCGATGCTCCACCACCACACAAGCTTTGCCGACATGTGGGATCCCTGCACTGGCTTCCCCCGCCGGCCAGTCTTTATGCGCCGAAGACCGCGCCACACCCACCGACAGCTCCTCCTCACACCTAGGTCGCCTCCTCCACCGCCGGCCGCGCCACTCTGCGCCAAGCCAGCCTCCTCCACCAGATGCGCCTCGCGCCAATCCGGTCTCCCTCCATCGGCCGCGCCTCCCGCGCCAAGCCAGCCTCCATCTCCGCCGCCCGCGCCTCTCGCGCCGAGCCGGTCTCCAATGTCATCGGCTGTGCTTCTCTGCGCCAAGCCGGTCTCCGACCCCTCCACCAAACGATGCCGCGCCGGCCAGATGTAGTCGTCTCCCACGCCCTCAGCTAGCCGTTTGAGGCCGCCATGCCTCCAGTGACCGACACGGTCACCACCACCGCAGCCGCTATTGCCTAACGCCCAACCACCTCGTCGAGTGGGATTTTCAGTGCAGCTGACGCTGGAATATAGTTTTATGTTTGTTCTCAGCTGCAGAATGGCTGAAAAACCTTAAATTGTCAGGGACTACAATACAATGGGTGTATTTTCTATGGTTTTGCGTACCTTGAAAACCGGTAAAAACAGGTATTCTTGACCAAAAAAAATATTGGTTACAGTGACTAAATAGTATTCATGTTAGTATGGATTGATGACAAATTCAGGTTGCTCTTAATTAACTCCATGCTAAACTAGGCAGAAATACGCATGGCGTTCTGAATTGTGATGAGTGATCACTGTAACTGAATCTCCTGAACCATTCAACGGAAATGAAAGATTGACAAAGCGATTGCAACAAAAACATGACAGTAGTAGTAAGGCGAGTATCGAACAAAGCGATTTCAGCAGAGGTAGACAAACAAGAAGCACGTAGTAACAGTCGTCAAGTGCACCTCGATCGATGGATGAACTAATGAGTCTCTCTCAGCTAATAAAACTAACTCTTCCAATCCTATATACAATTACAATCGACCTCAATCCGAGTCTGTGTCGGCTGAAGTAACTCGTCAATGCGACGACCACAGCGGGAGTGTAATCAACAAACGAGGGGAAACTGAAATTGCAGAGGATAACGCCTGAGGGGATACGGAAGACAAGACAATGGAAACGGCGGCAACGCCTCCCTTCCACCATCTCGTACCTGTGTATCTGGTAAGTGACGCCGCTGCTGCTGTGGTACACGTCCTCCACGCTGTAGAAGCCATAGAAGACGTCCATGCCGATCCGCATCGCCATGAACTGGTGCCACCTCGGCCTCTGCAGCATTACGGCGCCCTCGACGAAGCAATCCCCGTCGACATCTACGTCGTGGTAATCCGTCGGAATCCGCACGGCGAATCCGCGGCGGTTCTGCCACTCGGGGCACCCGCACGGGTTCACCTCGGCGCAGCCCCTGCACAGCACCGCTCCGCAGCAGGTCATGACCATGTCAATGTCATCTCGCTCCTCCCCGCCGTCACAGCTCGAGCACCGGGGCGGCGGCGGCGGCGTCGCTACTGCTGGTGACGGCGGCTCATCCCATCTCGTCCTGCGCTGACGCTGACGCTGTCGGGAAGGTGCAGAGGAGCGGCTCCACACAACGCCCGGGACCGGGACTGCTCTGTTCTGTCTCTGCTCCTGGAACCTGCGCCTGCGCCGGGAAGTGCCGCCCTCCGCCGCCGTCCGCTCTGCTCCTCGCACAAATACACAATGCAATGCAATTCAATGAGCACCAAAGTAGATGAAACTGATCGAACGAGTTGGTGTTCTTGATCACGATGAAATAGCATATTATATTTCACAGCTCAGAATTCAGAAACACAATGCAATAGAGCAGAAGCAATCGCATCTCAATTAAACAGCTATGATCTCGCGAGCCTTTCTTACCGAGACGACGATGGCCGAGGAGGTCGGCGGAGGAGTGCCGCCGGTGTGCAGGCCAAGAATCTGCCCCCGCGGCCTGGCCTGACTCGAGGAAGATGCGCCAGGTACGACCATCTCCTTCGCGGCCGTCGGGGACAGCAAGCGCCCGGTAGCCGCCGCCGACGGTCCCCAAGAATCCGCGCAGAGAACTCGCCACGTACTCGCCCAAGGCGTCGACGGCGTAGCCGCTGGGTCGCACAAGAGACCCGTCGTCGGCCACCGTACGGAGCAAAGCCGGCCAAGAACCTCTCGCCCTCTTCGTCAGAACGACGTAGGGGCCAGCGGGCAACGAGAGAGCGCGTCCTGCGGCGTCGTCGTCCTGGCCACGGGAGGTGGTGGTGGTCGTGCAGACGACGGCGCGCCAGGAGATCCCTCTCGCCTCGCCGCCCGGAATCGACCCAAGAACAGCATCCCGGCGCACGGGCACGGCAAACGCATCACCCTCGTGGCCGGCGATAACGAAGCCGTCCGGGCGGGTATCGTCCAGCGCAATGGAGGTGGCGACAGCAAGAAGCGCCGGGAGCTGCGCCTGGATCACATCCGCAAAGAAAAACCATGCGACGGGCCGCGAATCCTGGAAGAAGAAGAAGAGGAGGAGGAGAGGATTAGCCGATCAGGCCATGGAGGAAGCTAAGAACCGGAAATTTCAAGAAGTCATCAAGAACTGAAAAAGGAAATTACAACCGGCGGAATATCTCTCAAATGGCGTGCCTCTCCCGCGGCGGGGATGGAACCGGAGCACGGGGCGGCGGAGAGCGTAGGATCGGAAGAGCGCGATGTGTCGGCGGGTGGTGGGAATCCCTCGTCGCCGGCGTCCATGGCTGAAGCAGATAGCCGTGGGGTTGGGGAGGTGGGAGAAGCGGGACGAAGAGAAGAGGCAAGGTTGGACTTGTGGGGCCTTGTCTTTATGGGCTCGTGGCTTCTTCTGTTAGGCCTTGGGCCTACCTAAAGGCCCAGTAATGAAACACGGCTCAGAAGTATCCTCCTCTATGTCGGCCCGCAACAACTTTGTCCTCTCTCCTTGAAAATGAAAGGTCCACACTACGTCCCTCAACTATTGAGCAAGTTTCTTTTGCATCCCTTAACCGCAAAACAAAGTATGAAGTGTTCCCCAACTTTTAAAACCAGTGCAAATCAAGTCAATCAGTAATATTAAGGGTGGTTTCAGTTAACATGGCGCTTAGGTGATACAAGAAGCAAAAATAATAATAACAAAAAGAATGAAAACATAAAAGAGCGTTGGTGGTTGTTTAAGGAGACAAATCAAAGAGCCACAGAAGTATAGAAGGACCGAACGCACATACAGAGAATAATTATACTGGTCCGAAAATGAATGTTTACTTACGTTCTAATACCTAGCATCCAAGAAAACCATGACATGATATACTCCCTTCGTCTCAAAAAAACTCAATCTAGACAAGGATGTGACATCTCCTAGTACAATGAATCTGGACAGCCATTTATCCATATTCGTCGTACTAGAAAATGTCACATCCCCTCCTAGGTTATTTTTTTTGGGGGACAGAGGAAGTATGTGTTTAATCAAAGTAGTATCAAGCAAATCATCATGCACATTCATGAAGATATAAAAGTACAATAAAACTAGCACGTTCAACATTTTGGGATCTGCAATGGATTAGTAATCCTATCTTCTACGTTACAAAATTGTGAAGGAAAAAAAATGCTCCTTGCACCTCCAAGGGAAAAGAGAGAAGAGGGATATGGAGACATTTTGCTGACTAGTATACAGTTAGTTTTAAGTTACTGATATCTGAACCATAGAAGTAGATCTTTTCCTCCGTTATCGTACCCAGTGGCTCCAGCTGATGATCTGCTCAGAGGCTCCACTTCCAATTCTTGGTTCAACTCATCTAACCGATCAAACAAAGGCCTTGCATCATGGACCTTTCTTCAATGACAGTAAGTTACTAGTTCAAATCTAAGCATTTTGATTTATCTGCAATGGTGGGATGCCAGGAATTTGAGGAATGGTGGACTTTTTCTTCTTTATTTTGTCGAACATCATAGCTTGCGTCATTAAAATAAGTCCTGCAATAGAGGCAGAGTTTTGAAGCACACATCTTGCAACCCTGCATGGGTCTACCACACCAGCATCAACAAGGTCTTCAAATTTGTCAGTCATTGCATTGTATCCAACTCGCCATTCACTCGCAAGAAGCTTCTCTACAACAGCTGGACCATCTGCCCCAGCATTGCGAGCTATCGTCATAGCAGGGACGAGAAGTGCCTAGAGCAACATTGGTCATTGGACAGATTTCAGAATTAGGATGTTATGCAACTGATTTAATTATTTTTGCAAGAAAAAATATCTTCTGAGAATGTGTTAATACAGTGAACGCCTTAAATTTAAATTGATGCGTCTTTGCACTTGTTAGTCACTAAAGGAATTGACATATTTGCCATATTGAGTATTTGATGCTTAGGTTCAAAATGTAGATTATTCTTCAAACCTAGTGTGTAATACAGCTGCAGCAGTGTAAGAAAATATGAAAAAAAAAAGAAAAAAAAAGGTGATGGTTGTTAGTGAATGGAGAAACAAACCAAGTGTGTAATACAGCAGCAGCAGTGTAATGCAAATATGCCAAAAAAAAAGTGATGGTTGTCAGTGAATAGAGAAACAAACCTTCCCAACTATATTTACACCAATCTTCTCTTCAGAGTCATCTACAAGATCCATGATACTGGGAATATACTTTGATAATTGAACATACGTCACACCACCTCCAGGAGTTATGCCTTCGCTAATGGCTGCAAAGGTTGCATTTTTTGCATCCTCCGCTCTCAGTTTCCTATCCTCGAGTTCAGCTTCAGTAGCTGCACCAACCTGAAAAAAGTCCACTCTTATCAAATCCCCAGACACAAACTAACAGTTTTATACCACAACTAAAGTGATTTCTGCATTATGTCCTGAAAATCTTTTTGACACAAAGAAAGCTTTCCGGTAAAATTGTATACAGAAAGCACATATTCATTAAACAATGGGAATATAGGTTTGTTGACATAATGTCATAGCAACGCACCTTGATAACTGCAATACCTCTTGAGAGTTTAGCGATACGAGATGAAAACCTTTCTTTTAGATAGGCACTTGTTGTCTCCTCTAGATCTTTCTTAAGTTGCTGAATTCTGGCCTCAATTTCTGGTCTCATCGAAGGATGTGCAATGATAGTAGTAGTATCACTTGTTATAGTGATCTTCTGAGCCATACCTAGCTGATCAGAAGTAGCACCTTGAAGACACCAGCCAAGGTCACTAGCAAAGAAATCTGCACCTGTAAATTGAAGGAGAAACAAAAACTCAGAGCCTAACGGAGCTAGACAGATAAGTTTAAAGCAATTCACCATGCACATGAAAGATGGTGAAAGCCAAATATGAAAATGCTGGTCTCGGCAACACGGTAGAGGGAAATAGCATAATGTCATCTGACAAGACAAATACTAAGGAACTGCTAAATATGTTTTAAAAGACTATTAGGATATGGCCTATATCCTGTAAGCATGTACTACAAGATAAAATCATGTACTTTGATGTATGGAATAATTCTAACATTAAATTTCAAGGTACATAGTTCTAGTGTACTAATTCTTCACCTGTCATAATAGCAATATCTTGGAGAATAGCCTTCTTTTCATCTCCCAAACCAGGACATTTAACAACAGCAACATTTAGCAGTCCATTCAGTTTGTTAAGAACAAGAGTTGAATACACCGTATGTGAAACATCCTCCGCAATAATCAACAAAGGGACACTCAACTGTGTGGTCTTCTCTAGCAAAGGAAGTATCTCTTGGACATCATCCACCCGCTGATCAGTTAAAAGTACCCTAGCATTTTCAAATTCAACAATTGCTTTGTCTTGATTTGTGATGAAATGTGGAGAGATATAACCTTTGTCTATCTGCAACGACCAGACGGAGAATCATGAACCATAGTACTATAAATTTACACCAGCTACTTTCTGCACTAAATGTTGATTAGTGGTTCAATGGAATGATTTTGTTTGACACACCCTGAGACATAGCTGCATTTTGTTGCAAAAGGGAAGTTCTTTGCATACAGGTAGCATATTGTAGGGAGAAATTTCATATCCACATAAACATACCTTCATTCCTTCTTGCACCTCAACTGAAGTATATATTGAAGATGAGGACTCAATTTTAATTATTCCATCAGGACCTATCTTCTCCAATGCATCAGCAATGAGATCGCCAACATATTCATCATTGCCAGCTGATATTGAAGCAACAGCTGAAAATGAAATTTAGAGATTTACAACATTTTATAATCTGACCACAGAATAATTTCGGTGCATTCACAGACAAATCATGATATGCTTCATGCTATATCGACTATATGCTTTCTAAAATAAAAAGGAAAGGTTACTAGTCTAGTGGGTATGGTTTATTATTCCGTATTTCTGTGCTCGTGATGTATGCTTCCCAGGTGACAAAATTACCTTTTATGTCCTCCTTTGTACTTACAGGGATACATTTAGTCTTCAAGATCCCAATAAGTTCATGAACAGCTTTGTCAATACCCTTTCTCAGGGCAACTGGGTTAGCACCAGTGGCTACTGCCAACAACCCAAGATTGATAATTTCTCTTGCCAAAATAATAGCAGTTGTTGTTCCATCGCCAACAGAACTATTCGTCTTGGATGCTATCTGGTTAACATGCTATCAGTAAAATAAACAGCGGTGTCGATATTGACCAATTTAAAGAATATGAAGACATTCGGCACCCAACCTCTTGAAGTAACATGGCACCTGCGTGCTCAACAGCATTTGGGAGCTCTATAGCCTTGGCAATTGTGATACCATCATTGATTACTTTAGGAACATCGTCTTGGTCAATAACAACATTCCTGCCTGCAGTAAATTTTTGAGCTCTCAACATTCCGTAGCATTACAAGACAATTAAACAGGTAATCCAGGCTCATGAGAACCCAACAACATGAACAACAAACTAAACTGATGGATATACCAAACCCAACATCTTTAGGCTTTAGCAAGAAAAAAAAAATTGAAATCCTTTTAGGCTCCTGATGGCTCATTTTCTGTGCATTCACTAGATTCATATCTTACATCGAATCATCCATATAAGCACTGAAATTGCAAGAAATTAGAAGTTGGACAGCAAGAATTGGTACTCAAGAGCACCAAAAAAAAACAGTAGGCTGACCTTTGGGGCCTAGAGTGACCGCGACGGCGTCGGCGAGCTTGTCGATGCCGGCGGCGAGCCCACGGCGGCAGGCCTCACCGGAAGAGATCACCTTGACGTCCGCCCGCACCACAAAACGGCAGCGAGCCCTCGGCGGCGGCTTAGGCAGCGTGCACGGCCATTTGGGAAGCGGCTTGGCGGGGTATGAGAAAGAAACGGTGGTCAAAGACATGGAGGCCCACGGGGAGAGGAACCAGGAATCGAGAGCGCCGTGAGGAGCAGCGTGGGCGGCCGGTAGAGGGAAGAGCAGACCGGCTCACCGCCGCCCGCCGCGCAGGGTTGGGAGCGGCGGAGCAGAGGCGGAGGCGGCGGCGCGGCGATGAGGGTTTTAGCACAGGTGGTTTATCCGCTTGCTCTTCTTCCTCGTCTCAACTCTCAAGAAATCAACATTTCTCCTTCTCCACAAAACAAATACTAGTAGTATGTCCAAACTTAATTTGAAATATTACGTTTTGGAAAACATTCAAAATATAAGCTCTGAATCCAAGATTCATGACGTTGGGTATTTCTAGTCAACAAATTCATGAATGTACGATTTCATTGATAATATTTCGATGATTTGTTTTATTTTAATTTTAAATGAAATATGAAATTTTAAACCACTATAATTTAACATATAAATTTTAAATCCAAGCCTGAATCTACGATCTGAAGTTATGCCGGCTCACTTTCAAACTTTAGCCCTCTCTCGTTCGGTCTGGCGCGTAAATTGTAAACCACGCACAGAATGAACATTTTTCTCACGCACAGAATGAACTACTACTCTATCGGTTCCAAATTATGAAGATTTCTGGACCATTCAGCATAGAGATTAAGGTTAATAAAAAAAACGAGGTAATTGACAAAATCTGACTCCTAAAATTGCATGGATTTTAGAAGAGAGGAGTGCTACATATCAGAAATTTGAGCCGTAGACAGAAGGGACAGGCACTTGGCCAAGATGAATAAACAGCAACTGCAAAGAACACTCCAAACATCTCCAGCGCGCACGAAGCCCAACTGGAGGGAGATGATCAACATTTCATATCAGGAACAATTAGCTCTCCTACCACCTGTCACGAATCAAATTTCTGAATTCCTAACACGCACGCAAACAAAACACACGCGCACCAGTCAGTGAATGTCACTCTCTGAACATTGAACAAAGTTAGTCCTTGAGCAACCTTCTCTAAAGTATTCTAAAAATCATCCTCTCTCTCTCTGTTTTTTGCTACTTCTTGTGGCTGCACCAGAAGAGGCAGCCTCTTCAACTGATCTGAACTATCCAAGTGCAGATGCATCATTCATTCTATTGTCATGGAAGCTCTTGAGCAGAGATGACATCAAGAACAGGAAATCACTTGTCAAATGGTGGGTTCTTCTGAAAAGTCCCAGGAGCAAACACCGGGAAGGAGCCCGTGCGTGCTCTCTCGCCCCGGGTATCACGCTGGAAGGCATTAGGAGGATCACTACTTCCATCAGGTCGTGCTCTTGTGCCCGCTTCGCTCCTCTGAGCGTTCGTACCTGAGGTGCTCAGAATTGGCCCGCCAAAGAATATCGACTGCCCAGTGTACGTCAATCTCTCAGATGGCTGCCCTGATGATATTGCCGAGGAAGAAGCGTTTGCAGGTGCAAGATTTTTCCCATGGTTGCTTGACTCACCAGTTGGATTTGCCAAGAAACGCGGGGTTCTTGCTGGCAGATCAAGACCAGGAACTGCCCTTGTCTGCGCAGGCACTGAAACATACCGACCAGCCTCCTGGTCCCAGACAACAGAGGCTCTCCGGTTCTCCCGAACATAAGATGTGGCTGACTGGAACATTGGGTTGGTTATCTGTGTGGTAGGAACAGGCGGCCGCACTATCCCTGGCACTATCCCCGGCACAGGCCTTTCAGGGGGTGGAGGTTGATGAGGAGGTGCATGAAACTGAGAATGAGAGGCAAGCTTGTGGATGTGAACCGGGCTGCTCAAACTGCTTGCAGTCTGTGTGCCAGTCTCGTAGTCATCCTGGCTTGCAAGGCTTTGGGGGTATGAGTTCTGAAGAGGAGACAGTCTCATCTCACCTCTTGATTCCTTTGTGCCGCTGTAGTCAACACTCATGCTACTCCTAACACTGGCATTTCCGCTGGAGCTAAGATCACCTTCATGACCACGGCGAGCGTCTACTGGTCGGAGAACAGAGGATGATGCCCGAGCTTTTGCTGCAGCTTTCATAACCTCATTTCTATCTAGCTTTGCAAGGCTCCGGGCACTGATTTTGACAGGCTTCTTAGATTTGTTTGCTCTTTCGGCATATCCAGCAGCATCAGGATCAACCGTTGAAGGTACCATCCCAGGGTCCAAATGTGGAATCACTTCATCCTAGTGGAAAGTTTCAGCACAATTAAATTTAGCAGGGCTTCAGAAAGTGCTTACAATATCATAATTATATTGTATTCCAGCTTTGGAGCTGTAATTTAACTTCCACATAATTGCGATTTGAAAAATGCAGGCTCACCTGATCAATAAATATTCTTGGAGGTGTGCACCAAGCACCCTTGTGGTGGAGGCCAAGTGAGCTTCCAACACTGAATCCTGTTGTTGCTGAATTTGATGGTGAGTAGGTGATATGTGCTTCTTCATCATCCTCTGGTGCTGCCTCGCTCATAGCTCTCATTGCCACAACATAGTCGTAGGTTGTGATCCCCTGAATATACACAAGCGACATAGTTGAGAATGTATATCAATTGGATATGTGTTACATTTCCATTTAAGAATCCTGAAGCAAACCTTTCTTATCAGTATCATGTGGAAGAAGAAAAGTTCCCCTAAAGGTATGCAGGCAACTAACGAAAGAAGTGTAAATAAACCCTGCACATAAGAAATTTCCTATTCAGTTAATTATCAGCAAAAAAAAAGCAATATTAAAAATTAAGAACCGGTAAGTATTGCTCAATATACATCCAATATGCAAATATGCGTTTCAACAAGTGAAGGGAATAACAGATAGAAGAGCTAACAAGACATAAAATGCTGTAAAAAATTAGAGATTCCTAAAATTAAATACATTCACAGAAGTTATGTGCAGACGACACAGTAATTTCACAAACCCAGTTTTCACACCTCACTGTGGCCTATCCTTGTGCAGTGAAAAAGAGGATGTGAGGTGATTCAGATGCATGTTTGGTTCTGGTGTCACCGGCTCACCATCACATTCCTCTCCTTCACTGTAAGCTATAACGATGAGGTGCTAAGAATGGGGTTTGTGAAGCAATTGCGCACATCACTTGTAGTTCTATTTAGTCGCTAAGTTGTGGTAGCTCATCAGTCATCAGATATCAGTGGAAAGATGCTTCTACAGATGACTCCTTATAACCAAGAGGAGATTCATAAACACTAAAAGCTACAGGATAAAAAATCGTATGATACTTACCACTATAACAGCAAATGGAGCACGAGTCATGCCATTCCCAAGCTTGTCCTGAATGTTGCTCAATGCATTCTTATCAACAAAGCATAGTACAATAACAGCAATGCCCACTCCAAATTCAATTGCAAGCTGTCACACAAGAGGCTAAATATTCAGAACAATTCAAGAAAAGAAACACTCTACAACACCTGTATAACAACTTAGAAAAGGATATAAACAAGTCAGCATTACAAACCCAGAATAAACTGATTGCCATAAGTGAAATGAACGTGAAATAGTTCTTCCGTCCAACACAGTTATTTAGCCACTGCCAAAGACATCCATATCAGCTATCCAAAATTTAACGTTGCAAGATTGCATCCCAAGAAAGTACAAGAAAATTTTACCCGACAATGATGATCAAATCCATCAACACATTTGTCACAACTTCTGCAGTGTTTACTGAATTTGCGAACCTGCCAAATAATTTTGTATAACAAGAGTTATAACACAAAAATCAAATAAGTTTACTGAATGATGCATCCCCAGAAGATAGATCAACATACCTCGGCATTGCATAATGTGCAAAACAAAGCTTCTTCACCATTAGCTGCTTGTTCTGACTCATCAGGCTTCCGGCAATCCTCCATGACAAATAAAGCACACAGAAGCCCACCAAGAAAGTAACAGCTTGATCTTTTTTTCGGCAGCTGTGAGCTCAGATTTACGTTTGCGTCCCTTGTAGACAAACCTCGCTGATTAGAATGACCATCAAGAGAGCTTCTACAAGTAGATGTTGGAGACTGTGTGCCGATTGTGCTATTGCCTTTCTGGGGCAAATTTATGCCTTGCAGCCCATCACTGTTGGCTGGTACATTAATAAAGCCATCCTCAAACTTTGACATGATCCCAGGATCAGCAGGGTTAATGCTAGTGCACCGGATGTAAAGGATGAAAACAGCAAATGCCTGAAAGTGGTGTATAGAGAAATGTTTCATGATACCACAAGATAACCCTTTTCAGATATGAGGGACATAAATAAAGACCATTCGGCAGGCTTACCACAGGGGTATAAACACCTATAGCAACATACTCAAGGATTTGCTTTCCAAGAAATGGTGCAAAGAACGCATAGAACGCGACCACCAGAAGGAAGAATACCACAATTGCAACAATCTGCCAAAACTCAAAAGGATAGTATAAATCAGTTATAAACTATTGAAGAAACAAGAACAGACGCTGGTGCAGTTTGGAGCTGTTTGAAGACCATAGTACATGGTGCAGGAAAACACAACGGTTACTGCATAACGCCTATGAGTAAAATTTTCAGTTCCCCAGAAAATAATACAACTTGAGGGAAATAGTGTTTTAAGAGTACCCAAAAATGAAAGAAAAAGGACTAATGGATATATTAGAGACCACAAGTGTCAAGCCCTGGCAACATCACTGTATTTCTTATCTGTTAATTACTTATGTGTTTTATTTGCAATAGATCTGAGACTAATGCATGGGTTGAGTATAACATTATGAGAATAAGCAAAATTTGAACTTCCCTGTTAACATGGTCTAAAACCCATGATGATGTGTCAAGGCTACAGGTGCAAGATTATTCAAGTCATTCTCAATTCTCAAAGATATGCAAAAGGCAAGAATACATCTGACCAGACACTAGCTAGTAACATACGAATGTAGATGATAAGATGGCATGGCAATGTTGTCTGGAAGAGACAATTAACTAGGTACCCTTGTTGAAAACAGAAGCAAGCCACGAACCAATCACATAACTACAGCAATAGCAATCTAAATATTACTTTAGATGGAAAAATTGCCTATGCTAAGAAAGTTTACCTAACATGGAATTTTCGACAGGTGACCTTTCACCACACAAAGAACGGACACTTTTAACATGTACGTAGTCCGTGCGACTACTACCTAATTACCTACATGCATATGTTCCAAACGTGCGATATGATGCTTTGAAGAACTCGCGGAAACAGTTTTGGAAGTTTATTTTTCCATGGTTTCCCAGAAGATACTTAGGTGCTACTGAGCTAGCAATTCTACAAGGCAACACAAGAAAAAATTGGCGAAACATTGCATCATTGAATTACAACCCAAAAGCAACAATAAAATTTGCAGCATGTTTAACCCACTATAATCGATCCCATTTGAACATATATTTGTCTCGCCAAATCACCATCAAGGAGAACTTAAGCATGTACGGAAGCAAAACGTTCTTCCTACCCTCATATAAAATCATTCCTCCAGCCTCCCCCAGGCTCAAGACACACAAAAATAACCAATTGCGTGATGCAGGAATAGAGCAAATTATGCAACTTTCTGCATGCATTCATTCACTCATAGTCAATAATAAGAAGATAATATAGCAAAACGGTCTTACACTTCACATTTTAGGCTCAAGACACATTCCTGCTTTACTGAGTTAAAACGTTCCAACCCTAATGGGAGAATCCTAACAAATCTAACACAAGAGACATAATTCGCAAAAATCCCAGCCATTTCTCAGGCATTGCATCTAGACTCAATTCCTTATGAGACCACGCTACTTGTTCATCTCCACACAAGTAAACACAAGAGAATTAGGGGGGGAATAGGAATCAAAATCACTCGTCTTCAACTCTGTACAGACTGTACTCGACAGATCTTCAGAATACACTAAAAAAGATTGTGAATTTCTTGCAGCGCCGAGTCACAGGGACGAAATTCCACGACGAACTAATTCCTACGGCTACTACAGATGCACGCCCAGGATCAAATCAAAAAAGAAAGAAAAAAACAAGGGAAGACCAGACTTTGTTACACCGATGCAAGAACCCGAAGCGGCAAGGAAGAGAGAGAGATTGGCGGGTGCAGTCACCTGCAAGGTGTGGGCGGGGAGCTGCCATCCGTGCTTCCTCGCCATGGCGCCTCCCCCGCGGCGCCGCCGTCAACCCGGCGCTCAGATCGCCGCCGTCTTCGCCGGCAGCAGCAAAAGGGAAAGAGAAAGAGAAAGACTGGTGCTTTCTGCTCCTCCTCCTCCTCCTCAAGGGGTTGGGTAGTTCAGGAGGAGTAATAGTAGGAAGGAGAAAAAGGGCAGATTTTTCATTAAAACCCCCTCCCTCCTCCTCCTCCTCTCTCTCTCTCTCTCTCTCTCTCTCTCTCTCTCTCTCTCTCTCTCTGCTTCCTTTCTTGATTTCTGTTGCCTTTTTCAGTGTTTGGTTTGTTGGGGAAGATTAATTGAGTCAATTAAGGCTAGGCCTCCGGTGGTGAATAGGTGGTGATTTCAGGGATCCAATGGAGGAGTGACCTCACCTCACCTCTCTGCTGTGTTTAACCAAGCCCTTCTAGTTTTAAACTTTTTTTTCAAACTTCCAACTTTTCTATCACATCAAAACTTTCATACACATAAAAACTTATAACTTTTCCATCACATTGTTTTAATTTCAATCAAACTTTTAATTTTTACGTGAACTAAACACACCCTAACTCAACTGAGGCAAACAGTTCAGGTCAAAAGGTCTTAACTCCAGGCAAACTGTTTGGTTTATATGATCATGTTCAAAAAGGTCCAAACCAAATTTTAAACTTTTTGATAAAATTTGAGTGGATTTTATCGGGAGTCAACTGTTTTCAAATATTCTTAGCGAAAACTGAGAAAACCACCCTCCTTGACTCCTAAGCCGTGCATTCTCATGAAGCACACTGGTACCAATCAAATAATCAACGGTTGACATGTCATGGTTAAGGAGCTGTCTTTGTTCATCATCAGTGCCATGCTTTGCCCTATCAATGCATTGCAATTTGTTGATTTATAAAATTGGCTGCACACCAAACTCAGCAAGTGGTGAAGATTTACCAAGGAAAACAGCTGTAGGGAACAGGAATCCTGCCAAAAGAAATAGAACCAACCTCCATTAGTACGATAGTTACAAATTTCTGGTTCTTGATAAGTTACTAGAGGATTTGGAAGATTCCCAGTTGTTGAGCACAAGAATGTTAAATTGTTAATGATCAAGTGGCCTAGCAATAGCATGCCCTCAATTAGACCAGCCTGGTACTGCTAGGGAGTAGTACTAGTATCATCATGGTTCATTGGTCCCATGCCCCTTGCAGCTAGGTAAGAGATGTGTGGGTCCCATCGTCATCCACACATACGTCCATCCTAAATTGCCTGAACTGTACAATAGCGCTGTCCTGGCGCCGCTTGACGATTTTTGGACCGAAATTCAGGCCAAGTTTGGTTTGGACAGGAGTAGGTTGTCTAGCGGGCTGTTTATTCAAGTCTCTGTCACATATAATATTTAGATATTTATTTAGAGTATTAAATATAGACTAATTACAAAATCCATTCTATGATCTTGGACTAATTCGCGAGACGAATCTTTTGAGCCTAATTACGCCATGATTTGACAATATGATGCTACAATAAACTTTTGATAATTATAGATTAATTAGGTTTAAAAAATTCGTCTCACAGATTAGCTCTCAGTTATGAAATTAGTTTTTATATTAGTCTATATTTAATACTCCAAATTAGCGTTCAAACATCCGATGTGACAGTGACTAAAAAGTGTTTTAGTTCATGTTTGGATTTTTCTTAAGAAATAAACATCCTTGAATGAGAGCTCCTTCGAAACATTGGGAACTTGAAGGGATTATGGAGAAATATAATTCTAAGAAAAATTCTATGTTGTCAACGGAATAGCTATAAAAAAATCTTATAGAGTTCCTTCGGGAAAAAAAATCATTTGCATCTCTCCTGATTCACTGTGTTTTTTATGCTACATTCAAATAGCCATTCATGTAGTTTTTCTATGTTTTGTTTGGTTTATTGGATTTGAGGTGATATGCTGGCACTTTAATATTGTATTATTCGCTGTTTCTGTCTGTTAAGAATTAAAGGTTCCAAAGAAACCTAATGCTGATGATGGTAATGGTCTGAGTTTTCCAAAGAAATCTGCATGTTTGGTTGTTGCCTAACATTGCCATAACTCAATTTGATGTTTGTGTGACATAGCAAATAAAGTGTGGCCACAAGTGTAACGATGCTTGGCTAGAAAATGAGTATATGACATGTAGGTTCATGAAACAAGAAAATCAAGCAAACAAACGCTAAGCTAACAATCTGTGCCATATCTAACATGTGGTATAGTAATGTGTAGCACCTAACTAAACATCCCCTTAATTTTGAAAGGTTTTCTTCACATGTCTTCCTAATTTGGAAGAAAAGGTAAGAGATATAAATGGAGTTAGGCATTTAGGTCTGTCATCAGTCATCAGTAACATGGTCCACGTGTTTCCGGAGCCAAATTTCGGTCAGGTTGTTGCTGTCGTTGAAGGCAATATTTTTTACTCTCCTTTTCACGGTTATCTTTTTGTGTGTGCCACGAGCATTTTGCTCACAGTCACATTCGTGCTCCATACAACAATTTAGTGACTGGTTTAATCACCACTACCTTCTGCTCCCTCTGTCCCACAGATCTTATTGTTATTTAATAAAGTATTTATCCCACAAAAATCTTATTTTTAGATACTGGTAATAAGGGGTCTCTTGGCCTCTGTATTATTCTCGTTTTTTCCTCCTCGGTTAGAGACCATCGCCCAAGCTCTAATTATTAGGTGCAAATATTAGTAATGAGAATTGAGAGCTTAGAAATGCTTAAAAGTTTAATGAGACATGCGAACGTAGAAGCAAGCATGTAAATTTTAAGGAGAGCATATTCGTCTTTTACCAATAATTGTTTGAGGTAAAAAAATAAGTTTTTTTTAATTGATGGAGAGGTAGGAACATTCAGTTATTTTTTTTTAATTTTTCCTTTTTCTGCTCCGTCATGGCGAGTAAACAATACAGTTGCGGCAGCTCATAATCTAAATATTCTAGTGATCTAAGAGCAGTATAATAGCAGACTATTAGTTAGCTATAAACATATTTTAATAAGATAAAAGATGATAGCGTAGAGCAGCGGGATATAGATCTGTAGCCAGCTGCAGCACGAACTTCAAGACACAGTGTGTATGGCAGATGAGACCATATATTAATAAGTATTGTATAAATTGGTTATTAGATTAGTTATAGATAATTCGAAGCTAGTAGTGGGTTGTACTATTAAATTTGCTCTAATGCAATCATGCAGGATCTTTTACCAATTGTATACTCGAGTACATCGGTATCATTGCAGCTAACATCATCATTAGACTCCATGACAGCATCAAACACATGCTGATTTAATTGAAAAAGAAAAGAAAATCTTAATGCCATGACATGGACAACTAATCTTTCCAAGAGCGCATTAGGCAGAGTCATTAGCTTTCGCCGCTCCTCAATTATTGGCTCCAAAATTTCTAAAGGCCAACCAAATGGTGCCAAATCTAGCAATTTCTCCCCACTCCACCCAGAAGAAAACCGTGAAGAAATTCTCCGGAGAGAAAAAATCCAATCTTTTCTCCCCCGAGCACACATCCCTGTCCGGAATAATGCTCCCACGCGAATTCCTAACATCTCACCATCTCTTCCTCATATCCACAAGCCAGCGTATGGGTGATGTGTTCTTGATGATCCCCAAGGACGGACCTGTCCGGCGAATCTACAAAGTGGTGAGTAGGAAATTGTGGTAAAAAATCCCCCTTTTGCCGATGGTTTCGGAGGATTGCTGTTCTGGGGAGAAGTTTTGATCTCGCCGGCCTGTTTTGTGTGAGCCCGTGAAGCTTCGAACCCCAGAGAATTTCTCGCCTCTTCGCATGCGGAGAGTTGCAAGGTTAGCATCTTCCGATTATCACTAATTCTGCCGCGAGAATGGCATGTACTTTCGAGCCTTTTCAATCTTTTCTGTCATCCCTTTGCTAGTACTATTGGTAATCCTCTGAATAATGTGCATCGGAATTAATCTTGAGACAGCCTTTTTGTTAACCACCCGTGTTGGTTTTGAAGTGAAATAATGGGCTGTGTGATTTCCACAACTATGCGTGATTATCATCGAAATTTAGTGCCTCCATGTGAATTATGCATGAGTTGTGAGTTTCGTGTTCTTGAAAGTTAGACGTCTTACGGGTTCAGGAATTAGTATCCTACTTGCAGTTGGCTATTTAGTTCCTTTATCTAAAAAAAAGTTGGCTATTTAGTTCAGGTTCGTAATTAATAAATACACCATCTTTCAAAATTGGGCCGTGTTTGTTTCCTGATTCCTCCTCCTGGTTTTTAAATTTTAATCCACTGTGTAGCCAGAAAAGAAGGAATTCTTGTGTTTTGCTGGTGTGCTATGGCTACCAACCGTCCTGGTATTCTGATTGGTCCTTTTAGAACCATATATCTTGTTAGTTGCTATTTAGGCAGTAACCACAATGTATTTTGCTGTTCACTTGGAGGTATTTTCTTTGCAAGACGAGAAATATTAGATACAGTTAAACTAAGGTAGTTCTTGATGCCTGCAGCTTGTAAAAAACTACTGTTGATTGATCTGAAGTCTGAACCCATGGAGACCAGAACAAATGAGTATTCCCGTAAGGGGGCAATGTGGGAGCTGGAAAGGAATCTTGATCAACCCATGGATGCAGAGGCTGGAAGACTCAGGAATATGTACAGAGAAAAGGTGATTGTCATATAAGAATATGTCTTTTTTTTTTCAAACGGTCAAGCCATTACTAACGTTTTATATAAAGAAGAAGGTGTTCCATTTTAAGGAGAAAACGGGACCCTTGTTTTAACAAAGAATTTGGTGCTTTAACTTTTAGTGAAGTGTCAATATTTTTCATCATTCATTAATTTCTCTGATAATTGCCTTGGATGTTGGTGATACTAGTTCAGTTGATTTTAGATGTTGCCTAGGATACATTTTAATGGCATACAGATTCTGATTTTTTTTCACGAATGGACCATTGAAGTATTCTTGCTAACTGTTCTTCCCCAATTCCTTTATGCAGACCTATCCAACAATTTTACTGCTACGGCTAGCTTTCCAAAGCCTTGGTGTGGTATTTGGAGACTTAGGCACATCACCTCTATATGTTTTCTACAATATCTTTCCTCATGGAATAGAAGATACAGAACAAGTTATTGGAGCACTCTCTCTTATAATTTACTCCCTTACACTCATTCCACTTGTTAAATATGTTTTCATTGTCTTGAGAGCAAATGACAATGGCCAAGGTAAGAGTATGTTTTGCTTCCTTGAAAGTTTTTTTTTCTTGAGTTATTATTTATTGAAGACCCAAAATTGTACATATGTGATGCGTCTTATTCTATTGTGGTAGGTATTAGGAACTTAGGGTATGGCCATACAACTGAAATTCTGGACAATGTGTTCTTATATGTAGAAGAAAAGATCAACTTGTATGCTCGATATCACTTTGAGACATGAAGCTGCTTCAATTATTGCCATCCTGAATGAAAGCACTAACATTCTGAAATTTTTCATACAAATACAATTTGCACTTTTGAAATAAATTAGCAATATCTCCATGTTTAAGTACTCCTACTTCTTTATTGGAAATGATAGTAAAGTCCCTGCTTTAGGATCTAGACTTCTCCTAAGATAAGTTTGCGGCGTTTGTCCTAAGACAAATGGTTACTTTTTTTTTTAGATAATGGATAGAAATCCGGCCTCTATATCCATAAATGGATATACACAGCCAAGGTTACTCTTAGCCAACTTAGGAGTTCAATGCTATTCCTAAATTTCTTTCTGTTTCTGTATGCATTTTCCACTATGAATATCGACCTACTGAGCCTAGTGGGTTATCTGAAATTTCAGGAGGAACATTTGCCCTTTATTCACTGCTTTGCCGTCATGCAAAGATAAATATTATTCCAAATCAACATAGAACCGATCAAGATCTAACAACATACAGTCGCCGCACATATGAAGAAAAGTCTCTTGCTGCCAAAATCCAAAGATGGTTAGAGGGGCACCAATTCAGAAAGAATTTAATTCTTATTCTTGTACTATTTGGAACTTGTATGGCTGTTGGAGATGGAATACTCACTCCTGCCATATCAGGTTAGACCACCATGTTTATTATTGCTCTAGTATCAGATTCTGAAAAAAACGTGTTGTTAGGTGAACCTGAAGCTGTTGCTCTCACAGAAACAGTAAACCAGCAACGTCATAATATCCTGTCCGTTGCCCATTAACCACTGCAAACATTCACCACAAAAAAGCATGCTGGAAGTCAATTTGACATATTGCACCCTTTAATAGCAATTAGATGCTATCTCAGCAATAACACATTGTTTTTTCTGCTTTAAGATGAAAAACATTGATCTTGTTGGTCGAACTGCATTGCCCCTTCCCAGTGTTATCCTCTTACACACTGCTCTGAGATTACTGTCCCTTTTTACCATCTCTATTGTGATGTTTTTTATTCCATATCTGCATTGCTAACTTTTTTTTCCTGATTGACTCATAATTTGCAGTTCTTTCTGCGACTGGTGGAATACAAGTTGAAGAAGGCAGAATGAGAAATGGTACATATCAAATGTTGAAGTTACTACTCTGTTATTTTCTGTTTTCTCAGTATTCACATTTGCTGTGTTTTCTTTCAAATTCAGCTGCTCATGCAGCTCAGTCTTTACAGTATGTCAAATTGACCGTTGCTTTTATATTTCAATAGAACGAAAATTTGGCAAATAGCAACCTCTAGTAATTTTTCATACTGTCCTGTGTATGCGAATGATAGGATTGACATGATAACCGCGTATCGAAGCATTGCCTTTTGTTCCAGGAGCCCTGAAGTCATACTGTATGCGCAAATAGTTTCTATGTGTTATAATCAGATCCTGCAAACAAGTAATGCGGAGAATTAGATCGATGTGTGGATAACTGAACAATTGAATTTGTTTTCCTCATCAGATGTGGTTGTAATTATCTCCGTGCTGATATTGATTGGACTGTTCAGCATGCAGCACTATGGTACTGATAAAGTCAGCTGGCTCTTTGCACCAATAGTATTTGTTTGGTTCATACTCATTGGGATTCTTGGTGCTGTAAACATTTGCAAATATGACCATTCAGTTCTTAAGGCTTTCAATCCTGTCTATGTATATCGTTACTTTAAACGAGGGAAGACTAGTTGGACTTCTTTAGGTGGAATTATGCTCAGCATAACAGGTTTACTTCTAACCTGATTTCATAGAGTGGCTTGGCCTTTCTTAACTGGCAATAACCAGAACTGGCTTTTTGGCTCATGCTGCAGGCACAGAAGCATTGTTTGCTGACCTTTCGTATTTTCCTGTACAAGCTATTCAGGTACCATACATAGTCACCTGGAAATTTGTACACATATATAGTCACCAATTGTAGTCACATGGGTAGAGAAATCTGTCTGTTTGCTGTCTTGCTAACAAAGTCCTGTTACCCCTGTATACAGATTGCTTTCACTGTGGTTGTGTTCCCATGCCTTCTTCTGCAATATACTGGTCAGGCTGCGTTTATAGCTGCAAACACAAACCAAGTCAGCCATGCCTTCTATATCTCCCTTCCAGGTAATAATCAGACTATTTGAACACTGGAACCTGTCAACCGGCAATATCAATATGAATATATAAATAGTATTTTCTAAAGAATGTGAATACATAATGACAAGTGATTTTCTGCAACAGCTCCTATACTTTGGCCAGCATTTGCCGTTGCAACAGCAGCTGCAATAGTTGCTAGTCAGGCCACTATATCTGCAACATATTCGATTATCAAGCAAGCACTTGCCCTAGGGTGCTTTCCCCGAGTGAAGATCATCCATACTTCCAAGAAGTATCTCGGCCAGATATACAGCCCTGATATTAACTGGATCCTCATGGTTTTCTGCATAGCTGTCACTGCAGGGTTCAAAAACCAATCCCAGATTGCAAATGCATATGGTAACATCTGATAATTAAGATCTTCCCGTATATCATCTCTCCACGCAGAACTTCAAGCCTGGCTGATTTTCTACTTGTTAACTGACACTATAAAATCATGCGTAAAACAGGTACTGCTGTGATCATGGTTATGCTTGTGACAACATTTCTGATGATCCCCATCATGCTGCTGGTGTGGCGAAGCCATTGGACCCTGGTCGTCGCCTTCACCGTGCTGTCATTGCTTGTGGAGATCCCCTACTTCTCGGCCGTCGTGCGCAAGATCGATCAGGGAGGATGGGTTCCGCTGGTTTTCGCGGCAGGCTTCATGATCATCATGTATGTCTGGCACTACGGCACCCTGAAGCGGTACGAGTTTGAGATGCACAGCAAGGTGTCCATGGCCTGGATCCTGGGGCTTGGTCCGAGCCTTGGCCTTGTCAGGGTCCCCGGCATTGGCCTGGTCTACACCGAGCTCGCCAGCGGTGTTCCTCACATCTTCTCGCACTTCATCACCAACCTCCCGGCGATCCACTCGACGCTGGTGTTCGTCTGCGTCAAGTACCTCCCGGTGTACACCGTGCCACCGGATGAGAGGTTCCTGGTGAAGCGGATCGGCCCCAAGAACTTCCACATGTTCCGGTGCGTGGCGCGGTACGGGTACAAGGACATCCACAAGAAGGATGACGACTTCGAGAAGATGTTGTTCGATAGCCTGATTCTGTTCGTGAGGCTGGAGAGCATGATGGAGGAGTACAGCGACTCCGACGAGTACAGCACCCTGATGATGAGCCTCCCAAATAACCCAGGGATCAGCAATGGCGGCGTGACCACCACCGGCACCAACAATGTCATGGAGGTGATGAGCTGCACGTCGACCCATGACTCCATTGTGCCGGTGAACTCCAGGTCCGACGACACGGGCAGCAGCCAGGTGATGCCGGCGTCGGGGCAGATGGCGTTCCAGAGCGTCGGCGACGAGATCGCGTTCCTGAACGCGTGCAGGGACGCCGGGGTGGTGCACATCCTCGGGAACACGGTGATCAGAGCTCGCAGGGATTCAGGGTTCGTCAAGAAGATTGTCATCAACTACATGTATGCTTTCCTGAGGAAGATCTGCAGGGAGAACAGTGCCATCTTCAATGTGCCTCATGAGAGCATGCTCAATGTTGGGCAGGTTTTCTACGTGTAATGTAATCTTAGTAGCACTAGATTGTAAACTAAACATGCATGTGATTGTATCATTCAGACCGACTTGGGAAAGTGATTTCATCCCTCGAGGGGATATTCCCTCGTTTTATGCATGCCACCTAAATAGTCATAATTTTTTTTAAAAAAAATTGGAAGATAGATTAATATGAAATAAATCACTCTATATAAACATGGCGAGGGGAGGCTGCAGGTGAAGCTTGGACGGCGAGGCAACACGGTGGTGAAGCGGGAGGCGTCGGTCGAGCACCACGACGGCAGCAACCGGCGGCACGCTGGACATGTTCAAGCGACTGGCTGCTAGCCGGGGAGCCAATGAATAAACTTAATTGGTTCAGGGTTCCTGATGCAAATTCCTAATTCCTTCTCATTTTACATATTACTAGTACTAGAAAATAAGTGTGGTCGTTGGCGCGCCATTTTCATAGCCCATGTGTAATCTTTTTTTTTTAACGACTCACACTAGACGGTGCGAAGTTCTATTGATAGAACAGGAAAAAAATTACAAGATTACAACCCTGAAAGGTTGTAACCAGGAAAAAGGAAAAAATTATACCACCACCCACACACCGACAGCGTCAACACACACATCCAAGAGAAGGACTAGCATCGGACCGGCCGCCGCTAAGCGTGACCGACCGCCGCTAAGCCAACAACGGAACATAGCCGAGATCACCCAAAACCTGACCCTTACAATTAACGCAAAGCCCAACTCTATCCAAGTCTTTAGGATTTAGGGAGAGAGGGTGAGAGAGAAGATGGAACACCTCTCCCCCCTAGGGCCTTCGACATGATCAACTTGTAAAAACTAGGAGGCCACCACGAGAGGATGAAAATCTAAAGCGTGCTTGCATCAATTGCTCAGGGGGGGGGGTCGGCAAGGGGATGCCTAGACGACATCTTCAAGGAGAGAAGCGACAAAACACCGCCGCCGCCGTCCGTCAAGGTCTCAAAGAGAGCCGATACTGAGCTTTCGCCCGACAGCCACCCTTGAGGGGTGAGACGGCACGACAACGCCCTCAGGAGGGGAATGACGCTCGAACATCATCGTTGCCGGTCCGGCCAAGGCCAGGCTAGGTTTTCACCCGTCGTCCACCACTTGCTGGTCTACCACAGATGCACTATTGCTCCACCGCCATCTAAACCTTCGTCAGTGCGTGGGCACCACTGCACTGGCGCCCCCCACCGGCTAGTCTCCAAGTGTTGCCACCTCATCGGGCTCCGCCTCCACCAACGTCACCTCCTGCTGCGCCAGCCGCCGCCTCCACGCTGGCCAGCCTCGTCGTGCCGCACCGGCACCTCGGCTATGCCTCCACGTACCGCGGCCACCTCCTCCACTACCGGCCGTGCCTCACCGGCCTCCGCCGTCACCGGCTGCGCCTCCGCGGGTGCGCTGCCACTGTCGGCCGGCCAGCCACCATCGCTCCCGCCGGTTGCCCGCTGCCGCCGTGTCGCGCTACCGTGAGCTCTCCTGATCTGGCCGGGGGAGGGGAGGGGAGCAGATCCACCACCGAGAGGCCGGATCTGCCTCCGGTGTATCCACTCCGCCGGACGCTCCAGCCGCCGCCTCCTACCGAGCGAGCACCGCTTCTCCTCCCACGTCGAGGAGAGGCTCCGCCGCCGGCGCGTTTTCCCCGCTGCCACCTTCCCGGCCGGCTGCGCGATTTTCGACGGCGGGCTCCGACGGTGGCGAGGAGGCTGGGGCGATTGGGGGTGACGGTGCGGGCGGCTAGGGTTTCGCCCCTGAGCCGCCAGCGTGAGAGCGGCGCGAGGGAGTAAATTCCTTATTCGGCTGTTTTCGCAATTCCCAACCTCCACGTGCAATTCCAATATGTAATCTTAATGTTGAAATTTTACTGAAACCATAGCAGAGTCGATGTACCTCTAATATTATAAAATTTGATTATTAAAAATAGTTGGTCAAAATTAGCACCTTAAAGTCAAAAATGTATTTTATGAAGGCAAGGAGTATTTTCAATGGTATATTATAAAGTTGTCTGATTGGACTCTTAAGGAGACCACATGTACGGTGTACAATACTCAATATCGTGGGATCCAATTAAGCAGTACCGATACATCATAAGCATATCTTATTTTACAATATACAATATGCATGCGATAGAGCATATTACTGCGCAAACCCATTATCTGATATTGTACGTAATACTGAAAGCTAGGCCTCAAGATGCATATATAGAGAAGTAAACGTGTAAGGGGATCGACACATGCATATGCATATGCATATTCATGTACATAATGAAGGGTTAATTAATTAGTTTGAGCTTGTCGTTGATCTTTTGCCGAAGCTCAGTCTTGGAGAGGGCGAGGATGCTGTCTGTGAATTAGTTTGGGTGGAAACGATCGCACTGATCCTGTTCGTCGCCTTCGTGTTAATATATATGTGATGGGAACAGCCCCCATCGTGGCGATACAGAGTTCGGCGCAGCTGAGAACAACTGAAGCCGAGATTGATGAAACGACTGCATGCAGTAACAGAAAACAGAAAACAAACTCTAACAAACATCTGTTATCGCATGTGGAGGAAAGGCTAACCTGATCCGCATGGATAGACTAACCTAATCCAAACTAACCTCAACAACTACATGCATGCAAGCTGTCAGGTCGTGATCACATGATCCGAACCTTTCATGCTAACTAACACCCTCTCTCAATCCGGACCTAACCAGGTTCAGATTGCTTTTGAAATTCTCCAGGAGTCTTACTGACAGAGGTTTAGTGAATCCATCTGCAACTTGATCATTAGTGGAAACAAAATCAATTTCTAGAAGTTTCTGAGTTACCCGTTCTCTGACAAAGTGATAGTCAACTTCTATGTGTTTCGTTCTGGCATGAAACACTGGATTAGCTGACAAATACTTAGCTCCAAGATTATCACACCATATTTTAGCAGCTTTTGGACTTTTAATCTCTAACTCTGCAAGTAAAGTCTGCACCCACATTATTTCTGCAGTGGCATTGGCAATAGCTTTGTATTCTGACTCTGTGCTAGATCTAGACACAGTGGCTTGTTTTCTAGTATTCCAGGAGACCAGATTTGAACCCAGAAATATTGCAAATCCTCCTGTTGATCTTCTGTCATCTAAACAGCCTGCCCAGTCTGCATCAGAGAAGCCACTGACTAAAGTAGATCCTGACTTATGAATTTCAAGTCCTAACCGAGTGCATTGCTTTAAGTACCTAAGAATCCTTTTCACAGCAATCCAATGTACAGTTGTGGGAGCATGCAAGAATTGGCAAACTTTATTAACAGAGAAAGCTATGTCAGGTCTAGTAAGAGTCAAATATTGCAAAGCACCAACAACACTGCGATAGTGACTTGCATCTTCAGGCCCTAACAATGAGCCTTCATGAAGGGAGAGTTTCTCACTTACTGAAAGAGGTGTATTAGCAGGTTTACAATCTATCATGCCCACTTTCTTCAATAAATCATTGGCATACTTGTCTTGATTCAGTACAATGCCATTCTGAACCTTGCTTACCTCTATTCCGAGAAAATAATGCAGCTCACCAAGATCTTTGAGTGCAAATTCCCCTTTTAGATCCTGAAGTAAAGCTGCAGTGGCCCTCTCTGAAGAGCTGGCTACAATGATATCATCAACATATACCAGAACAAACATAGTTATATCACCTTTATTCAGAAAGAACAGAGACGTATCAGCTTTTGACCCTTTAAAACCAAGGTCCATCAACTTTTTACTTAGTCTAGAGAACCAGGCTCTAGGTGCCTGTTTTAACCCATACAGAGCTTTATCAAGTTTACACACATGATGTGGCTTAGTAGGATCCTCAAAACCTGGTGGCTGTAGCATATAAACTTCTTCGTCTAGGTACCCATGCAGAAAGGCATTTTGAACATCTAGCTGTCTAAGACTCCAACCTTTAGACACTGCTAAAGACAATATTATTCTGATAGTGGCAGCTTTAACAACAGGGCTAAAGGTATCTTCATAATCAATACCATACCTTTGTTTAAATCCTTTTGCTACTAACCTTGCCTTATACCTATCTAGGGTACCATCAGCTTTCCTTTTAATTTTATACACCAACTTACAGCCAATAATATTTCTCCCTCTCTGAGGAGGAACAAGATGCCAAGTTTTATTCTTAACTAAAGCATCATACTCTGAATCCATTGCTAGTTTCCAATTTTTATCCTTTAAGGCTTCTAAATCATTTGTAGGTTCACCTGAAGCAGTAAACCAAGAATGCTTATATTTAATAGTACCATCAGTATATACCTTTTCTTTGCGAACTCCACTTTGCAACCTGGTGCGCGGTCCTGCCGGTGCCTCTGAACCTGTGACAGCCTGTGCATGTTCCTGCGCTGGTGAGGACTGCTCCTGCTCCTGCACCACCTGCGACTCCTGCTCCTGCACCGCCTGCGACACTGAGGTGGTGTTTAGATCCAGGGACTTAACTTGAGTCCCTGTCTTTAGACACTAATTTAGAGTATTAAATATAGACTACTTACAAAACTAATTACATAAATAAAAGCTAATTCACGAGACAAATTTTTTAAGCCTAATTAATCTATAATTAGAGAATGTTTACTGTAGCATCACATAGGCTAATCATGGATTAATTAGGCTCATTAGATTCGTCTCGCAAATTAGTCCAAGATTATGGATGGGTTTTATTAATAGTCTACGTTTAATATTTATAATTAATTTTTAAACATCCGATGTGATAGGGACTTAAAAGTTTTAGTCCCATCTAAACAGGGCCTCAGAGTCTTCTGCTGTCTCCTCTGCTAGCGATGATGCTGCCCCCCGTGGCACAGAACCAGGTGTGGGACCCGGATGATGGCCTGATGACGTGGCCGCAGGGGAGTGGTGGACGACACGGTCTGGTTCTGGACCAGAACTGGCATCCAGAGGAGGCGTCGCCGGCGGATCTTCTGCATCAGCGGGATGTACTGCACCATCTCTATGTGGCTCATTAGCACGATTAGATAAAGCAGCAGAAACATCAGCAGATAATGGATTAGTCACTGGATGCATGCATTGTTCATTCCCAACAGACCGTATGGGTCCTAGCAGTTCAGGAGTGAGAATATCAATCTCAGAACGAAGACGGGCA